AAGTCTTTAGCTTATCTGCTTATAAGCGTATTTTCCTTGTAGCATCTGAACACTTTACAAGACTTGAATAATAATGGTAAACCTTTAGGGAAATACTTTATGTTCAGGAATAAACATGGATAAATTAACCTACAGATAAATTGATGAACAGCTAGGCAGGCATTGCTCGCAACCAATATGCTCTCTTTGCTGCGAGAAAGAGCATAAAAAGAGACAAACAAATTACGAATTTTATATAAATTCAGAGTTTTTATTCACAATAGCGAATGAGGCTATACAAATTAAAGCATAGGCAAAATAACTTTGGGTATTCAGTTGAGCAGTTTAGTCTTAAAGTAGATCAGGGATCTCTATGAGCTATATATATATGTCCTTGAAAACTGTATAGGATCTATATAAAAGGATCTATAGCTTTATAGGATCTATATAAGCTTTAGACATGAATGAAATTGTGGCAGGATCTATATGAACTATATATAAATATATATATATATAAGCTTGAAAACTATTGAACATATTGTAATTCCCTTTTCAATGGCTTAAGCTGTAAAACTTCTTAATATGATGGTCTGCACCCACATATATTTCAGATGTGGGTATTTAATAAGTCACTAACTCACTCTTATACCCAGCAGCCATTCAGAATAAGCCGTAAGATTGCTAAAGCAGCGCTGCGCAGCGGTCAGGGTATTTGCTAGTCAGGCACTTCCGACTAGTTACTTAAATGGCATGTCCAACTATATCGTATGCCAACTGTAGACTAACATCTGTTGCTCTATGCTCCTTTTCTATCTGTCCGATAAAGATCAGATCAACTCAACTCTTTTTTCGATGGCAGAAATATTGATGCGGCCGAGCAGTTGTTCGCGAGCTAAAACAATAGGCACACAAATTTGGTGTGGAGCTGCCCGCTCAGGTATTGAAAGCTAATTACCCACAGGCAGACGAAAATCACGTCGCGTTGGAGCCCATTAAGGCAGCGTGCAGGGACTGGCAAGGGCTCAAGCAGCGTGCCAAGATTTATGACGTAAAATTAATAATCATTTCAACTAAATTAATAACACACTTCACAAATGATTTACAATGCGCACATATATATATATATATCTATATATATCTATATATATGTGGAAAGAAATCAGAAAAGTGTATGAAACTCTTTCTAATAATTTCGACTAGGCTGTTGGGGGCGCCGTTTCATTAGGGTCTGGCGAGGGCGCTTTGTTTACCCAACAGCTTGTTGCGGGTCTCAGGTGGGCACAGCAGGTGATTTTCTTGGACTTGACGCGCGCGTGCGCCACACTCGTTATTATCTTCATTTTTAACACCCAGAGGGAGAGAGGTTTGGGTAGAGCCCACAGATGACGTCGCATTGTCCGGCACTTTCTTCCAGCATCTGCTCGATCGACGCTAACCACACAGAATGTGGTGTTGATCGCTGCTGCAGCTCGTTTTCTCATTCATGTTGTACAAGATTTTTATCGCGTTTGTTCCTCACCCTCGCCCTCGCCCTCGCCCTCTTCTTCTGCTCCTTTACCTTTTCATTAACATATTGCGGGATCGTTTATTTCTTCCCAGTTTTATGTTTGTTTTTTGTTTGTTTTATTTTATGTTCCCTTTGGCTATTTTGACATTTCCAACTGTTGTCACTGCCAATGGGGCAGACGAGGCAGCTGGATGCTCTGAAATCTGATCTGTTATTATGTAAATTTGATGATTCCCTAATTCCCTAACACTTGTTGGGGCACTCTTGCTATAGCGACTGGCGCCCAAATAAACTGTTCTCAATGGCAAATTCCAAACGTATTCCGAAAGCTCTGCCTCGTAATCGATATGCGATTTGTTTGGATACGTTTCGAAGATCATCGAGATTAGCTGCAGTGCGACTCCTACATACGTCCAGCGATCGTCGCCGATCAATTTGGCGCCCAGCCCGACGGATCGTAAATCTAATCAACTGTCTTGTCTTCTCAGTAGTTTCATTTGCTTTAGGGATTTGTTTTCATTTGGACTTCTTCAACTCAACTTATCAGCTGGGTGGTCCCTGATCTCCACAAAAATGGAATCTGGTATATGGTATATGGTATATGCTGATCTAATCAGGACTATTCAAGATATTGCTTCCACACTGCAACTATATCTATCTATCTGTTTATATCTATCTATATCTATATCTATAGCTAGAGCGATAGCGTAGAGAGAGAGCGATAGCGAGAGCGAGAGCGAGAGCGAGAGCGAGAGCGAGAGCGAGAGCAGAGCGAGAGCAGAGCGAGAGCGAGAGCGAGAGCGAGAGCGATATCTATATCTATATCTATATCTATATCTATATCTATATCTATATCTATATCTATATCTATATCTATATCTATATCTATATCTATATCTATATCTATATCTATATCTATATCTATATCTATATCTATATCTATATCTATATCTATATCTATATCTATATCTATATCTATATCTATATCTATATCTATATCTATATCTATATCTATATCTATATCTATATCTATATCTATATCTATATCTATATCTATATCTATATCTATATCTATATCTATATCTATATCTATATCTATATCTATATCTATATCTATATCTATATCTATATCTATATCTATATCTATATCTATATCTATATCTATATCTATATCTATATCTATATCTATATCTATATCTATATCTATATCTATATCTATATCTATATCTATATCTATATCTATATCTATATCTATATCTATATCTAACTCTTTTTAAGTTTTAAATTGATTTTAAATACCCAAAGAAAACCTTCATTAAAATATTAAATGAAAACTTTTTGACATGTAATCTTCCTACAAAGTTCTCGTCATTTTCAATATATAATATTTTTAATTGCATTTGGAATTTTCGATTTATTTTTTATACCCTTAAAAAATTTGCAAACGGGTATCCTTGATTAAGGAATACAGATGCAACAAGCAGATAAATATTATCTGCGTGAGGAAAGCAAATTGAATCTGATATAGTCAGACTATCTGAACAAACATGAGGTGGAAAATAGCTAAATATTATAGATATATTATCATTGTGGGGAACTACAAGAGCTTAGACTAAATCTGATATATAATATATATATATTTTCAAATTGTTTGATTCTATATGTCCATCATAATTGACTGTGTTAGCTCCATTTAAAATAATTTGGAATGTTGTAATGGGCATCTTCTAGTCGAGCAATCCCAGACAAAGGCACTCCTCCTCGTTAATTATTGCAATGCGAGCAGCAATGGAAATGAAATACAAAGACGAACATAATTAAAAACGGGAATTTCGAACGCTGCATAATTTCTGTAGCATCCTTGCCACAGGATTGTGGTAAGGTGGCATTTAAGCCTACACGCGTCACACTGCAATTACATACTACATACACATACATATATATGTATACGAGTGTGAGTGTGTGCTTGCATATTGTATGTACTTCACGTTACATGCATATTGTGTGCGCTCCCATTTATCCATATCAATATGGCGGCCATTGCGCATGACGGGTCAGAGCGAAGCAAGCGCTGACCAATCAGCGACTTGTTATTGCGAGCTCTCGTGCGTGTGCATTGGTGTGTGTGCGTATATCTGTTTGTTCATAAACAGGTAGCATAAAGTAGGCGTGTCCAGCAATTACAATCGAGTGTGTTGCAAAATATAACCTGTTTGCTTGACATCTCTTTCGCACACACAGTTGTGTGTTCACCGTTCACTTTACAGAGGCTGCCCAACTGTAAAGAGCAACAGATATTGTATTAGTATGACAGTGGCGGCTCAAATAAAGTGCACAGCCCGTACAATCAAAAATCAACAATTTGTTACTGTTATCTGCATGTCAAATTGTTTTGTAACAATATAAAAAAAAGGTTGGTTAAAAATTAATTCAAATTTATAACAATAATTTATAATTCATTTGTATATGTGCACAGAATTGTATTATGTAAGTTGATGAATCTAATTTGTGTAGTACGTGTCAAAATAAATTTGATAATTTAATAGATTAGTTTGTGAAAATAATGAATTAATATTTTTTTAATAATTATAATATTAAGGGCCGACTCTGTGGCTGCCTTTCTCTCTCTCTCTCTCTCTCTCTCTCACGCCCTCTCTAATTGAGCAATTTACATTCAAAGAGAACATGACTACAGTTTGACATGCGCTGCTACTACGCCAAGCAATTGCCTTCTCGCTCCCGTCAACGTTCGGCAAGCAGCAACCACCAGCAAACTCTCACACACATACACATCCCTGCATGCACGCATGCATGCATGTTTGCATGCACACCCATACAAGCCCAGCGCTCGCTTGGTTGGTTGGCCATTGCGCTTGGCCTCAGCGGCCTTTTTCCTTCTTCTTTTTCATCCAATGCTCAGTTTCTCTCTTGCGTTGCTCGCGTGCGGTTCGCAGTTCGCAGCTGAATTTTCGTTGCCCATTGTTGGTGTCGCTCGTGCGCTGTGTACGACGGCCCCGCCGGCACCGAACCGATCGAACTTCTAACGGCAATAAACAAATGTCCGATGCATAAATCAAAAGTCAACGCGCACAACAACGTTTTTTCGCACAGAAATAGAATCAAGCCGAGCGCTAAAATACTCACATAAATCGAAAACGTGCGCACACAAAATATACAAAAAGAAAATAAGAGAAAAGCAAAGCAAGGAAAAAGCGGCGACAGCCACAGAAAAGTTTTTTATCAAGCGTCCAAAAATTCTGCGTCTAGTGTTTTGTTCCTCTTGTTCTCATTGTTGTTGTTATTATTTTTAAACCTTGTACGCAATTAATTTAAGTCGCGAAAGCGGAAAATTTTTGCAAAAGAATTGCAACACGTGTTTATGGTAACAGTGCGTATGAAAATTTGTTGCTTGTCTGCGCGGATGCAGTTATTTTCGTGTATGCCCCACACACACATATATATTTGAGATTTGAGCAGCGCGTGTGTGTGCGTGTGTGCGCGCGCGTTGATTGAATGCGCATGTGAGTGCGTGTGTGTATGTGTGCGTGTGTGCACATGTTTTGAAAATTCGCAAAAAAGTCTTGACAAAAAACAAAGCTTCAACGCAAATGTATGAAGCAACAACAAATAAAACATTAGCAACACGGATACTCGCAGCAGCGACAGTGATACAAAATACACACGTAATACAAGATACAGGTGAGATATTCTGGCCAAATGCCGACGGAACTCAGATTGATCTTTGAGATATAAAGCATATAGATGGCACATAATGACTGATAAGCCAATATCTTAAGCCTGGGCTGCTTTAAGAAAACTGCTAAAAGCTAGCTAAATGCTAAATAAAACAGCTAAAATCGTATAGAAAAGTGTTCAGAGTTCAAATCCTGACTTAAAACTAATGTAATTTAATGAAACGAATTTCCTAGATAGATATATATGATATATATATGATGAGAGATATATGCACTTTTGAATTTAATAACTCAAACTTGTAAGTTATCATAAATTATTTAAATATTTGGAAATATAAAATTACAATTGTTTTGCTATAAGAATTGATTCCATAAATATATATGTATATATAATATATCTTATTTACCTCTTATGTTTGGGAATATTTGATCGTATTACATTGAAAGTAAACATCACTAAAACGATTAAACAAATCATATTTTGTATATGGATAACGATATTGTCAGTATATATACATATGTATAGATGTTTATATTTATCTAATATATGGCTATATATAGCTTCCATATTATGATATTCAATCGCTCGCATGATTAGTCACAGGCTATTGGGTGGGAGATCCATGATTCAGAGGCAACTGCAGGCAGAAAATCCACTTGATATATTCAACGATCTACTGGATTCATTGCTAATGAACAATCAAAGAATTAGTATGAGAATAAAAGGAATTTGAGGACTTTGCTATTACAATTTCTATTCATATCAAGATTCTAATTTGCTAGAAAACAAAACGAAATTAAAAAGAAAACTACAAAAATATTGGAGAACAATTTCTAGCAAATGCACCTAAGATATAAGTTTTTAATTTTATAGAACTAATTGTAGACAGTTTTCTTATTAAATTTCGATAAACATTAAAGACTTTGAAACATATTGAAAGAATTCGTGCTTAATTTTATAAAAAGTATAAATTTGGAATCGAAATTTCAAGCAAATGAAACATGAAATTTGGCTGGAAATTTGTACCTTTATAGAGCTGCAGAAAAGCTGCTTAGTTTTTCTATTCTATGCCGAATAGAATACAGAAATATTATATAGATTCTTCTTGATACAAAATAAATGCAGAGTATTACAAAAATCATGAATTTGTAACCAAAATATCAATGAAATTAATATTAAATTCGACTAGAATTGTTAACATAACAGCAGAAGTCTAAAACTCTTTCAGTTTTGATTTAAATTATGATTAAATATGTAAATATAACATAAAAAACTTAAATTGTTAAGAAAAATCCCATTTCAGCTGTTTTTCACCTTTATCCTTTAAGAGCTAGTAGAGATTTGTTTAGTTTTCCATGTTAATGCAGATTCAGAATCTTCATTTATAGATTCTTGCTTTGGAAAAACAAGCCATTCCACATGAAAGACTCTAGAGTTTTCTTATTTTAAGAATTTATTTAAAATTTTATTTTTTCATTTTTCATAATTTTACAGCTAATTGAGAGCTGTTTAGTTTTCCATTTCCCTTTCAATTTGAATGTCATTTCATTATTCATTTAAAGTCTGTTCTAGTTATCACATAAACATATAGCATATAGTCATATACAATCAGTTCGCACCGATTCCAGTTGTCATTCATTCATCACATTTAGCTTTTGGTATCCGTGAGATACTTTTGCTGCTGCTGCTGTTGGCATTGTTTATTTATAAATACTTTTCAAGCAATTCATATTGGCTTTATCATGCACATACTCTATGGATATATGGATATATATATATATCTATATATGCTTATATATGAGTCTGTGAGAATTATTAACAGCCTCAATTTTCTCTTCTGGCGAAAGTTCTTTCGGGTGGGTGTCTTGAGCTGTCTTCTTCTTCTTCTTCTTCGTGTTGCTGTTGTCATCGTTGTCATGTTTTGCATGCAAATAGTTTATTAATATGTATTTCTTTGCAGCTTGTTTCTCGATTTGCGGTTTAGCATTTAAATCGAACGAACGTTTAACCAGAACTCAATTTATTAGCCAGCGCGTGTATGTCGTCATATTAAGATTTATGAAGTGGTTAGCAGAGCCCAGTTGTTGGCGCTCGATATATCTCTCTTTATACATTTTTATCTATTGAAATTGAAAAGATGTGTAGGAAAATCCGAAAGCATTTAAATTCACTTTCAATGAGCTAAAACTTAATTTAAATGAAGCCAATAAGAATTTTAAAATAATTACTGAAAAAGAATTTCAAAACATATTCTCTTTAATATGAAATATATTAATATGTATTTTCAATGTTTCAAATATTACAATTTACATTTTCAATAAAAGATATTATAGTCAGGAATTCTATTTATATTTGTTTTCTAAACTGGAATCTTAGACGAAACTAAATTAATATAAAATCCTAAACGAAATTCAAAAATTCTTTGCAAATATTTTATTTAATTTCTTTATTTAATGTCTGTCAATTATATGTTAACTAAGCAAAAAATAAATTAAATTAAATAATAAATAATTGTATTAATACATTATGAACAAAAACAAACATAAATAAAATATGTATTATGCAGAAAAACGTAAAAAAAAATAAAATGATACTTATAAATTATAAAATATTTAGAAAAAATAATTTTATAATATATAAAATAAATTAAAATATACAATAAATAACGAAAACAAATAAATAAAAACATTTTAATATATTATACATATAAAAAAAAATCATATATTAGACAATAAAGAAAAACAAATAATATAATATATAAATTAAATATAAACATTTTGCGATTTCATTTATATTATTAATGTATATTTATGTGATTAATGTGTTTCAAGGACTTTCGTCTGCCTCATATATCATTTGCGTCTTTTAATCTTTGCAATTAAGCATTTGGCATGAGTAAGCCTTAAAGAAATAAATACATTTTGTAAATATATAATATAAATTGCAAAAAATTAAAAGAAATATTTAGAAATAATAGTCGGCTTAGCAAATAAACAGAGTCTTAGGCTGAAACTGATTCGCAGCTAAGACTAAACAAGTTATAAAACAGTAGAAATATTATATATATGATTATTATTTAGATAGATTCTAAAAAATGCTGTTATGTAGTTAGCTTTAGCGCTCTTAACTGCTGAACATTTTTATTCACTGAACTCCTAAAAATTCTTTGAAAATATTCAAGTAAATGCTTAAAATAAAAATATTAGAAAAATATAACAAAATGTTATATATATTTAATATATAATAATAGTTATATATATAACAAAATGTTTATGTAACTTTGATCAGAAATCAGCTTTATTTTATAGATGATTTTTATTTATGATTTATTATTTATATTACCAAAACAGCTTGTAAAGCTTATTTGTTGTTTTAAGCACTTGACCATATTTAATTCATATAAATCATATTTGATATAGACAAAAATAGTTAAAACTACAAAATGCCAGCACAAATTCTAGTTTTCATTTTGCCAGAGAAAAGCTTAGTTAATTCTTCCTTTTTTGCTGCTGTTTTTTGGTTGCACAACAAAGTTGCAACAGTGAATTTTGTTAGCTTTGATGATTTTACGCATTTGCGTAAAAATTTCGTTTTAATTTGCGTGCAGGGCGCAGAAGTTTTCATTCAAAAAGATGCGAATCGTTGGCCGGTTGTTTGGCCAATTTAGACTGAGATACGATGCAAACCGAATTAGCCAGGCCGGCAGGCAGCAGGCAGGCAGCAGCAGCAGCCTTTCATTCAAATTCAATTTCAGAATTTAAGCAAATGTAGCACGCAGACCAACAGAGACAGAGACACAGATTCCGATGCCGAAGCAGTTGCAAATAGCGAAATGCGGATACATTTAGTCCGGGCATGCCCCAGCGCATCGCACATTAAGTTGACAAATTTCATTCATTAGATATTTGTGTCTAATCTGTGGGCACGACTACCAGCTGGCAATTAAATAGCGACTGGCACACATGCACGAGCTTTTATCTCACAGATACACAATGGCCAAGCCGCGGCGCAGCCGACTCGAGCCGCTGCTGTCGGTCAGTTGAAGTTGTTTTTTTTTTTTTTATTTTTCGCTTTCTTTTGTTTACTTCCGCGGAAACGGTGGAAAATGTGCAATAACAGCTTCGAATTGTTGAATTTGTCGATTACATTGTATAAACACAGACGCCAATAATTCGCAGATAATTCGCTTTCAAAACAGTCCTCGTCTCTGGATTCGGATGGTACCGCACCCCAATGCACTTGCTTACAGCTAAGCCAAGTTGGCTTAAATGAGGCTCTGCCCTGGAATCCGCATCTGTTCCCAAAGCAGTTTAGTTTCACAGCTCGAACGTGTCGCAGTGCTTCTTGTTATATTTCTTCCAGCCCAAAAGGTAGACCAGAGGTAAGAAAGATCTCCAAAATTAACTCAACATTCCAATTCCAATTCCAATTCCAATTCCGATTCGAGCTGCAACTTTTTATACGTTTCGACTTTAATTAGAAACTAATTAGGCCCTGATCACAATAGACTCGTTTGAATGCGATTTGATTGGCAACAACAACAACAACGAAACAGCAATACGACGACAGCTCTATAAAAAATACACACAAACACACACACTGAGAGAGCTAAAATAGAAATAGAACCCCGCCATGGCCAAGGTGTCCGCTTTCAGCTGTTGTTGCTGTTGCTGTTGCTGCTGCTGGTGGCGAGTTGCTCCCGCATGCAGTTAAATTTGACAGGCGACCAAACAAGCGAAGACAATAACAATAACACTCAAATTAAAAGCTTATAAAAGTCAAGCACAGCAAACAGAGGAAATCGAACAAAATCTGACAGATAACACGTTCGCAGTAAAGTCCATTCAAAATGTGTGTAAGTCGAGCTGAATTTCTATTAGAAATTAAAATTCATTTTAGTTGATTTGTATGGCTGAAGAGCCTCGTGCCAGAGGCCTCTTAAGCACACACACACAACTGCCTGACTTTGGCCAGGCAAAGAGCGCTACAGCAGCCAGCATCAGATAAATTATCTTTGAGGCGGCTGCTGCTGCTGCTGCTGCTGTTAGAGTGAATGCTCGCAGGCAGCACTTGGGGGCATCTGCATATGCCAGATCCGAGCACAGATCATATCGTAGTGCCATTAACTGAGTATCATATATGTATCGAATGTGCTACTTCATTCTAAAATTGTAATCGGGTCAGGCGAAAACATTCCAAATGGAAAAGATACTTTTGTAATTCATTAAATGTTGTAATCAAATTAGGCTTAGATAAGATTACATTTTACAGGTATAGGCTTAGTTGAAAAACTAAAGATTCTTGAATTGTTAACACTCATGTGGCGCGTCTCAATCAATCAATCATGACAAATGTGTTTAAATCTGTGATAGAATACAGAGATAGGTAATAATTTATTTCATTAAAAATTGTGTTTTCTTTCTATTCGGTATCAAAGAGTCTGCCTTTCCATCAATCAATCAAAATCCTGCTTGATTAAAGTCTAAAATTTAAGTAAATCAATCAATCAGTCAGTTACTTAGTCTATCAATCAGTCAGATAGTCTAAAATTTCGTCTACATGTCAGCTTTTTACCTTATATTGATTGTCTTACAGTCAATCAGTGTCATTCAGTTATTCAATCATCAGTCAGTCAATCATTCAGCTATACGTTCCAGCAGTCATTCTAAGACATCAGTTTAAAATAGTCTAAAAGTCAGCTTCATAGCTTGCATTACCAAGCGTTCAATCAATCAATCAATGCCAATTGATTACATCAATCTGTCAATCTGTGCGTCGTTCGGTCAACCAAACAGTCAGTCAATCAAAAATCCATTTAACTGCAGTATAACAGTATAACTCAATCAATCAATAAGTCAATCAGTCAAATGATTGACCGCTTGATTGACCGTTTGATTGAGTTGTTTAGTCAGTCTGTCAGCTCTGGAAGTCAGATTAATTTCTATTTACTCAATTACTCAATCATTCAGTTATTATATTTCTTACTCAGTCAATCAATCAGTGCCTCAGAATGAGCGCAGATATCGCTGATATATTAGCTATTCCTATCTATCCAAACCCCGCTATCCAAGTATTACTTGAGCTCTTCAAACACATTCAATTCGAAATCAAATAGAAAATGTGAAAAGAGCAAAAAGAAAACCAAAAATTCTGATTGAAATTTGTTTGTGCAGAGAGAATTGATTGAATTGCCTGATGTATGGTGATCGTGTGCTTGTGTTTCGCTATATCGAATGACGGTGTTGTACACAATTTCAAGTCTATAAATTGTGGATCGCACACGAGCGATTGACCAGACTGAACACATATATATATATATATATATATATGGTCGATTATATAGCATATTCCGTTTCACATTCGCAGAGGCAGCAAGCGTTTTGCTTGTTTACTTGCGTCAAACATAAAACAAGCCAAAAAATATCTGACGCTTGGCCAAATGGGGGTGAGTGGATCGGCGGATCGGTGGATCGGTGGATCGGTGGATACGTCGGGCCTAGGCCGATGACTCAAGAGCAGGCAGCAAGGCAGGCAGGCAGGCAGGCAGGCAACTTGGCGTTGGTATTTTTGTTACAGCAACAGCAATAGGAACAGCAGCCAAATGAAATGTTTTGTATATATAATCTGCCTCACGCCGAGCACGAGAGAGGGAGAGAGGGAGAGCGAGCGAGCTGAAAATTGAAAACAGATCCGAAAATATCTCGAATCTCGCTGCGGCGCAGTTTGCCTCAATTTGAAAACATAGACGAGGTGCGAGCTGCTTAGACTTATTCTCGGTATTAAGCGAAGGCGGCGGGTGAGCAGCCAACTGGGGGGCTGGGGGGCAGCTCACACTATAGATCTTAGATCTTGGCGCATCTCAGCAAATGCTATGGCCTATGGCAATCAATCGCAATGACCTTTGCAGATATCTTATCTGACGGATACATTGCAATGCTAAACAAAACTTTGTTACCCAAGCAATACTATAATTGTATATATATATATATATATGTATGCACAGCTATATGATTCTATAACACAACACTGAAAGCCATGCGCCCCATTTAATAATATTGTGTAAAAGTTTATTTTGGTTGCGGCTGACGTCGCCATCAGCGTCGTCGTTGTTTAGAAACTCATACTCAGATAATCAAAGAATTTGTATTACATGTGGCACACCTGCACACACCCCCACCCACACACACACACACACACACATTAACTAATCAGACGTTCGACTAATCGACTTTGACAACATGGGGTCCAGCTCGTAATGGCAACTGCTTAAATCTCCTGCTCCGTTTTGGCCGTATTTCATAATGTTTTGTTTAGCATAAATCTGCGAAATATGTGTAAATATTCATTATCTCTCTCTCTAATGGCTGTTTCAACAGCTCAATTATCGTTTTTACAGTTCTCAAAACAAAAACATTCACAAAATTGCGCCAATAAAAATATGAAAAATCGCCAACGATTAGCATGGCAATTGGACACCTGCCTCGACTGGGGCAATTGCCAGCGAATCGAAATTGATTTTTAGTCAATTTTGAAATAATTTTAAAGAAATGCCAATACTAAAGATTTCCATCAATTCAACTATGTCGAGTCTGTGTAGACCTATATAAGATATTATCAATCACTATCAAAGCGGGGAAATGCTTCAGCCTTTCACTTTAAGAATTTTTGTTTTTAGTTAGTTATTGATAGATATTTATTTTATTTATAAATGTTTCTGTCATTTTCATAAATCATAAATAAATGCAAAATTATGTAAATATTATCTATATATATTTATCCGTTATAATATATTTGGTTAATATTTACATAATTTTACATTGATTTATGATTTTATTTTATTATAGTTATATTATAATTATTATAATATATAATTATAATAAATATATAAAATATAATTATTCAGTTATAATAATAAATATAAAAAAAATATATATATATATATTATAAATTATAAAATATATATTTTGAATTATAATAAATTTATATAAAATTTATTTCTTATTAATATATAGTAATAATTTTTAAAAAATATAAATTATACAATAATTAGCTTGTTTTAAATATTTATAATATTAAAATTAATTTTTTTTTAAATAATTATTTTATGTTAATTCATTTAAATGTATATTATTTAAAGCTCAAATTGGTATGTTTATTTATTTATATTGCCTTTGCACTAAGTGTAAAATAAACATCTACAAAAACGATTTCATTTGAGTGCCAAAAATTGAAATATTTAAATATACTAAGGAAAATTGATATAGATTAAAGATTAATGGTTTGAAATTTAACTTTTATATAACAAATTCAATTTGCTTTTTTCGTTTCTTAATTAAGTATACGAAATTATGAATTTGTATAACTAGAACAAAACAAAGCAAAACGTTTTTGCTCTTCAATTTTAAATCAAACTCACTTACATTTAAATTTAAATTGAATTAAATTTAATTTAAATAATTAAATTTAAAATAAATTTTTTTAAAGAATAAAAGTGCTTTATATATCAATGTTTATATCTAGATATATTGCGACAATTAAAATATGTGTTTATATATAAAAATAGATATCTATATTCAGAAATATATTCACATATTTTGCTTTGGCTTAGTAGATAAATAAATAAATAAAATAAAATAAATAAAATGATAAAGCTTTACTCTCTTAAGAAAGTTCAAATATATCATGAATATAATATTTCTACATCTCTGACACACCTCTTAAATGGAAAACTCTGGCTACATTTATCTAAACTTAAGTCAGCTTAGATCAACTTTATTCAAGCTCAACTTAAATGAAACTTTAATTCTCATCTCTTTCTGCAGCGCTCAAAATACCAAAGACAACGTAAGCTTAACTTCCAGTGGGGCAGTCAATGCATTGAGTTGGTGGGCGTGTCTTCAACGCACACAAACGCAAACACAGCCCCAGTCTATAGCTGATCAGTTCCGTAACGGATTCGCACGAAAGCAGTGGAAAAACCAGAAATATGCTTCAACATCCCGCCACAGATTTCTACGATTTGGCTGCGGCCAATGCGGCTGCAGTGCTGACGGCGCGGCACACGCCGCCCTACAGCCCGACGGGGCTGAGTGGGTCGGTGGTTGCGTTGCACAACAATAACAACAGCACAAGCAATAATAACAATAATCTCGATATGTTGACGCACAACGGCGGCGGCGGCGGCGGCGGTGGCGGCAGTGGCGTGGGCGTGGGTGTGGGCCTGGGCAGCGGCGGTGGCCTGAGCGGAGGCATCAATGCCAGCGGCCTGCACCTGAGCAGCGGCGGCAGCAATGGCGGCGCCGCAGCAACAGCCGGACGCGAAACATTGCCCAGCTTCGGCTTTACGCAGGAGCAGGTGGCCTGCGTGTGTGAGGTGAGCGACAGCTAACGAGCTGAGCTCTGGCTTCTGGCTAATATCATTTGCTGTTTGCTTGCTTAGGTTCTGCAGCAGGCGGGCAACATCGAAAGACTGGGTCGCTTCCTCTGGTCGCTGCCACAATGTGATAAACTGCAACTGAACGAATCTGTGCTGAAGGCCAAGGCGGTCGTCGCATTCCATCGTGGCCAGTACAAGGAGCTGTACCGGCTGCTCGAGCATCATCATTTCTCGGCCCAGAATCATGCCAAGCTGCAGGCTCTGTGGTTGAAAGGTGAGACGCCCTACCTCTCTCCCACTCTCTTTCCCACTCTCCCTCTCTCTATCTCTCTTTTGCCTCCTTTTTCACTCTCCGACTAACCCGAAATTCTTTCACTGTAGCGCATTACGTGGAAGCCGAAAAACTGCGCGGAAGACCTTTGGGTGCTGTGGGCAAATATCGTGTTCGCCGTAAATTTCCATTGCCCCGCACCATTTGGGACGGCGAGGAGACGAGCTACTGTTTTAAGGTGAGTACGCGCACCTTGACTGCCACTCCACTTCACTCCACTCTGCGCCGCTTGCCACATTAATTGCGGCAACAAAGGGCAAACAAAATGAAATCGTAGAAATGTTCGCTCTAAGCTTTAGGCTGTACTGCAAACAGGAGCACTCCTGGGCAACGCCTCCTGGCTTCTGCCTTCTGCCTTCTGCTTCCTATCTTCTTTCCTGTTTGCACTTGAGCTCTAGCTATGCAGGCCTTCAATTGATTAATTGTTTGCATATGCAGCAGAATTGTAAAAGTTATGAATAGCAAAAAAAAAAATGTTGCAGCTTTGAGTTTACCCATTGAAAATGGTTGCGCGGGGTATATTAGTTTTACGAAAGCGCATGTAACAGGCAGAAGAAGGCGTGACACGTGCATAAAACAGGCCTAGAATGATTGGAATAGTTGCAGAGGTCAGGGTATTTGCTAGTCGAGCACTAGCTACTAGAGCACTCTTACTTATTATAGCTCAATTAATTAAATCTGAATTTAGCTGACACTTGAATATTTCAGGTCAACAGTAGCTCTACGCTATTCTAAAAAACTCTGGAATTAGGAGAACATAAAAGTCTTCTAAAAATTATTCTATTATGAAGTTCTATTATGAAGTTCAAAGGCTGTTAGCCTGAATTCTCCCTAATGAACTTGAGGAAGTTAAACTTATGTTATATAAAAAACTAACTAAAAAATATTTTAAATATTAAATTTAAAATATTTTAAAAATATTTTAAATATTAAATTTAAAATATTTAAAAAATATTTTAAATATTAAATTTAAAATATTTAAACAATATTTTAAATATTAAATTTAAAATATTTAAAAAATATTTTAAATATTAAATTTAAAATATTTAAAAAATATTTTAAATATATAATTTAAAATATTTAAAAAATATTATTATTACGAAGTAGAAACACTTTTGAGGCAGGCTTATTTAGTTATTTAATAGAACTTTGATCCTAAAGCTAGACTCAAACCAAACTTAATCTATTTTATAGACTTTATAGACTTGCCAAGCCAGAAAGCAATGAAGGAGGGTTTGAATAAGCTAATTAAGCTAATTAGCATAATTGAGTGGAATGATAATAGAAAATAATTAGAATAGAATCTCATAATTTAGAAATATTGCAAAGTGCAAAAGGTGAACAGATTTCAGCTGCTGCAACATGAAGAAATAATTTTTTTTCCCAAAAAATCATTAAGATATTTAACAATATTTATTTGTCATCAATATATGAACTGCTTAACCTAACTGTGTAATGCCCTATAGAGCTGTTGTCCCTCTTAATCTCAGCTGCTGAAAAGCTAAAGTTCGATTCACATTGGCCTAGGCATAACCAGAGACGATAGGAAATCCAAAAAATAAAATATATATATAGAAATGTTTCTCTTCTTGAACTTCATAATTTATAGAGAACTACTAGATGCAGTGTTCAATATACACTATAATATTAAATAGCTCATAGATAGATATTAAACAGACCAGTATTAGAAATATTAAATAGATCAGTTTAGATATCGTAAATAATTTGAACTCTCCTGCAGGAAAAGTCCCGTTCAGTATTGAGAGACTGGTATGCGCACAATCCGTATCCATCGCCACGTGAGAAACGCGACTTGGCCGAGGCCACAGGACTGACCACGACACAGGTGAGTAGCGCGCCCGCCAGGTAGCTGCTAACAGAAAACTTTTGCACTTGCAATTTGTCAACTGTTAATTGCGTGTCATTAATCAGATGGCAGAGAAAATGTATTTCAAAATGATGTATTCAGCTATATATAGACTTGGAGCTTATACTTATATTCACTATATATATATATATATATATATATATATATATATATATATATATATTTATATTTACAGGTTTCCAATTGGTTCAAGAATCGACGACAAAGAGATCGCGCTGCCGAGCATAAAGAGTAAGTTCTCTTCCAAATATATGAGATGATAATATATATAATTAAAATATAGATATAGATATGTATATATATGCATCTATATATATACAGTTATTTGGTTAAGCGTCAACGCTTGCGAAATGAATTGGTTTTTCAATTTGAATTACTTGACGTTTACACACTTTTGAGACAAGGCCAATTTGTGGCTGTTGATTGTGCCTGGGTGGGTGATTAGTGTCAAGGACACGTGTACAGCCGAATGAATAATGTGAATAAATAGCTTACAAAGTGTTCATATTTATGAATCTGTATATGAAAATGGAAATGGAAATGGAAATGTGGCTGACAAATTTCATGATCACATTTTCAGATCTTTGTTTTTGTAGGCGCATTGTCATCTGCCTGGCAGACGATGGCCACGCTGGACAGAGCTGAAAACCAATGCAGAGTCCTTGCCAAAGGACGTAGAAAACAAAACGAAAAACATCTGCATTTCGGCTTAAGCAAATAGACGAACGTCTCTGAAACTCTCTTCAGTTCGGCATGTTTCAGATGCTTGGCCGCTGATAGGCAACTTTTCAAATATTAAACATCCTTTCGAGCATCCTTTTGTTTACTCGCCCGCGCTCTGCCTCACCCTCGCTCACGTCTGTTCGAAGTCATGTGAAATGCAAACAGCGCAAAATGTGAATTGGATATTGAAAATGGGTTTTAAAGTGGCCTCGAACTACATTAAGTTAATATCCTAAATATACACATATACACATATATGCATATATATTTATATATATGTGTGTGTGTCTTTGCTTTAGTCTAAACGGCATATCGCTTACTCAAAAGAACTTCAATTCACGATAAAAAAAAAACAAATGTAATTAAAACAATAATAAAAACAAAAAAATTGTCGCAATATATATAAAAATTGGCCGCCTTGGCAACCGCAACACACATACACACGCACACTTAGATACTGATATGCAGCTGACAAAAGTATCTCACAGATACTTTTGCATGCGCTTGATATAGTAGGCTGGCAATAGCTACGTTAGTTTTTGCACTACGTAGCGTCGCCGTTGTACTCACGTCTTTTTATTTTATTATGCTTCACGTTGTTGTTGTTGTTGTTGTTGTTGTTGCTGGTAACCTGATATATGTTTATGGCTGCGCCGCATCGAGCAACAGCAGCAGCAGCAGCAGCAGCAACGGCAACTGAGCGCTGCTACTTTAACTTTTCATACACTTTTCGTTGTTGTTTTCTTGTTTTTGGTTTTTGTGTTTTCAATGTGCAGTGAATACTCGTCTGGAGGTACGCACACACACACACACGCACACATTTAGCTGTATATCTGCCCCATTGTAGTTGACAGCTCACAAACTCTCCCAGCGCACCTCGCCTTTTTAATTTGAGCAACTTGAGTTTATTTAACATATTTCCAGCCACAACTCCAAATGACTTCAAATAACTTGTCCCATTTAACTTTCATAGGCTGAAGACAAATAAATACACATGGACACCTTTTTTTGCCACTAGTGTAAACTTATGTGAAAAGAATATTTGCTGCAAAGTGGAGTTTTGATTGCATTTACTCCGGTTTAGAGAACATATTTTTAAAGCTAAACTAGATTTATTAAATATTATTCAACATTAATTAATATATTTAATATATATATACAGAAGAGAAATTAACATACAGAAAGATACATGCAGAGACACAGAGGCGCATATTAAGTAGCCTCTACAAAAAAATATTGACTTGATAAATCTAGTTTCAATTTTATTTGAAACCGTTTCTAATACCAATTTCATTACATACACCCTCAATTGAAATATATATGCTTGTAATTTCTTTATTTACAACATGTTACAACTATTTCATATCTTTCCGTACGTAAATAAAATAAAAGAAAAACAAAATAAGAGATTCAATAAATAGTTAAAAACTAGATCAGAAACGTTGTGTGTACTAGTTGATCCGAAAATACATATATATCTAATTTATTGTCCCAAATGTGTTTTAAGTGCTGCCTCGTACCGCTCGTAAATTCCCGTAGATTGCTCCTCTTTTTGTTCCAATTAGCCAAACACAAAACACAGCGCCATTCGCATATAGTCGACGGTCGAAGATATCGCCGTTATAATGACGCGATATCGGTCTATATACATGGCAATGAACAGCAGATACTTCTTGTTGGTGACCTGGAATTTCCACAGATTGTTTGCGGCGCCAATCAGATCCCAGTTTGGCTGGAACTCTATATCGAAATGCTTTTCGCCCACGAACTGGCACATGCCATAGTAGAGGCCCATCACCATCAGTGGATAGAGAACGGGTAGCAGCATGAAGAAGAGCAGGACGCAGGTGTATATGCACTTGAGCAGCGTCGGAAAGGGCAACTGCTGGAGCCATATGTCGAACAGGTGCTCCAATAAAGGTTGCATATAGTAGACTAAACGACCTGCCCATGATATATTTGACCACTACAAGAAATTAAAGTTATTCCAAAGGGACATTTGGGTGGTTGGGTGTTTGAGTGATTGGGTGATTGGGTGGTGTAATGGGTATCTTACGATTCTGCGCTTGTGCAGTGGCTTTTTCCAGGTCTTGTGCATTTTTACCGGCAATTTAGGTTGTATATAAATTTTTATTGTTTCACATAAAAAAACAAAAATTTAGGGTCTTTAACTATTTACATCAAATACTTTGTACTACAATACAAAAATGCCTACTACATAATCAAACTTTTGACAGTTGAGTAGTTGTGGATCGCAATTCACTCAGTTCACCTACATCTTAGTTTGATTATGCTTCGATCCTGTATCGCCTACAACAATAACGACAATGGAAATGAACAGCACCAGCAGCAACCGGGCGCGCAAAAAAAAAAAATAAAGAAAACAACAAAAACAACAACATAAAAACTTTAAGACTACTTCAAATATGAGCAGAGTTCCAGTGTTCCAATACCAAACGCCTCATTTCATGCCCGACCCGTTGAAGTTTATTTCTGTGTGTGTGTGAGTGTGTGTTGCTGTGCTTGTAACTGTGTGCATTAGTATATGTTTGTGTGTCGATCTCTCGGGCAGCTCAGGGCTCATCGTTTTGCGTTTGCGTTCGTCGAATGCCACGGTTGGCTGGAGGGTAGCTGGAAAGAGTATCAAGTTACCACAAAATGTGCGTGTGTTCTTTATTCGTTCGCATCAGCGCCGTCGCCGTCGCCGACGTTGACGTTGACGTCGTCGCTGCGCGTTATTCATTTTTATTCGTTTTATTGTACATTCTGTTTTTATTATTATGTATTTTGCGCTTTTGCCCGTCTCTGTCTCGCCTTTGTGATTGTTGTTTGTTTGCGTCTCTGCCGATGCCGCTGCCACTGCCACTGCTGCCGTTCCAGCCCTCTGTACGCACACACAAACATGCATATGTAGAAATGTATGTGTTTGTATGTATATTCTTATATGGGTCTGTGGCCCGTCCGTTCCCGTTTCTGGAGTTCCGTGACGCATTTGGGTTGAGTTGAGTTTTTGCCGCCGCTGATGGCGTTGATAATGATGTCGTTGGTGATGATGGACCGGTATGGAACTGAGACCTCAATCCAAGGCGCTGTCAGCTCTGATCTGCTCTACTCTGCTCTGCTCTTGTAGGGCGTTTAAGCATGTGAAGGTACTCGTCGGGTGGGCGCTTGTGTCAAGTGATTTACCCAAATATAATTAGAAAACTGAGCACCTTATCGTTCGCTGTGAGTATACAAAAGTTTTGCGTTGCATTGAGCACCCTTCCAGTTGCGCCTTCCAGCATTCCCATTTCATTGTCAGACTGACACAAATTTTTTCAATGGCAATGTTTCAATTCCTAGGGTTTCACTTGGTTTCCCTTTGTGGACTTCAAGTTGAAGTTCGTCTTCGCCGGCTCGTAAATGCCGTAAGCTGCTTAAGTTCTTAAAGATTGTTAAGGCTTACATAAAAGTGGAGAAGTTCATTGGTCAAGTGGCATCCTACCTGAATGAAAACTGAAGCTTGAAGAAACCATCAATAATAATAGAGCGCCAACCTATATAGTACTCATATACTTATTGATTCATATAGTGCTCATACAGTAATCTATCTATAGCAAATCTATTCATATTAAAGATCGATCGAGATCCAAACATCAGCTGTTTCGTAAGCTCAAGCGAAGAAAATCAGACGGTAGCGATAAACAGAGGGGCCCTGTAGTCGGTTGGTGGGGTAGTCGGAGCTACACATCGTATGGTGGTAGATCGTTGCAGGATTTCCAAGAAATTCCATTGCTAATAAAAATTATAAGTCAATAAATCGTAAAAACAAATAAACAGTCACACACACACACCACACACTTGTAGCAGAAGGTTGGGAAAAATGAAACGCTGTTTCAAAAAAGAAGACGAAGACGAAGAAGAAGAAAAAATCTGAAGCCCAAGTCGAAGAGCTGGAGATCACGATCGATCCAAGTGCAAGCTAACCAAGCAAGCAACCTAACCAAGCAGCGAATGAACAGGTTGAGTTATCGCATTGCGCGATCGGTACACAAATCCCGAGACGTGTGCGCAGCAGGACACCCAACTAAACGGTGACCGTTCGCCTGGGTTGAGAGTTCCGAGTTCCATAAGAAGAATCTGAAAAGGTGTTGATCATAAATTATCATTTAATTTACGCATGTGTGTGGCGTGTTGTTGCTGTTGTTGCTGTTGTTGGCGCGGGCCCAAAAGACAGACTTGACACAGCTCGAGCTCTGCAGCTCCCCCCGCACACTGCAGCCCGAACACTCTCAACCTCTCATCTAGCAGTAGTAGTAAAGTTGTACCCAAGCATTGTCCCATTGTCTACAACTATGTTTCGCTTTCAGTTTTCCGTTTTCGGTTTCAGTTTCACTGTTCCCCCCCTGCCATATGCCATGTAGATCTTAACGATTAACCAAAAAGTCATCGTTCGCATCGTTATAAAATATTTTATCTTATTGCCTGCTTGCCTGGCTGGTTGGTTGCGTGGCTGCTTGGCCCCACTCACACTCCAGTTGGCGTGTGGCGCATTTTATGCAGGCTGCGCTTTATTTTGACAGTTTTTAATAATTTTGTTGCTTTTTAATTGCCCTGCCCCAACAGATCAGACGTTGATAAGATCGCCGAGTCATTCGATTCGTAAGTGATTTGTGTCTATTGTTGCCTTGCAATGGAATTGTTTCGATATCAAAACAAAATAAGTATGAGCCAAGCCCATCTAACGTATTTGAATCGATGCCGAGATAAAATCTCGTTGTTTGTTGTTTAGTAAAGGACTTTTCCTAGTTGATTTAGAGCTCATTTATTTTTTTATAAAAAAAATTTGGAAGTACTTTAAAACAAAAGAGATTACTACCAAGAACTCACTCCATTTTTTTTAATTTTAAATCATTTTTGAAGCAATTGGTTTGAACCCTTAGCCCAACTAAGCACTTTCATTCAAATCTTTAGTTCGCTTGGCACTTTCTCGTCCAGCTTCAAGTTATTTACTTTAGTTTATTAGAAACTCAAATTTTTGTAGATTTTGTATAGCCAAAAGTTTAAATATTGCTCTTAGCCTTAGCTGAAGGCCTTGACTTGAGCTGTCCAAACTATCACACTTCATCTTTTGTTAGCTTTTAGGCCTGGTATCTAGCTTTCTCATTTTGTACTCAAGCGATTTCTATTATTGCATTATTATGGTCTCTTTTTAGTTAATATATGTCATAGTCTAGCGTGCCTTAAATCCTTTGTCAAACTATTTGATTTCTTCAAAATCTTTAGCTTTGGGTTTTATAATATATAGTTAACTTAGTTCTCAGATAACTTTGTACTAAAATAAAATAAAATTCTTAATTCATTTATAAACCTTGACTCTAACGCCCTTACCAATTTCTGTGAGTTCTTAGTTAGCTTTAAATCGCTAACTCTAACTGCCTCAGGCATTACAGTCCACTCTTCGACTATCCATTGAGTTATAGCAACAAATCTTTCGATTGCTCTCAGTTAGGCCTTCAAGGTAACGCCCTCATCTATGACAATCCACTCTTTGGCTATGCATTTCGCATTGTTCGTTGTTCTCTCGCACACATAATCCGATCAGGCCGATTATTGCCAAGCTAATGAATCTGCTTAATGCAGCTCCAATAAGCAACGGCAACAACAACAGCTTTAAAAACTTAAAGCTACAAAAAATCAATTGAGCAAACAAGTAAAAATTAATTCCTCATCACTGAGCAGTGCCCAAAAGAAGAAAAAACGAGTCCAAGAACTTTTGGCCGGGACCACACACACAGAGCCAAAGTCTTGACCAGTCACTGATGAGATTCTTACCTCTTTTGCATGTTATTGTTGTTGTTGTTGTTGTTGTTGTCATATATTGTATATAAACTCTATGTGACATTCATGTATTGAGGGATTGTCCTTGGAAGCGCAGCTACCGCGAAGGCTGCTTACTTATAATAACTTGTGGGAAGTTCAAGCATAGCCGACTGCTTAATACTCGCTCGAGACACAAAGAAACTCAAATTTATGAATTTGCCAGAGCAATAATAATGCTATAGAAAAATGCATCTATATATATACCATATTTGAAGTATTTTGATGAACCAATATACCCGTTTCGCTTGCTTAGGAGAGTGCAAGACTTTAAACAAGTGCAAAATATAGATACTTCCCAATGGGTGTGTTAGACGTAGCTAAACACGACTATATATAGTAATATATATACTAAATTTGAACTAGCTTGATCCTATATACCCTACTCATTTGCTGAGCGAGTAACATATTCTAAAGATATGGTTCAGCCCAATAGGCATATCAGAAGAGTCTAAACATGTCTTTATATAGTAATATATATACCAAATTTGAAGTCTCTTGACGCATCTATATACCCTGCTCACTTGCTGAACGAGCATATCAGCAAGAAAAAAAACTTGAATGTGTGTATATTTATTTTATAATGCAATCAGTTGAAAATACTCATCAGACTATATAGGAATATGCCATTAAAGTAGGCGCTGTCTCAACCACCAACTCGGCGCTCTCCTCCCTCCCTCGCCCTCTCTCTCTTTCTCTCTCGCTTCGTCTCTCTTCTGGCCCTGTTAATAAGTGTTGCAGTAAGCGAGCAAAGCCAACAACTATGAAATTCTGGAAATTTGATATCATTGTTTATATGCTGCTGCCCTTTTGTTGTTTGCTCCCCACTTTTGCTCGGCTGACTGAATGGCTGAATGGCTGACTGAACGACTGTCTGACTGGCTGGGCTAGGGCCAGTGCCACTGCCATGGCCAGGGCTGGGCATTTACACTCTACACAAATTTTAGCATTTCAGCCATTTCTCCGTGCGAGTTTGGCTTTATGTTTGCTCAGCCTGTTTGCATCTAGATCTGTGTTTGTTTTGCTTGGGTGGATGGTTTTCTCCCTCTTTGCCAACATCGATTTTTCCTGCCTTTGGAAATGGACAAACCCCAACGGCGGCTTCTTAAATTATTTGACAAAAATTTAACATTAACTAAACTCAGTTCGCACTTTTAGCAATTGCAAGCATTTAAGCTTAAAATTCTCTTAAATTTCTATTAGTTTGAGTTTATTTCTATTCAAGTTCTGTTCAAAGTAACTGGAAATTCTTAAGATATTTGAAAAATCTTTAACTTTTGACAGTAAATTTCTTATGTACTATAGAGAAAACTGTTCTTAACTTAAATTTCCTATAGCAAAAGTAGAAAAGTTACTCAACTTTTTTTTTGATTAAAGAATTTTCGATTTATTTTGAAATTGATTTGAAAATTTCAAATTTATATATATGAAAAACTAACTAGTAAAATACTTTGACTTTCTACAAATAATATTTCTTTTATTTTTAAGACTTCTAAAGTAAGTAAAACTTATTATGTATTAACTAATGGAAGCATCTTTAAGTATTTTAATCAATTTATTATGTGTCAAGCTTAGCTTATATTAAATAAGTAAAGTAAAGCTCTTCTATTTCGAAATATTTAAATTATGCACACTATAACTTATAAGAGATACCCTGTAAAATATTCGAATATACATATTTGTTCTCATTAGCATATTCCAAATATATATCCGTTTCGCCATGGCACAATATTTTAAAGATTCCTCAAAGAAAGCTAAGCCTGCTCCATATTCCCAGTTAAAAGCAGTTGAACTTGTGCTCATATCAGACACTCGATATACCCCTTTGCTATTTGTAATGGGTACAAAACACACAAATGAAAACAACTGCAAATCTGATTAAGCACAATCTGAACATCTAAATAATTCTATGTCCATAAAATGCTAAATCAAAACAAATTCTGCAAATTCTTATAAGACTCCCATAAAGGCGAACAATGCTAATTGGAAACAGCACACATATGTATTTATCTATAAATATATCATATTAAGCGCAGGCCACCCCCAAAGCATGATGCAAGTGTTTCCCAGTCAACAACAACAACAACAAAATGCAGATGTGCAGAGGCTGCAAAATGAACAGAATTGGCAATTATCAAGCACAGCAAGTGATGCTGACTAGCATCAATGTAAGATGAATGCGAGATGAATCTACAATTACACGATGCCCAACAGCTGGGCCTGCTCATTCGAGATGCCGGCAAGTCTGCGCCTGCGCCGTATGTGGCCGCCGACCCGTCGGCTTCCAGGTCTGCAACTGGGCTCGGCGCGGCTCGAATTGCGCGCGAGTCAGCAAATAGCTTGGCAGGCGAAGTGGGCGGAAGCGGCGGAGGAAAGGTTGTAGGCAGTCTATACTGTAGCTGTAGCTGTAGCTGTAGCTGATCTGGCAGATTGTTCCCAATGATCTCTGGCCACAAATTTGTCGAGTGTGCGCTTAAATGTTTAGCATGGCCCTGAGACCCTTGTCGCCGTCGCCGTCGCCGTCGCCGTCGCTTGTCGATGTTTGTTGTCATCAATTTTTTGTTTTTTTCTCAAACTGGTTCTGGCTACATTTGCAATTGGGTTTCGCGACAAGATTAAGATTAACACACACACACGCGCGTATACATCGCACTGCGCCGATAATGTCAGTCGCTCGAATTTCAAATTGCGCCTTGTTATCGCTCTGCCAGTGAATTAGCCATTAAAATGTCAGGACAGTTTAGCACTAACAAATTGAATAACACGAACAACAATAACAACAACAACCACATCAAAATTCACACAATTATGCGTGCGCTTGTGTGTGTTTCAATTCCCAACGGTGTCTGGAATTGGGCCAGCAAAATGAGTGTCTCGCTTCCACCCTGGCGAACGGTGGCGTTAAAAACGACACTTGAAAGTCATTTACAGAATCAGCCACAAATAATAAAAGTCAAGCTGCTTAAGTTTTCTTCGAAAGTGCGAGCGAGCACGCTATATGACACTCGCACACATGCACACAAAGACAGCAGGCGCAGCTCAAATAACTGAAATCAGATGCGACGGCGCTCTGTGGGGAAATGCACTGAGCAGCCCCTCTCGTTGTTTGTTTATGTGTTTGTGGGTGTATGTGTGTGTGACACCTTTTGTACGTGTCGTGCTGCTCTAGCTCACGGCCAGGGCCTATGCTGGAATATGAAACTGAAACCATTTATAGAAATGCTTGCGACGAGAGTAAAAATATTCAAGCAGACAATTTCCTTCCGGCTTTATTTTCAATTGCCCGCTCTGTCATTTGTCATTTGTTTATAAATACATACTTAACTGTTGTATATGCTATGCGTGTGCTGTTGTTGTTATTACTGCAGTGAATTAGTTAGAGCAATTGACACATTTTAAATTAAACGTTTGTTGACAGCTCAAAACATCTGTTTTGTAAGCGGAGTTCGACAGCCTTTCCAGGGCGGGAAACTGGGCATATGATTATTAAGCATTTATATATTATATTTAAATGATGCAATTGGCTTATTGTTTATTCTATTCTTCTATTTATAGCGGCTCCACGGACAAACAACACTTGGACTCATCCAGCGATTCTGAAATGGAAGGCAACATGCTTTCCAGTCAAAGCGCACAACAGCAACAACAGCAGCATGCAGCTGCACCACCACACCTCGCGCACCACTCACAGCAGCAGCAGCAGCAGCAATCGCCCAGCAACAGTAACAACAACAGCAACGGCAACAGCAACAGTTTGCATCAGCATCAGCAGCAACAGCAACAGCAGCAGCTGCAGCATGTGCCAGTCGAGCAAAGCCTGCAACATCATCAGCATCAGCAACATGTTGCCAATGCGACGGCAGCCAGCAAAAGCAGCGCTGCTGCCGCCGCTGTCGCCGTAGCCGCCTCCCAAATGCCGCCCCTCTCCGCCGCCGTTGCGTACTCCCATCTGCACAGCGTCATGGGCGCCATGCCCATGTATGACATGGGCGAGTATCAGCACTTATGATTCTAGTTGGAGGCTGCTGCTGCGGCCAGTAGCAGCAGCGGCGCCAACAACAGCAACAACAACTGCCACAGCAGTAGCAGCAGCAGCAGCATAAGCAACAACAACAACAACAACAGCAACAGCAACAACTGCGAATGGCCAGCCATGCTGCGCCAACGGCAGCCGCGCAGCCTGCAACTGCAGCAGCAGCAGCAGCATCCGGAAAGCTTTTACTTCTAAAGCAGCAATAAGATAATAGAGAATCGCATCCTCGGACATATTTCGTATTGTATATCAACAGTTAGCAGCAGCAACAAATTTTATTTAATCAGCAAATAGCAGCACAGCATTTTTTCAATATCAACCAGACAGTTATAGATACAGATACAGATAAAGATAAAGGTACAGATACAGTTACAGTTATATAGTAGAAAAGGCTATAGAGAGAGGATTGCAGCACAATCTGTTGCAATTCTTGATTAGAAAAAGTAAACAAATAAAAACAAGAATGGATTACTTAAACTTCATTGATCTGTGTAAATAGCTAGGCTTTAGTTTTAGAGCGGAACGGGACGGGAATGGAACCAAGACTCCATTTCCATACGCCAGATGGCATGCAATGGAATGGAATCTGGGCCGTTCTCTCTGCCCGAAAACGCAAATGCAAATCAAATCGAAATGTGCAAAAATTATATATATATAAATATATATATATATATATAAATTCTATTAAATTATTTTCAATGTATTTATAATTATTATTTTAAATATATATGAAAACAGCAGCATGCAGCTGCACCACCACACCTCGCGCACCACTCACCAGCAGCAGCAGCAGCAGCAATCGCCCAGCAACAGTAACAAACAACAGCAACGGCAACAGCAACAGTTTGCATCAGCATCAGCAGCAACAGCAACAGCAGGCAGCTGCAGCATGTGCCAGTCGAGCAAAGCCTGCAACATCATCAGCATCAGCAACATGTTGCCAATGCGACGGCAGCCAGCAAAAGCAGCGCTGCTGCCGCCGCTGTCGCCGTAGCCGCCTCCCAAATGCCGCCCCTCTCCGCCGCCGTTGCGTACTCCCATCTGCACAGCGTCATGGGCGCCATGCCCATGTATGACATGGGCGAGTATCAGCACTTATGATTCTAGTTGGAGGCTGCTGCTGCGGCCAGTAGCAGCAGCGGCGCCAACAACAGCAACAACAACTGCCACAGCAGTAGCAGCAGCAGCAGCATAAGCAACAACAACAACAACAACAGCAACAGCAACAACTGCGAATGGCCAGCCATGCTGCGCCAACGGCAGCCGCGCAGCCTGCAACTGCAGCAGCAGCAGCAGCATCCGGAAAGCTTTTACTTCTAAAGCAGCAATAAGATAATAGAGAATCGCATCCTCGGACATATTTCGTATTGTATATCAACAGTTAGCAGCAGCAACAAATTTTATTTAATCAGCAAATAGCAGCACAGCATTTTTTCAATATCAACCAGACAGTTATAGATACAGATACAGATAAAGATAAAGGTACAGATACAGTTACAGTTATATAGTAGAAAAGGCTATAGAGAGAGGATTGCAGCACAATCTGTTGCTAATTCTTGATTAGAAAAAGTAAACAAATAAAAAACAAGAATGGATTACTTAAACTTCATTGATCTGTGTAAATAGCTAGGCTTTAGTTTTAGAGCGGAACGGGACGGGAATGGAACCAAGACTCCATTTCCATACGCCAGATGGCATGCAATGGAATGGAATCTGGGCCGTTCTCTGCCCGAAACGCAAATGCAAATCAAATCGAAATGTGCAAAAATTATATATATATAAATATATATATATATATAAATTCTATTAAATTATTTTCAATGTATTTATAATTATTATTTTTAAATATATATGAAAAATATAAATACGTAAATATATTATAATTAAATTATCTTTAAATAAAGCAAGCTTTAATGATAAAAGGAACTGAAGGGTAAGAACTGAAAGTGCTGGGGTGATATGAGTGAGTGGGAAGAGCTAAAAAAGGTCCACCAGAAGCTGCTCTTCTCTTTAGATACTTCAATTATTTTTAACTATTGGCAGTTATCACAGAAGCTGGATCTCTCTATATATGAAAGTAAATATCTTATATTGTATTGTAGGAATTTAATTGATCTATACATATTATAGATCAGATCTGAGCTGATGATCAAAGAGAATAGGGGAGGCAGATAGACCGACAGTCCTGCAGACAGAGAGAGACAGAGAGAGAGTGAGGGAGATAATGGAAAAATTCGACCTAATGTACACATGTTCAGTCTCTTTCTCTCTCTCTCTCTCTCTCTCTCTCTCAGTCAGTTAAGTTAATCTAAATGTCCTCTCTATCTATATATACATATATATATCTGTCTATGTCTATGTCACTCTCTCTCACTCTATCTCTTATTTTATTTTATTCTCTATGTCTCAGTCTCTTTCACTCTTTCATTTACTTTCTTTCACTTTTTCAATCTTTACTTTCTCTCTCTCTCTCCTTTTTCACTGACTGAGTCTTTTTCACTCTTTCTCTCTCTCTCTCTCTATCTACATATTTATATTTCCACTCTATTCACTTAGGCAAATCCATTCTCTTATCGATAAGTACAGGGTATAAACACACGTCTGACCGCAACACCAAGCAGACAACACTAATCCGCGGCGACAGGTAAGCCCGCTAATGCTAATAGCCCTGGATAATGGGCGTCCGTCTGCTGGGCGCGCGTGCGTCTCGCGTGCACGTCCCACACGCGCCTCTGCAAAAAAGTCGCGACACATGTAATGAGCATGTTAATGGCACCAGCGTCTGCTCTGGCGGTGGTGACCCTTCATCATCATCAACGGCAACACCTGGCAACGCTCACGACTGAGAGGGCGGCGCTTGGCAACTGGCAAAGTGTGCGCCGAATGTTGCCAAGGCTGGAGTCGCGAGCATTGAGGGTGGCTGCCGCCTGACTGGCTGACTGACTTTCCAAGCTCTCGTTGATTTGCCGCTCGCTACTGTTGCTACATGCTAACATACTAACACACTCACACACACATACATATATACATATATACATATATGTTGCACAGACTCCGTTGTCAACGCCCAGCCACCCCCATTGACGGCTCCGTTGCCATGCATCGCACACACGTGTCTGGCTGGCTGGCTGCCTGCCTGGGACGGCGTCTCTGATTGAGTCTGCGTATCTAGTTACATAATATTTTGACTTCTTTTAACTTGCGGTCCATATTGCATATAATTTAATTAACGGACACGAATTCAGCTTTCTTTGTGTGCAGAGTTTTGAATAGAGATTTTAAATTTAATGTGCAGCGCGGATGCTCATAAGCTGAGCAATAGCATAAAAATTATTTTTACACTCATATAATAATTTAGTAGAGAGAGTCGATTCTAGGTATTATCACGAGTATTATCTTATTTACAGTTTCTGTAGTTATATTGATCAAAATCAGCATGGAAAACGTTTCATTCCTGCTCCTGTTAGCAGATGGATCTTATTATCGAACTGCTACATATATCCTTAACATCTATAAGATCTTGAAAATGTAGTCCAAAAAATAGTTTTAATATTAGAAGTTTTACTGTTTCTGATATTTTGAATAAGTTTAGAAAACAAGAGAGTTAATATTCTCCTTAAATATCTAACTAACCATATTTGGCTGTACCAATACTTATTACTTTTACTATCAGCACTTTCCTTCTTCGGAAATAGAAATATCTATGTTTAAATATCAAAAGAGAAATATGGAAATGGCGCCAAGTAAAACTAGTCAAGAAATAATAATACTAATAAAGCTGGCAATAAATTAACGAGCATAAATTACTCATAAAACCAATAAGAACTAAATTTCATTGACTCTCATTTATGATTTTCTAATTTCCTTTCATTAAAATTCCATTATGTAAAAACACAAAAAGAACTGTTCCGAGTACCTGCTACAAGAGCCAAACGATGTCCATGTGTTCGTTGGAATTGGAACACACTGTAAGCCTTAACGGCTGCTGAGCTGCTTCCACGAAAGTGACAATATAAGGGGATTACAATTAAACGCCGTTCAGAATAGAATAAAGCCCAATGGACAACGGTACTCAATGAACATTTGTGAGTTGCCCACAAAGCAGATTAGTGCACACATGGCAGTGTGCGTGTGTGTGTGTGAGTGGAATGAAGTGGAATGTGGAAGTATGTATGCATGTGTGAGTGTGTGAACTCCCATTCTTCACATCTCTTAATCTGTCATCGATTGTCAGCATTCAAAAATGTTGACAAAAAACCATGAATTGCTGAGGTAAAATGCCTGAAGACTAAGGATACAGACTTTATTATAAAGGATAAGTTAAGTTTATGAATACAAAATGCGTGTCCAGGTTTCCACCGATATCATTTGCGCCCTCGCCTGGCGGTCTGTTTTTTGATGGGTCTTGGCAATTCTTCCTCGGACATTTCGCTCGAGCCAGACGACGGCGCTGGCTTTTTGCCTCGCTGCTGTTTGTTCTGGGGCTGCGGACGACGCGCTGTGGGCACCTCGTCGCCATCGGAGCTATCGTCGGAGCTGTCCTCCTCGGAGCTTTCTTCTTCGGAGCTGCTGTCTTGTTGCACGTTCCGTCCACGTCTACTGACATTGCCCGCTGCACCCTTAACTAATCTGCGTCCGCGCTGCGATTTGGTAGTTGGTTTTTTCGACTTGGTATTCTTTGCCTTCGTGTCGCTGTGACTTTTATCAGACTGGGCACTGGTGCCCTGTTCGTTGACCTGAAGGCACTCGTTGAGGCGCGTCTCGAACTCCGTGATGACCGCTTTCAGTTCCGGTTTGGCCAGTTTCGAGGTGTTGCTGATGATGAGCTTAAAGGATTGATAGACCTCGTCCACCTGCACCTTGTCCTTGAAGTGCTGCATATTGTCAATCAGCTTCTTGATGGATCTCTCATTGTAGCTAAGCAGACTTAGACAGTAGGCAATATCGCGCCACTGGCGCTCTGCTCGTGTGACCGGGAATCGCAGGCACAACTTTTCCACCAGCGTCTCGATGTGGCGATCCTTTTGAATGAGCCCCAGTATATAGCGCATAACCGTGCGATATTTATCCTCCTCCAGGTGCAGATTGACGTCGCCCAATTTGGAGATGATGTCAGGCAGAACGTTATACAGTATGTTCGACTTGTTGGCTATCTCCTTGAAGAACTGTTGGGTAATATTTTTTATCTCGTCGCACTCGTCGACAATGCACAGTGCCAAGTCGGCTATTTGACCCTTGACCCGTATCATTTCGTGTAGAATTAGATGCGAAAGCATCTTCACGGCGGTCAGACGAAGTTCCGTATTCTCTTCGTGCAGCTGGGCATAAAAGTGTCCTGTCCAGGGCTCAATAATGTTCGGGAAACGGAATGTCAGGTCCGACAAGCCTACCACCGTATTACACTTGATCTTCATGTTCTTCGTCATATTCAGAATGTTCATGAGGAAGGACATGTTCGACTCGCAGAACTTAGAGGAGACCGTCATCAGGCGCGCCAGTGCCAGAGTCGCAGCCTGTTGCAAATCCTGATCGCGATACTCGCCAGGTCGCTTGCATATGTTAATTATAATGGGATAGATCTTGGACATAAGCGCACTCGGATTATACAGCAGAATATCCTCGCAAATGGCGTTAATCTCCTCGGCAATGTTATCCTCTGCCGTCGCGCCCACCAAATCGTCATCCGGCTCCTGCTGCGGCTCGGCGGCTACGGTTGACAGGCGCTTCCTTACCTCCATCGCCGAGACATTCATTGTCTGGCGCCGAAGGGCGGTGCCTGCATCTTTTTTATTCTTCTTCTCTTCCAGAGCTGTGAGCTCCTCACGATACTTCATGTTGTTGTAGACATCCATATCCAAGAATATCATCTCCTTGATGGTCATATAACCAACACAGAACAGAAACCGTGTAACCAAATATACAGGCAGTCCAACCGCCTGATCTTCGGCTGCTTTGGGCTGCGACTGTGTCTGGGACATGGGCAACGCCTGCGAATGTGGAATGTCTGTCGTCTGCGTCAGCGTCGGCTCCACGGGCGACACTGCTACCAGCCACTGATCGTTAAAGCGCTCAATCAGTTCGCGTACAATATTCTGAGCCAGCTCATCGGGCGCCTGGCACATACGATAATAATACTCAAACAGACTCATAGCCAGCGCATCGAAGTCCGGCAATTGCGGATGAAAGAAAAAGGCCAGGAAAAGCTGCGTAATTTGCTGCACAAATTTGCCATCGCTGGCGCAGCGCTTATAATACTTTGTGTTGTTGTTAGCATCGATGCCGTTGACTAAGAGCTGTAAGCAGCTGGTGTAGATGCGTGGATCCTGTTTCACACGCGCTCCTGTTGCTATATCCTCAATGATGGCACGATTGGCGGAGACTATTGTAGATTTCGCCTGCGACGCCATAATCAGCAGCTGCAGAGCCAAGCGGGACTCGTCGTTCGTGGTGCCCTCCAGCTTAAGAGTAAAGCGTTCGAATAGCACCTGAATAATGAGCGCATCTATGTCCTCGCTGCCCACCCATTCGCCCATCAATGTTTCCATGGCCGTGTAGTGTCCGTACTCGATCTCCGAGAGAAACTTTGATAGATTCTGCACTACCTTAATGGCATGAGCGCGCTCTGATTTATCTGTGGTAAAAAGCACCTTGCGGTACGCATTGCAAACTGCATCGCGTTTCTCCTTATCGGACGACCAGACCAGACTCAACATCCGCTGCATACCCGCATCGGTGCCGTGTATGCCAAAGAGATAGCCCGTTGTGAAAAGGTCCACTGCCTCAAACACGTCCGTGTTTGTCTTCGAGAGCAGCAGTTCCATCATTTTGGGCATTGCGCCCGTCGCCACTTGCGAGAACTCGATGCTGTCCTTTAGAAACTCAACAGTTTTTATTTGCTTCTGCATTTCCTCGGACTATATGAAAAGGTTTTTAATAACATATGCAGCGCATTAATAATGTAAAAATTTGCACTTACGCTATCCTTGCATCCATTGGCCAGTGAGAGAAACGTTTTGAATAGGGCCATAAAATACACACAACGCTCTTCCGGCTTGAGCAGTTGACTAAGGATAAACAAAATATTAAGTTTTCATTGAAACTATTTATTTTGGATTTAAAATACGCACTTCAATTGATCGTTGCCCGCAGCAAAGTCTGCCTTTCGCACTAGCACTGTGGCGTCCTTGTAATTCTTGTCCAACAGAAGCTCTAAAACCTTTTTCACTATCTCATCGTACTCCTCCTCCTTGTTGAACTCCAGATCTGGAACTGAAAGTCAAACGAAAGGTAAATAAATTGAGATTTAGCTAAGTCAGAACAACCGAACCTACACAAGCGAAGATTTTCTTCAATAATGGGCAACAGCTCCGGCGCAATTATATCCCATTGCTCGTCCATCTTCTTGTATTGGTCACGCTCCTTATCTAGCACTTCATCCAATTGTTCCATGACCTTAACTTCCTTCTCATGGTTCTTGATTAATTCCTCAAGCTTTAACTTTCCCGAATATGGATTGTTTTCGAGAAATGCTTTTATCAGCTGTATGGCTGACTTTCGCACCATTGAACTCTTATCCTCCAGACGATAGACTGCCTCGCGCAGCACTTTGACCAGAAAACAGAGCGGTATTGCATGTTGCGTATTCAGGTGATGCCAAATCTGTAAAACCTTTGATCTAACATGTGCCGATACGTCATTGACATGGTCCAGCAAATGATCGAGAAATTCGTTGCGCGCCTCTTTCATGTCATCGTCGAGTTCCTCAGACGTCAGCTCACCGACAACAGCATCGCCCATTATCTGCAATACACAGTTGCGCAGCACATGCGACTCGCAGTCGAGCATATCATCGCCCAATTGGGAAAGATGTGGTATCATTAACTTGGGCGCAATGCCTGCGAACTCGGCAAGGAAATTAGAAAAGTTGCGCGAGACCGCCGTATCCGATGTGTCCAGTGTGAGGGCTTCTACAACATCTTTCATCAGTATTGAGAAGACGGTCGATATGCCGTACTCCTCGTGTAGCAACAAAATGCCGTTTGCTACAGCCGTTGCAGCATGCTCAGTACTCCGAAGTATTTGCAATATACGAGCCGGAAAAGTTATGGCGTGATTATATCGCTTGATAGCAATGCCAAAGATTTGGAAAACTGTCTCAATAATATGTCGGTTATCCGATCGAGGAGGAACCGATTCCAAAGTACGATAGCAAATATCGCACAACAGGCTGTAAAAGGAATATATTGTTTAATTAATCATTACTCGAAGATTAAGCAAATTATACTCACGTTACAAAGTTTTCTTCGGCAACAGGTGGACTCCACAGTTTTTCTAAGGGACATTGTAGAATATTATAAAGCTGGACCAAAAACTTGCCACGCTTAATATCCCAATCAGGATATTGCTCCAATACCTCGCCTTGTTTGGCGCGCTTTTTCTGCTGGTTCAGCTGCTGATCTCGCATCGCCTGGTGGACAACGAAGTCAATGCGCTTCACTACATTGACAAACAAGTACATAGTCATTTTGGTGAGATTCAAATAGCGCACACGATCCTGTGAGGACGGCGGCTCGCTGTTGGCTAACAGCAGCGTTAGCTCTTCTCCTAATCTATCCACAGTAAGATACAAAAGGTCGAAGGCACGCTTCAGATTTCGCATGGCAGTTGGCTCATTTGCAGATGTTTCTATTACCGAATAATAGGTATCAAAATGTTCGAATATATAAAATGGATCACGCTGCTGCAACTTATTTTTACATGCTGTAAAAGATTGAATGAAAGTGAATTAGTTTTTTTTGTTTACTGATTGTACGCTTGAAATGAGCGCGCGCCGCTATGCGTACAAAATATAACGCTTTACTTACCGAGTAACTGCTCGGGTATTTCGCTGGTAGTATATACCTGCTGCACATAGTACTGATCGCCGCGTGAGTTAAGTAAATCATTATTTTTTAATGGTAAAATGAATTGAAAATCGTGAATTTCCTCCATTCTGAAACAGTTTGCTTAAAAACGACGCTTATTTTGTAGTTATAAGAGATGGACGCTGCTCAAGTAGCGTTCGTAGTATGGCAGCGCCAAGGAACGATAACAATATATCGCTTATCGAAGCGAAGTACATAATAGTCTGGCAACGCCATGAAACACCAACAATCGACGACACATCTGATTATGCTATCGAAACGCGTTTTGTGCGGCGCACGTTGTGAGTTTTAATTTTGTAGTAGAAAATAAATACGACCATGTCAACGGAAAACAGTAGAAAACGTAAAAGACCAAAGAAGAAAGGAAGTCGGTTTATGCGAAATGCCAAGGGATTCGCCAAGAAGGGTATTTTCGGTCGTGGAACAAATATTGACGATGAGCAGTTTAGTTATTTCATAAACATCTTGGATGCTATGAAGTCTGGTCTCGAAGATGTGGAGGACCGAGGTATGTGATCCCCTTCCTTAACATTACACTTAATATAAATTATGTTTTCCGATTTTTAATAGTTAACATGGCTAATAACGTGTTCGACCAGACAAAGGACCAGGAAATTCATTTAGCATCCAATCAAGTAGTCTCCAAGGCTCTTGAGTCTCTAATTGGATTTGTGGACGCTGCACAACTTGAACGATTCTTTATGAAATTTGGTGACAGTCTGCGTCCCATGTGCTCCGACCGTTTTGCGTCGCATGTGCTGCAAAAAATGCTGGAAATAGCATTTCTTCGAGGATTAGGACAGGCGGCAGCGCAGAATTCGTTTGAATCAGACGCTGCCCCCGAAATCAAAAAAGCGAAACCCGATTCTGCACAAATCGAGGAGGAGTATAATCTGGAGACCGAGTTCAGTGCTGAACATCGTGATCAGTGTCGTCAATTTGTGCTTCGCATCTCGAAATTCATGCTTAACAATCTGGAAGACTTTGTATGGGACTCGTGCGCCACACATATTATGCGAGCGGCCATACTCCACTTGGTTGGCATTCATGTGCCTAAAATAGCGTTCGAGAAGGGCGGCGCGGATCTGGTCAAGCATCGAAAACTTTACACAGTGCCAGAGGAATGGCATGAGGTCATGAAAGAGTTCCCGCAGCGTCTGGAAATGTGGCCACAGTTTGTGGACTTTCCGTACGAGGCTCACACCTCTGCCCTACTGGGAGTTATATGCCAATCGCTAAGGGTCGTGGATAAGAGCATGTTAAAGCATTTCGGCAAAAAAATATTAATGGAGAGTTTTCTCAAGCCAAACGATGAAACCATTACTGAGGATAAAGATGTGCTAAAGTACGTTAAAATTGAAATAGATGATGATGACAATGATAATGAAAAGGCATTACGATTAGAAAGTAAAGCTGACAATGCTGAAACTCAGCCTGAAGCGAATGTGGTCTTACCAAAAGTCTTCCATTACCAGTGCGCATCGATGCTGCTTGAGACACTTGTGTCTGTGGCAGGTGCGAAGCTGCTGACTCAGCTTTTTGCTATGCTCTTCAGCGGTCGTATAGCTCATCTGGCACAGCAACATCAAACCAATTTTGCTGTGCAACGTCTGCTACAGCATTTGAAGGAGGTGTCCGACTTTGAGTCCGCTTTTAATGAGCTCCTGCCGCATATAGAACAGCTGCTTAAGATGGGCATGACTGGCGTAATATATGCCTTAAGCGGCGCCTGTCTGCGGCTGGGTGCCAAGCAGGCACAAATGATTACCGCACTTCAGACCAATTTGCATGTGGCAGGCGACAAAGAGAAGTCAAAGATGTTCTTCCACTGCCTCGTTAAGCTGAAGCCCTACGAAATTGCTGTCAGCGATCAGTCGGGCTTTGTGCATTTGCATGGTTCAGTGATAGTACAGCATCTGCTGCAGTTCAACAAGCCCATCCTCCTAGTCAACTGCATTCTGGAGTCGCCTGCTGTGCAGCTGGTTCAAGTGCTCAACACGCCAAATGGCTCACACATTGTCGATGCGTTCATGCAGAGCAAATATATTGGCGAGAAATCACGAGAGCGTCTTATACGGCAGTTGGAAGGCTTCTATGTGGATTTGGCCACCACTCGGCATGGATCACGCGTTTTGGATCAGTGTTTCAAGGCAGCACAAGAATCCCAAAAGCTACGTATTGCTAAGGAACTGACCTCTAGGGCCAACATGACTAAAGGCTCACAATATGGTCTAATAATGTACAACAAATACCGTTTAGATACCTTCAAATTATCGCCCACTCAGTGGCTGGTCAGCATGGGTAAACAGGCCGAGGAGGAGAAAAAACCAGAAAAGCCACAGAAACGAACAGCAACCGAACTGTTCAAGGATATACTTAGCTAGAATGTTAGATTCCGATTTTTAAACTCTTTAGTATATACGAAATTAATAAATCTTAATTCACTATGAAGCTAAATAATATGTAGTAAAAGTATATGTAAAGCAATTGTAAAGTAATCTTAAAAGCAGTACTTTCAAAGCTTTAATTGTAAACAAATTTTCTATCAGCAACTCTTATCAGCTGAGCTTCACGGCAGCCCAATACCCACAGCAGCTGATGATAGCTCAGTTACACATTCGGCTTCAACCGAAAACAATCAAGATGAGAGCAGTGAATTGGCTGTTGTTGTTATCCTTTATTGGTGGTTCGCTCGCATTTGGCGACGAGGCCATATTCGAGGACGAAGACATTTACAACCAGGCGCTGCCTCCTGTGGAGCACACAGGGCTCACGGTGCCCGGCACCAAGTGGTGTGGACCTGGCAATACGGCAGCCAACTACGATGATCTGGGTCGAGAGCGCGAGACGGACAAGTGCTGTCGTGAACACGACCATTGCGACGATATCATGGAAGCGCACAGCTCCATTCACGGCCTGCCCAACAACACGGACTGGTTCCCCATGTAGCTGGCTTGAAAAATCAATGAATCGAACATCTAACATATATCGAACTTTACTTTCAGCTTGAAGTGCAGCTGCGAGCAGAAGTTCATCAATTGCCTGCAGGCCGTCAACACGTTGACATCGAACACTATGGGTCGCGTCTACTATGCAACGCGACACAGATGCTTCGCACAGGGCTATCCGACAACCGGTTGCAAGGAGTATCAGCTGGGCGCCATACGCAGGCGCTGCATTCGGTATACGGTGAACAAGCGAGCAGCCAGACTATGGCAGTTCTACGATATGCCATTTTATACAATCGCCACGGCAGCGAAGCCTTGACCCACAGAGCTTTAATCAACAATATGTATGAAGCTAACATAAATCGAAATACAATTTTATACAGCGAGTCTGTCTGTAAGCAAAAATAAAATGCTTATCGCCTGAATTCAATTGAGCTGCTTAATTCTCCTCGACGCTGGGATGTGTGTAGAAAGCCAAATCATAGAGCTGCCAGCGGGAAGGTAGCGATTCATCCACGCTGTAGCTAAGGCAACGTTTCATGAATAGATCCCATTGCTGTTCCTGACAGGCTCTGATTGGCGGTCCATAGGCAAAGCACACATTTCTTGAACTAAAATATATACGACCCAAAGCAGCCGATTCCATGTTGTGCAGCGAGCTAAGGCAATGCCGAAAATTGGACTCGCAGGCACAGGAGAAACTATGGACATTGAGAGATATCAAGGCGTTGTAATCAAGGGGCGTATCTCATCTCTGAACACTCACATGGGGAATAGGTCATCGTTGCTTAGGCCGTGAAGTTTCGTTCCAGGCGATATCTTTTGCCGACAATTATCATGCGACCGGCAGCACATGTCCAGCTCGACATCAGAGCCCAGATCATTATAGTTCTCAGCTATATTGCCGGGACCACACCATTTGGTGCCGGGCACTGTTATGCCCAGACCATGTGCAGCAGCCAGCATCGCAGCCAAGGCAACAGCTAATATTTGAGCGCCCATGTTCGACTCGAGACAAAAATGTATACTAATCTCAGAGAAATTCTATAAATTGTTATACACCCAAATTTTTAATGGAATAACCCGAGTCGCTGTTGTTTCCAAAGTTCAAATTGTTTGTCTGTGACGCTATTCGAATGCTGATTAGGCTTAATAGCTACAATAAGCGATTTCTATTGATAGTTCGTACATTCTTTTTTAATCTATACTAAGAATATTTTATACATTTGCATGGGCCTCATTATTGGCCAGCACATTAAGAGTAATAAATTAAATGGGGTGATTAATACTTGAACATTTTCGCATTAGTCATTTTCTTCGTCGGTTCTATACTAGAGTTATGATTTTTATTTTATATCTAATTGCACGAGTTAGACTTCGCTTTTCTGACGATTCTGCATCACCTGGCGAAGCTGCGGAAAGGTGCTCTTCGTCTGTGGTGGATGTAGACGGGCACATAGCATTGTGAAGGGTTCGTATAGTGACGGACGTTCCATAACATTGACAGTGTAATGCTTAATACGTTCTCGTTGACACCAATTATTAGCTCGGTCCATTATCGATTCCACAGGAATTGGTGTAGCAGGAGGCGTATCCTTTTTGCTGCGAGCGCGAACATTGGCCAAGACAATCACAGGCACCTCTTTCTTCTCTTTGTGCTTGTCTATATCGGTCTTGATGTCCGCCAACATATCTAAGCTACGTGGATCAGTCGGATCATAAACTAACACAAAGGCATCTGGAAATTGCAAATAGTGACGCGGCAGCTGAGCCGCTTGTTCGCCTTGTAATCCGGCCGTATCGTAGATTCGCAGGGTTTCCCGAGCACCACCACGTCCTGTGTCTACGCTTGCGACATATATATCCTCGATCGTTGGATGCAGTTCCTTTAGAGAGATTAATTTGTATTTTAGGCATATTGAGAGCTAGGAGAAAATATGTATATCATGGCCCACTTACTGTTTCGGTGTTAATATTTCCATACACCAATTGCTCGATGAGTGCTGTTTTTCCGACATTTTTCATGCCACACACCAGCACTTTGCCAACTTTCCCAATTTTAGCATTAAGCATTTTTACAAATTAAAACAAATAAATAAACAAATAAACAAGTGTACCTACACTTTCTCACCATTAACGAGGCGTTGCCATCTTTCTCAATAATTCGAATTTCAGTATATCGATAGGTCATCTATCGACGCATAAGTAAAATGCAACTCTGTGTATTTCCAATCGGAAATTATGAAAACAAATAAAAAGAAAATATATCGACATTTCAAATATGGCTGGTATCACTTATGTTGTACATTATATATTTTAGTTCCTTTTTAAATATATACACGATTAAGTTTAATATTTAAATACATTTAATTGTATGGTTTTTTCTTATTTTAAAATTGTCATCTTATTTATTTTTAGTCCTACATTATAAATTTGTTCTTATACTGCAAAACATTGCAGAAGGACTCTTACGACCATCGTAGTTGGTATCTTAATTTCCTCAAGTGTATGCGTGTCTTAAATACAAAATCCCAAATGGGGCTACTAATGCCATATCCGAGATCTTGGTGGGCAAAATGATGCTGGTAATGGTACCTTTTCATGTGGTACAAATGATGACCAGCCGCTGGATTGCCGTAATGCAAATAATAATGTATCATATCATAGATCAAGTAGCCCAAAAGAGCACCCGAAAGTATTAAACGTGGGTGATGATTTTGTAGAATAAAACTTATCGGTGTATATATAATGACAGCAAGGATAACTCCAGGCAGTGGCGGAAATACAAGGCGCATGGAATCAAATGGAACCTTGTGATGCAGTCCATGTATCAAAAAGTGAAATGTGCAAAGCCAAGGTCTACTGTTACTTGTCAATTTTACATGAAAGACCCAGCGATGCAACGAATACTCCAGCAACGTCCAAAATATCACTCCAAAGAGTAGATGACTGATGATTGTTGTGATCTAATAACAAATATATCAATTATAAACATATGTAAATGTACGTTTATTAAAAACTTACTTCTTTCATATTGTGTGAGTTTGCTTGAACCTCATCCCATCCGCAGGTAATAATTGTTGGGATCCAGAACATTGGCACAACCCACCAAGGAGTTTTCGTACACATTTCCAAATACCAAGGACCGAATAGGCGCAGCGGTCTGTCGACAGGTTTATGTACCCATTCGTCGTAATGTTTTGTTATTTTTGAAATTTGTGGCAGCATAGCTTTTGACCAGTCCACCAGGTGCTAAGAATTCAAAAAGAAAAAATAACCGTTTTTTGTTAGCTATCGACTTATCGATACTTTCAAAGGGTGGCCGTCCCTTTTTCAACTCTGTTTAAAACCTATCGATATATAAAACTAATCAAAAGTTGGCGACTCAAGCAGCTGGTTAGTTTTACTTCAAAGCTGACATTTGAACAGATCGGTTCGTCTCATTTCGTGTAAGCTGGCAACACGGTAATATTAAAATCCTTTCTATATATTTATCAACACATATTTACGGTTCTGGTCAACCAAAATTCAGCAGAGACATGTCGAACACCACAGTACGTGCCCCAATACCAACATTGAAGGGCATGTTTTCAGTGCCGCGTAAGTATAATTTTTTCTGAACAACCATGGCAACCGTTAGTAAATGTTAACAAAATTTGGTTATAGGTGTCACACCAGGACGTAATTTCTTAAAGGAAAACAAAAAAAGCTTACGTTCATTAGAAAAGACAACAACAGAGAAACTTGCCGCGAAAAAGCCGGTACGTCCCAAATGGATGCCCCCGCTACGTCGCACTGCGTCTGAGTCGCGAGACCGTGAGTCGGTCCGCTGCGACTCGGAGAGACTGTCATCAAGGCAGGTTGATGACGAGGTCTGTTTATTGCGCCCTCAGAATAACTCACGTTCGCAGCATTGCCTAGACAAACCGCAACCAGAAGCACCCCATGTAGTCCCAGAGAAACGTGAGCAGCAGAAAGACAAAAAAGTTCGCACGACACAGTCGAACCCACAACCACAACAGCCACCGCAGCCCAAACCGGCTCAGTCTACACAGCAACCGCAGCCGCAACCTCAACCTCAACCTCAACCGCAGCCGGTTCAGCCAGCATATCAACCGCCGCCGCAAGCGGAACTGCAGCCAGTTCAGCACACAACAAAACGCTGTCAATCATGTAGCAGCGAACACATCGGCACCAGCATTGCCATACAGACAGAAGACATCATGGATGAGCTCTATCTAACCAATGCACTCAAAAAGTTAGTTCCCATTTCCATTTAGAACTTTCTTAACACATATATTTTTACAGGTGCAATATTGACAACAAGGCCTTAGTGGGTGAGGGGCGTAAGTTTTGCGTCGACTCTGGACCCGATTACGATGACGACGAAAAACTACTGTCAATACAATGATGATGATGAACAGCCACTGTCAGCCCGATCCAATGAATATTTAAAACAGCGCGCCTTAGATATAGATGATAACGAATTAATGCCCTTGCCCGAAATGGAGAATATAGGTTTTGATAATACTGATGAAGAGGCACCATTGAGTGGACGCAGTCGCGAAACAATTGCCACCGACGCTTCAAATGCCGCAAACAAATCAAACCGTCGCGCACACAAGTTAGGCTGTGAGTAAAACATGAAAATGATGCTTATGCGTCTTGTTAACCAATTATGTTGCATTTACAGCACGCGATGATTTACGCTTGCCGCGCTATTTGGAAAAGGAGAAGCGTGAAAGAGCCGATGCTAAAAGAACGTGATGATTCACGCGATCCAGAGTGTCCACGCGGTCACGTATTGATGAGTGAACCGGATCGCCTGGCAGCTTTGGCCACAGCCAAAAATCGTGGGTTTCGATTGCCATTTAGTAAATTCAATGCAATTTATATATTTGAACAATTCAATTTGCAGGCTTTCAGATGCTTATTAACGAGATAAATCACATGCCCATGACCGCACAAACTCTGCGAGTGCGTTCACGCAAGGCTGAGATCGAAAAGGAGCTAATCGTTGTCGAGGACGAAATACGCATTTACTCCAAGGCTAAAGTCTATGTGAAAGCAGCTAAATCGCGAAATCTCTAATACAAACGGAATTGCGTTAACTGTTTACAATCATTGAAAATCAACGAAAAGAATCTCCCACTCTAATAACAGGTTTCTGACAACAAGAAGTTTCACTTGGTGGAATAATCCGACCGAATTGGATCCTTTGGAACAAACCTAGCCTTTTATGTGTTCTTAATAGTATTTATATTTTTTAAACGAGCATTAAAAACCGTAAAAAAAAATTATGGACTAGAATGTAGAGAAACAGCGACAGTGAAACAAAAATGAATAAAGATTGAGATGAGTGAAGGTCAAATGCTATATTTTATTTTTATTATCCATTCGCTCCGCGCTTACCTCCATGCTCTCATCCAGCTGATTGTTGTTGCTGTCCTCCGACTGTGCTGGCGTCTGTTGTGCCAGCAGCTCAACTCTGTTCTCGTCCAATTTTTCCGCTCTACGCTCATTCGCGCTATTCTCTCGATCGTAATCCACCTTGTACTCGCGCATCAGGTACATTGCGGCATCGGAATGCGGCGGAGCTTTCATGAAGCGCGAAGTCATATCTGCCTGGTTGAGGCCCTTTAGGGTATTCAGCCCGCCCGGATGCTTGTGCATAAAATTGGATATATCATAATACTGCTGACGGTATTTGACTATACATCTCGCATTTTGCTCCGAATTTTTCAGTGCATCCATTTTGACGAGCTTTCAAATTGCAACTGTAACGAAAATAGTTCATAAAACAATTAATAGCCAAACTATTGTCACAGATTCGTATCTATTTAATTGAATACTTGTAACTAATGCACGAAATGTAGTTTATCTATTATTGTAATTTCAGGTACAACCACAAAATCTATTATATTATTGACTGAGAGATGCAATATCTGAAGTTGTACTCATTTTTAGCTGGATATCGAGTACTACTTTATCTATTATATATGATATATATATATATATATAAAATATACATATATATATACATATATATATATATATATATATATATATATATATATATATATATATATATATATATATATATGTATGTATTTGTGAGTTAGATTATAAATTTGAATTTAATACAGGTGTTTAGTCAGCATGAATTCGGTTTGATAAGATAAAACTCAGCAGAACATACATATGTTAACCGAACTTCATGTGCTCTACGTAACTAATATCTTATTCTTAATACCTAATCTTATTTGCCATCGATATCTCGCCACCTATTTCGACATATTCACAGACACGAAACTCTTAACGCTGCGTTACACTCGCTCGGCTGAATGCATTTTACAGGAACACAGAAATTTATTGTTCGACGAACAGTGTAAAAAGTGAAAATTCTATGAATGCGTATGATTCAAACATGAAACAGTCCATATATTCTATGAATTTTCAGATTGAAAACTATTTATATAATATGTAGAGAAGGCTTCTGTTAAGATATATAGAAGATAATTGGCTTATAAGCTGAGGTTATATAAGGACAAGTTTGGGCAAGGTTTGTGAAGCCAAGTACTACCCATAGCTTACACGTAAGCGCAGCACTTGAGATTATTTTATGCACTATATTTATTCAATTGTATTTGTTTAAAATCTTTCATGTTTTACACTAAACCGCAAAGAAACAAGTTGCTCAATGATCGAACTATGACAGGCGGCTTAGGCGCTGCGCTGACTAAACGCATGAGCAGGCAAAAGCTGAGATAAAAGCGGCGCGAATGGCTCTAATCTCTCTACCAACAACTTAATATATATAATATATATAATATAGGTGCAACTATTTAGGGCTGCTCTTAACTTGAACCGAAAGTTGCACTCAAGCCAAGTGTAATTAACAGCGTATCGTATTACTTTATCTTATATCTTATGATCATAACGAAACTATATACAAAGCAATGCTGAAATAGTTATGGAAATCTTTGCAGCTCTTTAAGTTCAATAAATTAATTCATAATTAAAGTCCAGTCAACCGCAGAGATTCATTAAAAAATTAACCACAGGAATAAGTTCCTTCAGTCCAACTAAAAGCCCCGCCAGATAGATAATAGGCTCAATTTGTTAAGTAATTGCTGTTAATAATCCATGTGAAAATTTGCAAGCTGTGGCATATATGAGGGCAGCCAGTGCCTGGGAGGCATGCAGCTCAGTCTGTGCCTTTGGCTAGACACAAATGCATTTGGCATTCCTCTGTATATAGAACAGATGTTTTTTTCAGCCAATGCCACTCATGAGACTTCTTGATATTGACCTCTATTCTATTGCTCGTGCAGAAGATGTAATTCCATTCAGTCCCAGTCCAAATCCAATTCATTTGAGTGCATTTCTAGCATTCCGATTCCATTTATGCTCACTTTCAGTCCCATTTCAATTCGTGTCTACTCTCAATTCCATTCATTTGCATGCTTATAGCGTGCCAATTCCATTTATTTCCATTTATTTCTATGCGCAATCACATTTCAATTAATTTTAATATTTACAGTGTTTCAATTCCATTCGTTCCCATTGCCAATTCAATTAATTTGATTACTAATAGAGCTCCAATGCCATTCTTTTGCATTATCATTCCCATCCCATTCCACTCTTAGACTCATTGCCATTTAATTCTAAATTCCAGTCATTCCCATGCCTAATAAAATTCTTTTAAACGTGTCTAGAAGTTTCCCAGTTACCGATTCCTTTTCCATTTAGTCCCGTTTTCAGTCTCATTCCCATTAATTTGTCAATTCCAGACATTCCCTTTATCAATCCAATTCTTTTAAATGTCTATAGAGGTTTTACCATTCTCAATACCTTTTCCAAAAAATTCCATTTAATTTCATTTCCAGTTTTAATCCCCTTCACTTGTCAATTCTGAATGTTTTCCCATTCCCAGCTCTTTTCCCATTCCATTTCCCATTCATTTGAATTTTTATATAGTATCAATACAATGCAATCTCATTCCCAAACAAATTACTTTAAAGAGCTCTAAAGTTTCATTTCCATTCCAATTGCAAATCATTTGAATGCCTACATAGTTTCATTTCCAATACGTTCCAATTCATTTGAATGACTGATGGAATGCCAAACGTTCCCATTACGATTTCCTTTAATATCTTTGCTCTGGCCTTTGTCTACGCGACAATTGGAACGTAAGACCAAACAAGTTACCTCTTTCACGAAATACCGACTATACAAATATAGATTTATATACACTTATATAGTTGGCATGTGTGTTAAGTCAAGAGACTAGCAACTTATCACTTATCGCTCTATCGCTGATAGTGCGCCATGTTAATGCCGCGTCCCGGGCAGAGGCCGTTCTGTCGAAGTCCATGATAAACCCAAACTAAACATGGACAAGGTGTACCGCACTGATACGACCCATAGCCGTAGCCTGGCTTGACTCATGCGAATGCACTGTATTCTTTTCCATAATATTGATTAATAGACAGACATCAACTCTCCATTTACTTTATTTTCATAGACCTTATATGAAGGCTTATCACAGATTTTTTTTTTGGACTTGATATTATTTAGTTATTGTCATATCTCTTCCTTAGTTTCGCTAACCAAGCTACCATGATATCAGTACAGGTGTGTGTGTGGGTGTGCGTAGGTGTGTGTGTGTGTCTGTGTTAGCTCTGCTTCAAAATCCATGAACGCGTCTCTTTGCACTTGCCACAGAGTGTCAGACTTTGTGACGCGTTTGCTCTGAATTTATGGAATCGCCATGTTTAACATGCTCGCTCTTATCGATGTATCTTATCTGTTGCGTTTGTTGTAACACTTTTTTTTTAATTTTATGCCACTGACAAAGTGTCTAGTTTTATTATTCTAACTAGTTTTGCTATTGGGTTTGTTACAGAATTACAGAATTAAAGGGAATTTGTACATATATCTAAAATATATATATATATGCATATATATACATATATATATCAAAGTTCTTGCGAAATCTTCAATCTCAAATCTTTATCAGTTTCCTGAATTTTCATTAAAATTTGTTGCTTCATTGAACAAGATTTAAAAATTATTATTTATGAACTGATAAATTTTCTATTCCTAAATTTTTCTGAAGAAAATAAACTATATTTCCAAATATTAATCAGAAATTTTCTTTTAGAATTGTTTTACACTTTTATGTAATAAAAAATATTAACTGATTTTTGTATTATCAAAAATCTTAAAGAATTCTAGATTCGTTCTGCACACATAGGAAATATATCAGATTTATTCACATACCACGACGATTGTTTGTATATGGAAAAAGAGACGAAGCTTATCAAAGTGTTACGAGATCGAATATTATAACAGATTGCGCCAGCCGCAAGGAATTTATTGCTAAAGCCAATCAAACGCGTTTATTTGTTATTTAAAAGCTGCGTATACGCGGCGTATGCGTAATCTTTAGAACGAACATCAAAGCAGTCCAACCAGCCGACCGCACGCAACGCAAAGCAACTCGCAACTAAAATTGAAATTGAAAAAGAGCGCCTAATGGTTTGAAGGAGCAAACAGACGCAACTGCGACTGCGACGGCGACTGCGACGGCGACAGCGACTGCGACTGCGACCGCGACGCCCACAGCGACTATCTTTGCTATATATACACATATATATGTATGCATATAAACGCACCCAAAATAAGATTAGCCCCAAAGCTTTATCATATACAAATGTGATCCAGAGCACGGTTTCACCTGCAGCTACCTGCCTTATCAGGTGTCCAAACTTGTTCGAGTAGCCCTATCGCCCCTAAACTCTTTCGTTATAGCAAATTGCCAACTCCAAGTATCTTAACGTTCTTTGTTATCAAAGTCAAATAAATAATTTTACGCCATAGTTAAAATTCCAGATAGAGATCCAATGAATGCCTTAACAGCATTTGGTTGAGTCACACTTAACACTGATTTCTAGGCAGATAATAAAGGAGGCTCATTACCGTGACAAGTTGTGAACTTTCAAGTGACTCAGTACGAAGATTAAATAGGTAGATTATTTATATATATATAACTGATATATAAGTGATATGCGCTTGACTAGGCGATACTCTGCACACGTCAGAGCTGAAGTGAATGTAGAAATCATAGACATTTTCTTTAACAGGGTTTCTAGCTCTTACACTCATTTAAGTATACCTCCAAAATCAGGCTAGAATTGGGAAAATTATACAAGCTTTGGCTAGAACTATAAGCACATTAAATCAAGTAGCTAATAGTAATAATTTCTTCCCATGCACATGGCTGCTATGTAAGATCCTTGACTTATGTTATAGAGGCAACTGTCATATAAATATTTATACTTTGTAAAAGATATAAAATTGATGCCTTTTTTATTATGAACTTATCTCATTTGTGCCTATGTTAGACTTCTATGAGCTATATACTCATCACATAAATCAACTCAGATGGTAAATTTGTCATCTATGGTCCCACAGTGTTAACTGCTTACCAGCTCTACACAGCCCAATCATTGCTATAAACTGATAAGCATTTTGTATATGTTTGGTATACATATATATATAAAATCGATTGAAATTTGCTACCAATAACAGTAAAATCATTTATGGGTTATTGTGTCAGCGAGCTCACTTCTAAGGCATCCGAGATTTATCAGATCTTAAGTTTCAATGCTGCTCACAAGAATGCTCAATGCAACCAGCCACAAAGATCGCAGTCGAACGTGTTACGCTGCTCCAGTAGGCATTGCTCAACTAGCAGATACCGCGTCTATATGTATTAAGTGCTGAAGTAAATGTATGGGTTAGTGCTAAAGTTTTTGCGACTATAATCAGCGAGAAAGTCACAAGTATCCAGCTCTCGGAGCTTAGTTAAATATCTTCTATATATCTATAACTTTTATATATATTTATCAGAATCATCGAGTTCTATTTGAGAGCCAGCACTGAAGCTTCTCATACTTTATACTAGCTCTGGCTGCAGAAGCTATTCCCAATTTAAATCCAATAATGATTAGCAGGAAATTAAGGCAGCGGCAAGCACGTGTTGGGCTTTCGCTGAAGACCCCTTGAGGCCGACTCTTGAAGGTATATGAGCGTATGCTAGTGGCCACGTGTTCATATATCTATGTCCTTTGACATTTTTGCACGCACGTCAAGGTCCTGGAAGCATGTAAGTTTTTCCTGGTCGAAATTATAGCAAATCCTTCAAAGCCCAATGCCCGCTGTGCCGTCAAGGGACACACCTCTTAGTGTTTTACGAAATTTATGCGTTTACACCCAAAGACATACACATACACACACACACACACACACACACATGGCACACACACTCAGCAGCTGTCAGTCTGACTATTTGACATTGACACGCCAAGCCTTTTCGTGGCTCGACGTACGCCTCCTGCCCAGCGGATAGTTCGAAGCCCCATTAATTACACACAACATACATGAACAGGTACAGGCCTTAGCTATATACACGTGTATCTATATACATATCTGCCACTAACCAAATAGATCTATAGAAATTGACTCTGCTCTGAATGCATTCAATTAGCCCGCCTTCGCGCTGGTCTCGATTGCCAGCCTAATTAAAAGTAACTGAAAGCAAGAAGTTCAGGTTGGAGCTGGATTGATTAGTGTACTCGCATAGCCTAGGGACCTACTAATTGCCAATGAGTGCCCTGTTCCACGTTCCATGTTCAATGTGATAAACTTATCAATCAAATAAATAACATAGTAGGGGGCGGGGGGTCCAACTTGATCGCGACCCGGTATATCTTCATATGACTAATGCTCTATTAGCCAATGGAACTATAATAAAAGTCCCTGCCCACAATCAATAGGGTGATTCACGCACTTTTTTTGATGATATGAAGCAGAATATATATATATATATATATATATATATATATATATATATATATATATATATATATATATATATATATATATATATATATATATATAAATTAACTTTCAGGCAACTCTATAAGAGATTTTTACCTTTGCCATGCCAAAGGTAAACATTTTAATCTGATGAAATTTCTTATCAATTTCATATAGCTATAGGCATAATTGATCTTAGCTTATCTGAACAATTTATACTACTTAACGGAATTGAAGTCATAAACTAATAACAATACTGCAGATCTAATCTAATTAATGATTGATTGATTCAATTGATCAATAAACTGAAACCCCTAGAGTAATTTCTTGATTATTGAAAAACTATTTTCATAGTCAGAAACTTTTATATTTTTATATTGTTAAACAAACTTTGTTATACAGTGTTATCAGACCCGTAGATAGCATAATTATCAGAGACCAGACAGAGCATACCTTTAGGCTGAGTGCTAAAAAATCTATAAATGATATTTCGTATGAACTGACTCAGCAACAAGAGGGAGAGAGAGAGACAGAGATGGAGCAATGAAAAGAGAGAGAGATAGAAGGGAGATAGAGAAGGAAGGAGGTAGAGGGAAAAATAGAGGCATAGATGAAGAGAGAGATGAAGAAAGATTAAGATGGAGAGAGAGAGAGATCAGAGATGAGAGTGAGAGATAGAGAGAGAGAGATGATGAAAGAGAGAAGTTGAAGAGAGGGAGACTGAGAGAGTGAGAGAGATTGAAATAAAGAGAGAAAGATAGACAGAGAGATACACAGAGAGAGAATGAGAGAGATACACAGAGACAGCGAGATAGATAGGCAGACAGAGAGAGAGTGAAAGAAAGAAAGGGAAATAGATAGAGAAAGAAACAGAGAGGGATAAACATAGAGAGAGGGAGAGAGAGAAAGAAAGAGAAAGAGAGTCAGAGAGAGGGAAAGACAAATAGATATAGGCATAGAGAGAGTGAGAGAGAGAGGGAAAAAGAGAGAGAAACAGAAAGACATAGACATAGAGAGAGCGATACACATAGAGAGAGATGGAAATTGACAAAGAGATGGGGAGATAGAGATAGAGATTGAGAGAGAGAGAGAGAGAGGAAGAGAGAGAGAGAGAGGAAGAGAAAGAAAAACGAAAAGAGAGAGAGAAACAGAGTCAGATAGACATAGAGAGAGAGATACACTTAGAGAGAGATGGAGATAGACAAAAAGAGATGGGGAGATAGAGATTGAGAGAAAGAGATAAAGAGCTAGAAAGAGAGATAAAAAGCGACAAAGAGTGAAAAATAATGAGACACAAAAGAGATTAAGAGAGAGAGAGAGAGAGAGAGAGAATGCGAGAAAGATCAATTTACTTAATAAAATTACTCAGTTAATGAGAATGCTGTCAATCTTCGTAGCTAATTTTGAATAGAAAGTCTTGAAGATGATGATTAAATAATATATTTTCAACTTGCAAGAAAATATGAATATGAATATGAACTCGTATGACACTTATGAACACAAATCCAATTAACAAAAGGAAGACATACATATATATGTATATATATGTAAGTGTATATATATAATATAATATATATCTATGCTATGTGAACAGGTCGGCTGTGACAAAGCTCGCCAGACAATCATAATACCCAAAGCAAAAGCTTCAATATGATTATACTCTAATTCACATGAATTGCGCACAGATGGTCATTGGAATCCAAAGCTGATTGATTTGTATACAAAATTGCAATTATATATATTGTATACATATATATATATATTGTATATGTATCTGAATGTTCCGTAAATAAAGCACACAGAACAAAGAACAGCGGTGCTTACGTTTTAGGTGGTTTGAAATTTATTTGATATATTTGTAACTTACAACTAGTTTGTAGTTTAGCAAAAAGTACACATGTAATACACGTATATATATATAATATTATATACATATGCAGATACATACATATATGTATATATACTACTCAGTGGCCATTGCCGTTGGCGGCCAGCTTGGTGCCGTTGGTGTGGCCGTTGGCGTGCAGCTTGGCGTTGGACTCCACAGAGCAAGGCTGGCCGAGCAGCTTGGCCTTCTTCACTGGCGGCTCAGTTGTAATGCTGGTGAAATCGAACTGCGAAGCGGAAGAAGGGAAAACTCAGTTAAGCACTCAAATCAATTTAAGCAGATTTTCATACTCGTTGCTCCAATGACAAGTGTGAGATGGGCGCCAAGCCAATGCAGCCGCGCAAGATGTTCTCGATGGCAGCTCGTTGCCGGAATAGAGAGTTGACCACCTGCGAGCCGCTTGGCACCAGCGGCGCCTTGCACAGGTAGCTGAGCAGCGAGAGCACCGGCTTGAAGGGCACCCACGGTGCCAGCTCCTTTTCGGCGCTGCGCAGCTGAATGCGTGCACTCAGCTCGGCCAGAATGACCAAATCGAGTATGAGCGGCGTGGCCAACAGCGAATCCTCGCACGTGTTGTGTATGACCAAGGTGTTGTGGCCACCCATCATAATCTCGGATGTGTACTCGTCCATTGCACGCTTGCTGTCGCCCACATATGGCACATACTTGATGACCACAACGTGATCGGGGTGCTCGTTGGGCCTATAGAGCAGGCTATTCGACGCCACCATGTCATCAACCACATTGCTCTTGGAGATCTAAAAGAGATGCAGGCATTAGTACAAAAGAGGAGAGACACGAGAGAGAGAGAGAGAGAGAGATGCACACCTCCTTGGAGCGGAACTGCTGTGGAGCTGAGAGATTCTTGCCATCGTTGTTGCCCAGATGATTGTAGCTGACAATGGAGACGGGCTTAATGCCGGCGCCCACTAAAAAGTCCACCAATACGGACTTGATCTTCGTTTGGCCCGACTTGAAATCATCCCCGGCAATAAAGACCCGCTGCTCCTCGGCCAGCTCAATGAGACCCGGCACAAATGTGTTCTGCGGCGAGCCATTAATGTACGTGCACTGAAAAGAAATGAAGTTGACGCTGACGTAAATCTCAGGTAAGATACATTTACTTACGCCTTCGGCAATGCTAGCCATGGCAAAGATCGTTGACGGCGAGATTTCCGTTTTGTTGGCCTTCAGCGAGGCCTGCAGCTCCTGGCTGGTGGTGTTCAGACCCGGCAGCACATTGCTGAAGCGCTCCGTGTTCGCTGTCCAGAGCACAATGACAGTCTCCACGCCGGAGCGCTGCTTGAAGTCGCGTATGTCGCGACGCACCTGCTCATACTGCTCGAGCTTGGTGCCCTTGATGAGATTATCGGCGCGATCCAGCTGATTGGCGGCAATGAAGTCGGGATCGTAAATAGAGGGACGCGGCTTCAGTGCTGAAAGCTGTTCGTATAGCTGATCCTGCAGAGCCACATCCAAGACCTCGGCGCGTCGCATGGCATCGCCCAAGTGCTGACCACTTATGTCCCAGCCATCCACAATAATGTCATTCGGCTCCGCCATGGGCAGCAGCTCCTTCATGGGCACATACACATCGGTGCCTGTCTCGTCCGACCCCACAAAGACCGTCGATGCCTGAGTGATGGAGCCAAACCAATTGGCCTGCTGCATGCCCGTCTTCTTGCGCCACTGCAGCTGGCGGCGATTGGCCTCCAAGGCAGCTGTCAGCGTGGATCCATTGTTGCCACCCCAGCCAACGAGCATGACTCCCAACTTGGGCACATGGCGAGCTGTGCGTATCTTCAGCGAAGTCGTTCGCGGGTGCACCTGCAAGATTGATAGAGTCCGTAATTAATTCCTGGCCTATACCAAGAAAATATCTTAAGTGCCGCCTGCTCTGGCAGACAATTAGAGCCTTATCGGGCACGCAGTCAGACGTGTCATGATTAGAGTAACGCCTAGCTGCCTAGCAACTTTGGCGATCGCGTGATTTTTATTGATTTGGCTGAGTAGCTAACCGATTTTGTATACTCTTTATTAAAAAGATGTTACTGAAGGCAAAGTAATAAGTCTGCTGCCTGATATATATCAAATGGAAATCAAATTTTCCATTTGCTTAATGCTTAAATTACATAAGTCAAATTTTACTTTAAAGTTTTCTTTTGTGCTGCCCTACAAATACTTCTAAAAGGGTATTCAAAAGTCGTTATGGTGTTTCTAGTTAATTTTAATATTTGATTTCACTTGGCAGCTGTTGACGTGTTCCTTACCAGAAATACATATATGTATATACAGATATTCTTATAAATATGTATATCATGATCATCGTATATGTTGCATAAATAATTTATCGACGTGTAAAGTCGAAAGCCACTTGTTGTTGGCCATTTGCCGGCCGGCTTATTATTAAGCACATGTGAGAATTCAACACAAACAACTCAAATGAAATGAAGCCCCACACGAACCGCAGATACTGCCTAATCATCATATAGTGACAGAAGATTGTATGAATATTGATAGATTTTACTTAGCGCAGATATTCAAAAGTCAAGGTCTGACTTTTTAAGAGAGCCAAAATTGTTCTCTTAGCAGCGAGCCAACGACCCACTGGGCACATATCAGCTGACACTTCAGTCCCTAGCATTGACCTTGAGCGAAAAGAGTGCAGCAAGTGTCATTTCCTGCTCAATTATCATTGACCTTGAGCGAGAAGAGAACAGCAAGTGCAGTTGGACACAGCATAACCATAAGACCTGAGCGAGAAGAGTTCAGCAAGCAAATATCTGTAGCTGAAACAGTTGAGCGCAGCATTAAACGGAACATCGGAACAACGGAAACATAATGAACCGACTTCAACAAAAGTTTATTTTCTTGCAAATCCAACATGTATCTATAAATAAATGTGTACAAATATTTTTAGACGATAAGTGAGCATAACAAATTCAAAACACATACGATAATACTTGGACTTCCATTCGCATATACAAGTACGGCGTCTGCGCACTGCACTGGGAGGGAGCACACCACCAATATTTATTGTGTACTTAAACGGGAATGGAAATGGGAATGGGAATAGGAATGGGAATGGGAATGGCAATGGAATCGGGCTTGGAAATAGACAGTTATCAGTGCCCGACTTAGCTTTATCAGCTGTTTTGTAATATGTGACAGAATCAATAAATTTCATCCAGCACCCACACATATTCCTGATATTTTGAAAGTATATTCCCATGTCAACATTGGCTTATTATCATACGCTAGAAATAACGTATTTGTGTAGAATATTAATAAGCGTAAAACACTACACAGAGCTGTGGAAAGTTTTCCAAAACAATTGGCTAGTAAACCAAACAGTCAACAAAATTTATGATACCCTATCCCAATAACAGCTGGTGAATATAAACGAGAAAATCTGCCATTAGTTCAGTCTGAAGGCCAAAGTATGGTTAATAAATTTGCACTATTCTGGCATGTTCCACTCAAGTTATATAGTTAAATTATTGCTTAATTTAAACTGTACAAAAAATTCAAAAGATCGCTAGATCATTTTACAGTAATTGTTTTCCAATAATATAGTTATATCTATAGTTTTCTGTTTTTATAACGGTTTGCTCATTACAAAGCCCTCTCCAGTTGCATTAAAACAACTGTTGACAATTTCATCCCTCTGCTTGCTGAAGCACTTTCGCCTGCTCGCTTTCGCCGTAAGCTCATTAAATCCTTATGCAACTGTTGCATTCTATTTTTAAAGTCTTCACTGAGGCTTAAATCGATAAACAGTTCTTTACGTAATGCAGTGAGACTATCCGGGACCGGTAACTCACCTGCAATTGGCCCGCAGCGGTGCGTTTAACATGCGACGTTTGGTATTCGTAATCCGTCACAATGAACTCATCGTCCACGTGTACTTTTGGCGAGATGACTTCCAGTGTTGAATTTTTGGTTGGCTTCATTTTTAACAGACACGAATTTGTGTATAGAATAATTGACGTGTTTTGCACTTTTCTCAATACTTTTCGCAGTGTTTATGTACACAAACACACACACACAGTTATTTATAATTTAGCTTGTGTTTTTGTTTTGTTACAGGAATTTTGCTGCCTTTTCACACTTTTCGCTGCTTTGGTCAAAGGTCTAGGTCTGGGTCTGGTCAAAGCAAAAGTTCGCCGCTTAATGTGCACAAGAGCGAATTGCGGCCCGCTTTTATTTACAGCAGCGGCGATTTTTGCTGTTGTTGCTTTTGTATTTTGTTCTCTGTTCTCTGCTTACTCTTGGTACAGCCAAGAGTAAATGGCAGCCGACAAGTTGCCGGCATTGCTGTCCACAGAGAGTCGAAAAGCTAAAGAGAGCGTGTAACCCATGTGAATAGCAATGTGTGTGTGTGTGTTTATGTGAACAAGTGTGCGTGTGTGAGTAAGTTTTAAGTTGGGCTGAGAAAATGTATGTCGTTTCGCCGCATTAAGGTGTTCAAAGCCTTGCTTAATTAACAAACAGCAATTATTAGTAAGGAATTTTAATTAATTGAGTAATAACTACATACATGTTAATCAAAAATACAAAATATATATTTATAAAAACTGTATATATATCTGCAAAAAATAAATAAAAATTTTAACATTTTTTTCTATTTATTATAAATGAAATTAATTTAAATCTAAGCTAATTTAATAGTTTACATGTCCGACTTTCTTGACTTGCAAATAGAATTCGCTCAATGGGGTAAAACTAACTGTATTTGGCACGCACCTGTTAAGGCCTGAAAAATTCAGAGCCTCTCAGCAGCAGCAGCAGCATCAACAGCATCAACAACAACAAATCAACGCATTCTTTCGAGATTTCAAGCAAGTCAGCATCTAATTTCCTGATTTCCGAGACTGAGCATCTTCGTTAAACTCAAGACTCGAGCTATCCCAGCTTCTTTCATGTCAATTTCAGTTTCAATCAATGGCATTTGTTTGGCTGTGGAAAATTTTGCATGCAAATTTTTTTGTTATGATTTGGATGCTTTCAAGGTTTGTCAATCTCAGTCTCAGTCTCAGTCTCACAGATACACTGACACACATCTGTGTGCATCTAAGAAATTCGTATTTATGAAATGTTTGCTCCTAGAAATTTCTAGTTGCCACAGTGGATGTCGCCCACTGCAAAACTTTCCATTATTGCAGTCAATTGAAAATCAAGCTGCGCTCAAATTTCAATTTGTTTATTGTTGTTGGGGCATGGGATTCTTCACAATATTGCATAACTACACACTGCTCCAGCTCCATTAAAACTTTTCCATTAGCGCTTCGCATTTATATCGAGCTTTCGTGTAATCAAGACGGCAAATCCAGAACGGAATTATGGAATAAAATTAATATAAGATCGAATAAGAGGAGGCATGAAACATAAATTAAATTTTAAAAATTTCTATAATTTTTTGAATAAAACAAAAAAATTTTTATTTACTTTTTATTTTACTTTATTTATGACTTGAATACTCATTGTTTAGAGTATATAAGACGTTCTCTAGATATCGAGTCCATTTTCTAAGTGAATTTCGCTAAACTCATAATCTCTCATGTGACACACAGGCTTAAGCCTATATCATAGTCATATAATATTTATTATAGAAATTATATATATATATATTATAATATTAAGCCATATTCGCTTGTGGGGGCGTCTCGTTTCCCCTACATGCCACACAAATATTTGCTATCAGTAAAAATGTGCTATGCACATGTCTCCATTTAGCCAAGTCATGTGGCCAACGGGGCTATCAGTGGCTTGTCATTTCCTGCGCCGGAGTCTGGAATAAAACTGAGAAACTATGCGAAGCAAGAGCTGTGCTAGAATTAAAATTTTATTACTTACAGAGACAAAAACAAAAAGGTGCATTTCACATTAAATTTCCAAATGTTGCAGAAAAATATATATATATGAATTATAAATATACCTCACTAACATATTTAGTCTTAAGATTATATACAGTTGGAGATAATTTAATAACAATAACATATGAAAATCACAATTTAAGCACAACACATTACGGATAACAGAGAAGCGTGCACGAAACTTACACAAAACATAAGACTAAATTCGAATGAAACTAAATAAAGAAATATATAAATAATACTGGGCTATAGATCTTAATTATCCAAAAACTCCCATTCGCTGGATGTATTGGAATCGCCTGATACGGGCGCCTCCTTCTTTAGGAATGGATCGGCAGCGCATCGAAAATCAGGCAGAAAACTGTTATACTCCTTATCGGGCGATGATGTGGACTTTGGCTGAGTCTTAACGAATGTCAAGGCCGGTTTCGAGGAACCTGCACAAATGCCATCAACAGGCTGTCCGGCGCTGTAGTCGGTGGTATCATTCATGACGAGCTTTTTGCGCGGCGACGTCTGTACACTGACCTCCTCTAGTCTAGAGGGATAACAGTTGATCAATGAACCCACTAGCTGAGGTGTTCGTGCCGCCTGCAACTCCTCAGCACTGGCTGGCCCCAAATGCACTTCCGGCAAGTCCAGCTCGTCTGCCAGCGTTTTCGCTTTTTCCGCAACGGTTCTCTGTAACGTCGTAGGAGTCATCGCATCGGGCAGCTGCTGCATGAAAGCTGCTCTGAGGTCCACCGGCGAGACCAGGCCGTTGCTGCAATTGAGGAACCAAGTCAATAAGATTTCATATTATAAATTATCTACACCCACTTTTCCATTTGACAATAACTAACTTCCATTAGTGTCGCTGCACTAGTCTGTGGCAACTTGTGCTCATGCGTCTCCTGTCCGATTTCAACGATTCCTCCCGCAGCAACGTTCTGCTCGCCCACCGGAAGTTTTCGCTTTTTGTTGCCCAACGTCCCACTAGTGTATACTATGGACTGCTCAAAATCCATTTCTCCAATACGTCGAAAGATTTCCAAACGGCGATTTTGTTGCGCCAATGGCGACTCCACTGCCAGCTCAATGGGCACATTCAAGTCCAGCTTTTCAATCGGTGGTAACTCAAAGCATTCCTCTGCTGAATTTAACCCCGCTTCCAGCTCCACCGGCGACTCCACATCCAGTTTGGAATATTGAGAGGATCCCGCCATGGGCAGAGGGGGCGGTAGTAGTGGATTGAAAATCACCGTAGTTGTTTTATTGGGTCGCTCAGGAAAAGGCGCCAGACGCAATAGGGAACGCTCACCTTCGAGCACAAAAATCTCCTTGCCGCAAACACAATAGTCAATGATTTTTCGAAAACCTCGCGCCACTGCCTCGACTTTGAGGCGCTCGAGATTTAAAATGTACAAAGCAACATCGTCATGGGTAACAACTAGCGAATCGTGTCCGTCATACAAATCCAGCTCACGAAAGTTTTTGCTGGCTACAAATGCATCACTGCAGCTGCTGCTGGCTTGAGCGCCAGATGGAGCTGCTTTTGACTGACTACGTTGCTTGGGATTCAGTAGAGGTATCTCCCAGGTGGGATTGTTCAAGACGGCTTCGTTAAAGATGATGGTCTTCGATACACTGCCAATGGCATCGGCAATCCAGAAACGCAGTCCGGGTCGTCCACAAATGATTTGTGGCAAATTGTCATTCGTTGCTGTTTGCTTAAGGAAGACTCCTCCACAATCGATTAGCTGCTTACGATCCTTCTTGCCCACTTGTGTAATTTGCCAAGTGTGGGTCTTGGTATCACGCCGGCAAACTATGCAACGATAAAGTGTCGCCACGAGCAAATAGCTCTGGTGCACACTCAGTTGAACAATCTCATAAGCTTCGCTAAGGATTTCCAACGATTTGCTCAGGTGCTGCGAAACAGATTTGACATTAATACAATTGATGGGATTGTAATCCAGCTGTAGCTGGAATTTACTTACCGCTTGGTAGTCGAATTCGGTGAGCACTACGACGCCCTGTCGATCACCCGAATACAATTTCATGCCATTTTTGGACCACTCACAACAACTGACTACGCAGCGATGCAAATCCCGTATTGTGTAGCGTTCGATGGGTTTGCTGCGTGTGCAAGGTGCCACCAGGTCCAAGTCGGGCGGCAGCTCTTTTTGAATTTGAAAAACGCTAACTTGACCATTAGCACTTCCAGCTGCTACCATATACTCCACCGAATTAACTATCTTAACGCATGTTATTCGCGTGGATACCTATAGGAGTTGTCATTGTGGGTGATTTCGGAGAGGGGAAGCACCACACAACATTCATAAAATTGGCTGTTGGCACGCGATGTGTCATCTGAGTCATAGCCACACTCAAATACTTACCTCAGCTTTGAGCTTCTGCATTTCGCCCGAAGAACGATTATACCAAAAGACAATTCCCGCGTCACTTCCCAGCGCTAGGAAATCCTCAACGGCATCGACGCAAGTTACATTAAGATTCGATGGGAAAAAGCCGCGCCGAGCTGCAGGTATAAGGTCCATTATCTCGGTAAGCGGCGCCCATTCACGGAGACAGAAATCCTTTCTGCTGGCCATAATGGCTACACGATGATTTAATACGAATCTTTTTTATATCTAAATTTTTTTCTTTGCCCAGCCTCCGTTAACAGCAACTATTTACATTCAGTTTGTTTATATTCGATATTTTCGACAGCTTAATTTTAAGTTCCTGAGTTGCCACATTTTCAAAATTATTGCTTTAATCGATTGAATATACTCATTTCAAATATATAAATGAATTAGATGCATTATCTTTAACCGTGTTTCACTTCGATTGTAAAAGCTTTTTTAAATTTATACGTTGTTAATTTCATTGTTTTTATCAAATCACTTTATATATTCGATAAGTATGCTTGTATTTTCAAAACTTATCGCGCGTTATAATTTTATCGACGTAATAATTATCGCTCTTAATAATTATCGTAAACAATCGATAAAATAATAAGAGTAAAGAAAAAATAATTGTTAAATACATTAGTTTTCTTGTATTAATTATTTAAATAGATATTGGTAGTATAACAAGTACCTTCTAAGCTGAACACGAGCCAGCAAATTAGTAAGCCATCAAAATAAATATATAATATATATTTATATACAGGTAAGAGTAATTAATCTTCACACTTTGGGCCAAAGTTCAATAAATAAAAGTTAATCAGTCTACAGCAACATGGGTGACAACAACAATCTGCGAAGCGCAGTTATTAACGAGACACCTATGCTGACCACTCCCTACGGCAACGTTCGAGCACTATCAGCACCGCCGCCCATACCACAATCGCCCCTGCAACAGAGTTCATATGGATACGGCGGAGGCTACAGTAACATTGGTGGCTACGGAATGGGCTTAGGCGGCTACAATACAGGAGGCTACAACACAGGCGGATTCGGCTACGGGAGCATGGGCTATGGTATGGGCGGTTTCGGTGGCTACGGAGGCGGCAGCTATGGTGGCTACAACAGATTTGGTGGCATGAATAGCAACGACCCCGAGCAACGGTTTATACAAATGGCAGAGAATAGCTCTCGTCCTGCATTCCAAAGCATCGAATCACTAGTATCCGCCATTGGAAACATTGCGTCCATGCTGGACTCTACTTTCTTTGCGTTAACAAGCTCGTTTCGTGCCATTCTTGGCGTGGCTGCAAATTTTGGACGCCTGCGCAGTGTGTTCGCTCAGTTCTGGACATCATTTGCGATATTTCGTGGGCTGAAATGGATTTACAGAAAGTAAGTATCAGCAGCTAGCCGGAAAAAAATTCAAATTATTGATACGCCTATTACATTTTTAGAATACTGTATTGGCTGCGCATCTCGAATTTGGATCCTTCGTCGGAAGCTTTTAAGAAAGCTTTTGCCGAAGCACTCAACGACAATAGTAAACAGCCTGGCAATGCGCCACATTTACCACGAAAAGGAACGTCTCCGTGGCCAGTATTGGCATTCCTTAGTTTTATCTTTACCGCGCCGTACCTAATCATGAAGTTGCTGGGGACTGTGACGAATACGGCGCAAGAGGAAGGTATGCCTGTGAACATTGGACAGTCCATTAATCTTATCTCACGGCACTTGGGTCATCCAGATATACCTGGCCAAGCCACATGAGATAAGCAGTCGCTCTTGTTATCTTTTTATTAATACCCCACCTCAATTGGTTTTTCTTAATTCAAACAGCCCGTATTCCCTCCAAGTGGGTTGCCCCGATTCAGACGCAGGCCATCTATGATTTCCAGGCGCGCAACGAAAGCGAATTGACACTGCGTTCGGGTCAAACCTTACAAGTGGCTCCCCGTGAAATTCAACAGACTCTCCAGCTTTTGAATACAGGCTGGGCACTGGCCTCAACGAATGGGCAGACCTCAGGCCTAATACCTATTAGCTATGTGAAATCACCGCAGCAGTTGCGCCAAGAGCGACAGGCACCAGTCAAGCCACTGCCACCACAGCCCGAGCTAATGAATCTGTCTGCGAGTGCATTCCCCAACCCACCCGTGAATCAACAAATGAACTATGAATTCAATTTGGCTGCTCAGCAGCAGCAACCGCTGGGTCCACCGTCCACAACAGTTACCGCATTTGATGAAGGATTCGCCTAAAGCAGTGCAGTAACCTTAACAGTTAGCTATGAGCCAAATGAATTTCTGCTCTAAAATCGAACACCTTCGGGCTGTTATTTGTCAGGTTATTTGTTCCCAAATTCCTACACCTCTCACATTTCCCAGTTACGTTACCGACGTGGGCATGCCACAAACTATTTTACCTATGCGTACAATAGAATTCCTTGGAACAGCGGTATTTTTTTAACCTCAGAAATTACTAAATAATAAATGTTATATAAATAATTACCTTAAAAAACCACTTAAAATATAATCTATACACTTAATGGGTTAAGCAAACAATGTTTTCTTTAAATCATATTTTACAATATGTATTCAGTTTATTGCCTATTTACTTAGTTGTTTTTTGTTTTGTTTTGTATGTTAATGCATTTTGTATTTGCTCTTTGTCGATTTTCCCATTTTTAAAATGAAATATTTTAAATTTATTACACAACTAATCGACTCGACTCTATCCTTAAATGTACATATTTCTTTCACTTCACTACTAATTTGTATGCAATTTGTATTCATTTCAAAGTTTAATATAAATTCTAGCAATTTATATTGATGCATTAATAGTTATTATGACTAAATAGGTAGGTTGATTATTTTCCATTTACTTTTAATTTATATATTATTTTATAGCTATAAATATATATATATATATTTATATATATGTATATGTATATGTGTGTTTGTATTTATAAACATATTTTTTTATTTTAGTTTTAGTTGAACGGTTCTTGAGAAATGTTGAAAATGTGAAACAGGTGTCTTAAAATATTAATTTTAGGCAAATAAACATATTTCATATGCTTCTGCCACAGATTGCACCGCAATTTGTAGCTTAAAGAATATTACATTATATTTAATTGCTGTCATTTAAAGTTTTGGTGTACAATAGTTTTAAAAAAGTTGCTCTACAACATTTGACGATAAACTTTGAAAACTTGTCTGTTCGCTTCTTAACAATTTGTTTAAGCAGCAATTATTTAACAACTAAAATGAAGACAGATATTCTTTCTTTTCTTTGTTTGTTTCTTTTTGTTTTGTTTTGTTTTTTTTTTTTTTTTGTATATTTTCACTAAAATACATTTTCTTTTCGCTTAAGTAGAACATTAATTTAAAAGTTTTGCGCTTAAAAATAAAATTCAAAAATACAAATACAAACTGAACGCCAAGTTATGTTTATCATTATTAAATGTTGAATTGATTTTTAACTTATTTATAGTTTAATAAGTCTCATTGAGAAATAAACGAAATCAAAGCTGTTTAACGCTTCTGTGTGGGTTGTGTGTGTGTATGTGTGTATGCAAAGAAAGACATGTGAGAAATGGAGCGCCTAGCCAGTGGGGCGTGGCAGTCCTAACAAAGCGTTAATAAACGTAAAACTAAATGTATCCTCTGCGTAGCCGTTGCTAATATCGTCAGCATCCGCAGTGGACCCCATCGCCCACGCCACTTCTACGTCCGCATCGTCGTCAGCTCAATCGATGTCATCCTCCAGCTCATCATCGTCTAGCTCCTCCTTGAACTCGACATCGGTGGTATGCTGTGTGTGCTGTGCGAAGCCTTGAGACTCATTGGTTGATTCGAGGTACGGATTGAAGTCGTTGTCTTGGTCATCCGAATCGTACATCGGATCTCCCGTTTTGCCGCTGCCGTAAGCTGTACAAAAAGCAAGTTGTGATTCATGGTTACCTTTTAAATGCGATCGAACTTAATAAATACCTTCCACATATTTGGCCAGATTTGGTGGGACCCATGCCTTGACACGTTCTATATTCTCCCCCGTGCATTCACCCTTATCCAAACCTGAAAAAAGACACAAACCCACAATCTTATCTAATGCTCTTTTAACGAAAACTAAATAAGTTGTTTACTTACCCGCCAGGAGGCCCATACGCTTCAAGACCTCAATGTCATCATGCATTTCGAATGTGTTATCGAACTTGAAAATGTATTCCGATCTACGAAGTAGAAGCATATACAAAATGATTAGTAATCAAAATAATATATCAATGTTGCCTGATGGATTCATACTTGTCGTTGCTGACACTGCAATTGATTTTTGTCGATTTGTGCGTATTCACAATGATGAACGGCAGTTGAATGGATGAGTTTGGAGATGGCACCACGCCCTGGCTTTCTGCACGCTTATTGCGCTCGACAAGACCTTTGAATGCCACATGTTGCATAACCATTTCACGCAACATTTGACTCTTCTGCTTGATCCGTTCACGGCACAATAAGTTTTGCTCTTCCAAGGCATTAAATTGCTAAGGACAGTAAGAGAAGGAGTTCAGTTAATAAAATGTTAAGCTATAAGGACAAGAAAACTTCGATTACCTCGGCTGAGTTGGCAGGTAAGCCAATCCAACGAATTTCTTTTTTATCCTTAGAAATAACATTGATTGCCATCAGTACGTTAAGCGCATCGTAGACACGACGCCGGATATTCTTTTGATCACAGTTATTATCATATGAATTGTTCTTCATTTCTTCAGCAACCAAATCGTCAGCCACCTCATTGTATGTCGTCTTGCCCTTCTCCTGCACCTTCTCGCACACCTTCATGGAGAAGTGACGCAGTCCCTTGCCGGCTTTATCTGGCTTTCGTTTCCTTTGCGCTGATGAGGAAGAGGCGGACACTGTGTGCAAGGGACTGCTCTGAATGACGTGCCTAAAGATGTAAGATAAAATAGATATATATAGATCTATATAACTGTTGTAATTGACTTACAATTTCGATTTCATTTTCATGGCGTTATTTGTCGTATATTTGACGTATCGCTCATTCTTTATCTACAATTTAAGTGATATTAAGGTTATTTTCATTGTAGATAATCGCCTGTGCGCTGTTTACTTACTACCTCGTGTATGCCGCCTCCCACACCCCCAGCACTGCTGGCTTTTTGCGCTGACACAGGTGTATATGAAGTATCTGTAAAAAAATAAAAAGAAAAAGAAAACGGAAAAGATATTTATAAATTTGTATGCAAATATTTGTTGTGTTGTCGACTTACTTTCGGTTTTTGGAATAGTTATACAATTGTCTTGAAGACGTATAAATTGTCCCTGATTCGTTGTGCTCTGTGCGCAATTAAAAGATGTTCAATAATTTGTTATTTCGATCAATTGATCTATTCTTACCATTTGACTCAAGGCGCCCACTCGGCCTACATTGCCGATGCCGCCACTTCCGCTTCCTCCGTTGCGTGTTGAGCTGCTTGGAAAGACCAGACTCGACTTATCGATTGAGTGTGATGGCTTCACTACAACAGGCTTCAACACTTTGGCAATTTGTCCTGCAATATGAATATCAAATGATGATTAAATATATAGTCAATCATAGATTAGAACAATGAAATTCATTATAAGTATCTGCCCACACATTTAAAAGCCATCCTAGATTGCGTCGTGAAGGATTTTCAGTGTAACCAATGAACGAACGTTTAGTTCGAAAGTTCAATGAGGTGATTCGATATATGTATGTATGTTAATCGAATACAATGCATGTAAATTTATAGAAATATGCACACACATACACGCAAACACAGTCATTCTCTGCTGCGAATGTTCAGAATAAAAGCAAATTGCGAAAACCAAAAACAATACAGCAAAAAAAGACGACAAAAAAGATATCGAAAGCGACAACAACAAATTCCACAAAAGAAATGTGTGAAGCATGGTGAAGAACCGAAAACATAAATATGCCCGCTACTTCACATGGGGTTGCAAAGGATACGCTGAGAAAACAGCAACAAGCCACAAAAAAAAAGAAAAAAACAGTAAACCGATACATACATATATATATATATATGTAGCACGTGATCACATACACACACATATTACAGTATCAATATGGTATGTATTACGATCGCGCTGTTTGCACAACCCTGGCCGTTTGATATTGCCTTCTCTCTTTACAATTTAAATCTAGATCTGTCAGTTATGCTAATTATTCACCTGCTGAGTTAACATTTACATAATGTTAAAATTAACGGACGCGCGAAGCACTAAAGAAATACTCAAATATACATGTATGCTAATTTTAAGTGGTTTATGAATAAAGAACGTAGCCACAAAAAGGGCTTCCAACTATAAATACCAATCTGCACACACACTATCAAATGAGTCACAGTTTAGCTGCTGTCAAACATCGCTCAGAGCAGCAAGTAGCAGCAGCCTTGTAGCAGGCCGGTTAGCCGGCGTACGGTTGACGCTGCTCACTCATTCATACAAACAACACATGCGCTTACATATACACGCGCGCACAAGCACAAACACACACATACACTCGCGCGCTTTTAGATGTACGTAAGATGGTCAACAGAGCGGCAATAACAACAACTATTGCTGCCGGCGTTAACGCTGCGTCGTCGCTGCGCAGCCGCTGCTACACATGTTTGGTGTTTGTCCATTTTGGGCTTTAACTATTTTTCTATCTGCCTGAACGTGTATCTGTGTGTTTGTGTATACGTGCAGTTTATCTGTGAAAGCGTATGTATGTATATATATGTATGTATTCTTCAGCTTTTTATAACACAAAGCAGAATGTCACGCAGTTTTAGTATTTCTGCGTCACCTCCAACACGCACACAAGCTAACACACCCCCAGCCTGTTTTTATTTTGTGCTGAATTTTAAGATTTATTATGCGAAGGATTTAATATTGGAAAAAAGCGCTCTCCACGGAAGCATTGACGAAGGCAGTGCTGCCGGCTGCTGCTGCTGCGCTGCTATCAGCTGTTTAGACAGCAAAATAAACAAAAACAACAAATGAAAGAGTATTTTTTGTTGTAGCCAGAGAATGGTGTATAGAATGTATTTGAGTATGTGTTTGACTGAGCGCCAACTGGGCGAAGCGCGGCTGTCGTCGCTCGCTGCCCGGCACATGATATACACATACATCTTGGCATACATATCTGTGTGAGCATGCACATCCATCCATACATACATGCATATGAATGTATATTGGCAGCAGCAGACAAAACCAACCGATTTTACTTGATTTTATTTTTTATTATTTGTTTTTTTGACGTGTTGCCGTGCAGTTGTAGTAGTAGTTGTTGCTCTTGCTGTTGGTTTGCCTCGCCATGGCGCGGCGTTCAGTATGCGCTTAAAGAGTATTAAGCGATAAATATTGTATGTAAAAGGAAACCGAAAAAAGAAAAAGATGGCGTTTACGCGCCAGTGTGCGAGCATGCAAGTTAGTAGTAGCTCCCCCGCCACCACTACTATTGTGAATACGCAAGTCTCTGCAACCGTATGTGAGTCAGTGTGTGTGTGTGTGCTTCTATGTAAGAATACATGTATCTATGTATATATGTTACGCATTCATTAAAGCAAAATTAATCCGCAACTTGGTGAATTTAATAACAATCCAATGTAGTGGGTGTCACTGCTCATGTAGGCAGGCAGTCACCATTTATTTGACCACTAAACCGCCTAGCCGTGCTTACCGTGCTCATCCTGAAAGAAAAAGTTGACTTCATCAGTCTTTACCGCGCCGCTCGTTTGATTTGTCGCCGAGGTATGCGCCATTTTCAGGTGTAGGCAGAGGACAGGTGTAGTGACGTCGATTCGCCTGTTGTTTGGTGCCCAGCACCCTTAACTGCTGAATTGATTTCGCTGGTAACTGCGGCGACAGCGGCTATTTTGAATTTGCACTTCTTTTTGGGAGGGGATAACCGTTCACCAACACGCCGCCAAAAGATATCAATACCAACAGAGCAGAACAGAAGCACGTAGTCGCAACGTGTGTATGAATGCCTCCCTCAGTGTATGCAAGTGAATGTGTATTTGTGTGGCGCGGCCCGCGATGATCTCTGTATTTTTTTGGGTGCACAATTGTACCACGTGTATTTAATATTCTTTACACAACAGTTCACAGATGTTCTTATATTTGGGCGTCAGTGGCTACCCTGTGGCACAGTTCAAAATGATTATTTTGATAGCAGCTAGTAAAAATTTGGTTGTCGCGCGAGTCAAAATGGCGAGCGCATTTTTTGTTTCCAGCACAAGCAGCAGCGCATTTTTTCTTGTCACACACACAAAATGGTTTCAATGCGGGTTTTTCAAAGGCGTTTTTCGGGCACTTTGAGTGTTGTGATTTTGGAGCACTTTTTTGCAAATGAATCGACAAATTATGTTGTTTCTTGTGCACTATTTAGAATTAAATAATTGTTCGGTTTAATAGCAGCGCGATGTGCACAAAATTTCCATCAAGTCGTTGGTTTTTCGACGACGACGACAACGACTACGAAAACGACCAACGTGAGAGTGCGAGCGAAATGGCAGACACCGCGTTGAACAGCTGATTGCCTCGGCGCGCCAAATTTACGCATCAATCGAACTCAGTGTTGTGTAACGTGCTTCACGGTAGCGGCTCTCATATAATACAAAGTGTATTATTACTTATTCATTCGTGAAAAATTTAATATTGACATATGTAATAAATCAATTGTTTTCTTAACTTTCTGATAAATATTAATACCATTGATTTCATAGTTTGTACAAGTTACAGTTACCGCTTAGATGTTACAGTGTGATGGACAACTTTTGGTAGAAAGCGATGGTAAATTTAAATTGTGCCGTTTATTTGTATGCTTAGCTCTCATAAGTCTACATTTCATCATTTGTTTATATTAAGAACGTAAAATCATCGTGCATCTGTAAAAATATTTGATCATCTCGAACGTTATTCAACACACTTTATAAAATGTAAACAATGCTGTTATCGTCGACTTCACCCCAAAGACTACAACTGTTTTTGGCCAACTCGACACTGCCATCGCTGACCAAAACTGTTGTTGTGGAATATCGATAGTTTTTCAAACCCTAGAGTTGTGTATAGATACTGAAACAAAATTTAAAATTATATTTAACGCTATTTAAGGCATTAAAAATGTCAATTAATTTATGAGAGTTTTTATAATGCATTCAATAATAAGTTTAAGTGAACACGAACTAAAAACCAAGTAGAATATTTTAAGGAACTAAATGAACACTCACGATGTAATTCGTACCGATGAACTTGTTCGGAACGTTTCGACACAACTCTACATACGCACGGCTGTTTTTTGGCAAATACTATCATAAACAATTTATTGATAACATAAAATGACAAATAAGCGATTTTTTAATCCGTTAAGTGAAAAAATAAAATCTGTATAAAAACGAATACTGTTGTCAAATCAAAACAAATAACAATAACAAAATAAAACACGCCAAAGCCCATCGCCACCTGAGATCAGTGTGGAAGACGACTAGACAACAACAAAATGGTCGATCCCCTGTGCAATTACAATGTATTGGAGGCAATATTCTCATATTTGGAGCTCAACGATTTAAATCGATGTTCACAAGTCTGCAAAAGCTGGTATCACTTTCTGAACGACGAGAACAGCGATGTATGGCGCTGGCACTGCCTACGGAAACTGCCCAAAGAGTCTGTCAAATCCGACCTGCTGGCTTCTGTTACCACGTACAAGACAAAGCTGCGGGCGTACCTGCACGCTTGGAATCCGAATGACTGTTCACGGAATGTTTACATTAAGCCAAATGGATTTACTCTGCATAGGTAAATTAATTGCTGTTAACTACTATCTGTATAGGTTAATAATCTTATTGTTCTCGTTTGATTGTAGAAATCCGGTAGCACAAAGCACGGATGCCGCAAGGTCTAAAATAGGCTTTCGTCAAGGCCGGCATGCATGGGAAGTAATTTGGGAGGGTCCATTAGGCACTGTGGCCGTAATTGGCATATCCACAAAGGAGGCAGCTTTGCAGTGTCATGGCTATGTGGCGCTACTTGGATCTGATGATCAAAGCTGGGGCTGGAACCTAGTTGAGAATCATCTCTTGCACAACGGTGATATGCAGGGCAATTATCCGTTATTAAACAATGCACCCAAATACCAGGTGGGCGAAAGGATTCGCGTTATACTCGACTGCGATGATAATACTCTATCATTTGAGAAAAATTATGAATTCCTGGGAGTGGCATTTAGAGGTGAGATATTGCAAAAAAAATAAATTTGACTATAGCATTATTTACTAATATTACTGATATCATTATAGGTCTGCCAGATAAGAAGCTTTATCCCACGGTATCTGCTGTCTATGGCAACACAGAAGTGTCTATGGTCTATTTAGGGACCCCATTGGATGGATAACTCTATGAGATCACAGTTGGAGCCTTACTGCCGTACAATTTGTAAAAAATGCAGATAAAAATAATTAGTAATATGTATATTCGTTTCAATTTCATGTCCCTTCTGTCTAGTTTCTAGTTTCTTTTGTACAAAAAAAAATTAAATATGCATTTTATTGATTTTAGATTTACGCCAAAGTTTAAATCACCTCTATTCCGTCTGTATACCAGTTAAGTTTAATTGTACGAACCAAATAAATAAGTAGTTGTAAATTTCATACAATGAACTGCTTAAAATCATCAAGACACTCGATTATTCGATTAATAACTCGTGGCTAAAAAAAAAAAAACGCTTAACAGTCAGCTGCCTTGTTATACAATAAGGAAATAAATTAAATTTTTTATGTACTTCAATTAATGTCCTTATTTAATTAGAGATTTTTATTAGTTCATATAAAGTGACGTGCAATTTACGAGTTCAAATTCCAATCAGGATAAGTTCATAGAACTTTGTGTTTTTGTTGTATATGGTATTTGGTATAACTGTTAACAAGGACTCCGTGGCGCAACGGTAGCGCGTCTGACTCCAGATCAGAAGGTTGCGTGTTCGATTCACGTCGGGGTCAATGCAGGACGAACTTTTTCATCATTTATTTATACAAGTTAACAATATTATTCTTTTTACTTTCTTTTTTTTATGAAATAGGAAAGCAAGTTTATTTTATTTTTAACAATATTCAAATATTTATTTAATTATATATATATATATATATATTGTAAGCAGATTTTGTTTAGTGCGAGAAACAACAATTGCATAACGAGCATACGTTTATCTATTTTAAATTTATAGCGTGAATTATTATTATCTTCTCAAAAATGTCATAATTAAAATACATATATAAATAGTTATTTATTTATATTTATATATACTTTTTGTATATAGATAACAAAGCAATTTGAACGATTTCATTTTGATAACTAATTTTTATAAGTTCATATATGTATGTATGTTCCATATATGTATATGTATATATAAATTTATATATGTGTAGATTCTTATTTATTTTGTTTAAGTTTTATACGAATTTTAGCTTAATTGTAAATTCCCTAAACGGTTTCCGATGTCGTTTATTTAGTTGTTCCCTTATTGCATACAAATATATGTATGTATGAGTGTAACATATATATGTATATATAAAAAATATTACTTATGTGCTGCGTTTTTTTAAAGAACAAATATTATTTATGTTAAACTACCAACACCAAAATTCGCGATGCTTGCTCGTACACGTATCTTGCAAATTTAGCTAAACGAAATTAAGAATTTCAACAAAAATTTTGTACACAAGTCAAAAAATACAAAATTTATATAAATTTATTTGCTATTGACTAGATTTAGGAACTCCTCGCGCGTCTTTGGATCATCGCGGAATACGCCAAGCATAGTAGAGGTAACAGTTTTGCTATTGATTTTCTGCACACCACGCATCACCATGCACATGTGTCTGAAATGGTTAAATAGATTAATAACTGTCGTTGATGAAAATAAAAATAGTTAATAAATTGTAAACATAAATCCATCTCAATTGCCTAAGCAATTTGCTTTAAGCAGCTCTCTTAAACAGCTATTAGCGCGAAGTTGAGCACAAGCATCGGTGGTTCAGTGGTAGAATGCTCGCCTGCCACGCGGGCGGCCCGGGTTCGATTCCCGGCCGATGCAAACTACATTTTTGTTTTTTTAATTTTTATTTTTTTTATAATGTACTTACACGCCCTCGACAACAACAGCAACGCCTGCTGGCTGCACTGCTTGTGTTACAGCAACAGCAATTTGCTTGGTCAAACGTTCCTGCACCTGAAGACGACGTGAAAAGATTTCCACAATGCTAAAATATATACAACAAATATATATTTATATACAGTTTACCTAAAATAGTTTGGTTAACTTACCGAGCCAACTTGCTAAGGCCTAGAATCTTGTTGCATGGCAAATAACCGATGGACACCTTGCCATAGAAGGGCACCAAATGGTGTTCGCACATGGAAAACATTTCAATGTCCTTCACGACGACCATTTCATCGTGGTCCTCGTCAAAGACGGCGCCATTTAGCACATCTAAGCCACAAATCAAACCGAAATTTATGTAAATATTATTTTAGTCCAACCTAAATTGATGTGAATTTTATGCTACATTTACTTGCTCAATAAAACGTGTGGCAATGGCATAACTGAATCTTAAGCTGAACTTTTCCACTTGACTGTTAATGTGCACACATGCATGAGTGCGTAAGTGTGTGAGTGCGTGTGCGTGTGTATGGCGCCACTTGTTGGCCATTCTTTTGGCAGCTTGAGCTTTCACTACTTCAACTTTAAATGCTGCCTACTCTTATGATTTTTGCACACTTCTCGCCTACTGCCTGCCCACCCGCCCACTTGACACGCGCTGCGCCGTCGACGTCAGTCGCTCACTCATTTTTCACACACTCTCGTACTCTTCCTCACGCTCTCTCTCTCTCTTTCTTCGTCTCTCCGTTACATATTTAAAAGCTTAAGTGCGCTTCCTGTCAATTCATAGCGACGAATGCTGCTGTTCCTGCAGCTCTCTCTCACTCTCTCTTTCACTCTGCAGCAAACTTCAATGTCACAGATTTTTGACTTTTTTCTGTTATTATGCATTAAAGATTTGAACTAATAAACTAATTTTGTTTTATATTTAACTAAATTTAAGACAATACTGAAATTCTAGGCTCACGCATTAACTTTGAATTCTATTTAAAATTTAAATTTATCAAAAGGGATGCAAATTGTTTGTGTGATTATTGATTATAAATGTGCCTCGAGGCAATTTACTTTCATTAATATCTGGCTGCTGTTGCCGCTGGCCAATTTGAATGCTGACTTTGAGTTTTGTGCGATTGTATTAAATAAAGTGTAGAACCTGCTTTTCGGAATGACAATTTTTAAAACCGGTCTGCATACTTGCAATTCACTAAATAAATAAAAAAACGTTAAAAAAAATAAAGAATAAAAAGTCAGTAAACATATGAGAGTTATACAATACAAGAAACTTGACATTGAGCCAATCGGAAGGACTCTCCAAAGAACAAAAAACTCTCCATTTAGAACTGTAAACTGTAGACTGCCTAATGCACCTGAGTTAAGTGGAAACTATTAAGGGTAATGCACCGCCAAGTCAAGTCAAGTCAAGTCAGTGATAAAGCTGAAGTACAAATAGCACACATAGGTATGGATATATGGAGCTCCGATGAATCAGAGCAGAAGAAACTAGTTTCCAGTTTAGTTGGAAATGCCGCTGGGAACTTTTTGTGCTTAGTCATGGACGTGCGCCCGCACAGGTGCCATACAGGATGGATCAGTGACCCAATGCTAATTGGTCAGTCATTGTGAGGTGCTAATTGAGCTCGTGAAATACGTAATTCCCACTTACCCTCCAAATTCTGATCGTAGCCCTTGGTGAAGTACAGCATTGCCTTGGCCGCACGCTCCGGTGTCTTGATCAGGCCCTGCCTATCGGGATTCTCGCCGAGACCGCCCAACAGCAGACGATAGGAGCGCGCCATATCAGGTAGCAATGCCTCGCGCGTTGGCGGCTTATGATCCAGCTCCAGATCATGATGGAAAGTGCAGTTCTCATGGCCTGTAAACAAAACAGAGACAAAAACAAAAGAAAAATCATGAAACAATGTTTGGAATTCGTTTGCTGATAACCCGCGCAACCCCGAATGTGTTCCAATTGGAATTGGGTGGAAACCAAATGCTGATCAGAAACACACACGATTTAACCTTTGACAGACGTTAATGCTCTCATGTAGATGCTCATATCAGTGCAGCGAAACGGGGATTTGAACTCTTATCTCTTCGATTGGCCATTAGGCGCGACTTGCTAATATATAGATAGTTCGGCGCCACTCGATCATTTAATTGTTATTGGCATTAATAAACAGTTCCTGGCTGGTATAATCACATTCAATTGAATCATTATTATGCCCGTTAGACCCTACTAATTGAATGATTAAGCGCCGATATGCTTTGAAGACGTCGCTCAAGCAGTTCCTAGGCAAAAAGGTAACCCTACATCGCCCTATCACTACCTGGCGTCGTCGATGTACGCGGTGTCTGTGGTGTTAGCGGTTGTGTACCATCATTTTCCGGAATGCTGGCGCTGCTCTTCAGTATGAGACGTGGTCGATTGCTGTTGGTGGCTGCGGGCTCCTCGCTACTTGCCGGCAGCGGCTCCTCCGGCGCGCTGACCACACGATCTGCCAGCGAGGAGGTGCCGGAGGTGCTACTTGTTGAGCAAACGCTATTGTTACGCCCACGGGAAAGGATATGCGCCTGCGGAAAATTCGTGTCATCGATGGCATCGTTCAGCTCGCTGGCGCTCATCTCGGACAATTGGCGTGTGAAGCTCATGATGCTGTCGTTTGGCTGCGTTTGCTCTGATTTACTTTCAATATTTGTTGGCCAACAACAAAACTAAATACACAAAAAATTTCTTAGACTTTGGATTAAAAAAAGCGTAACTTGGCTCGGTAGGCGCAACTGGGCTGTGCGTGCTAACGTTGTGGAATGCTTTGGGCAACTGGCTGCCCGCTGGGCTTGTCGTTGCTAATAAGAACTTCAAGAAGAGCTTTGAGCGCGGAAAGCTTTGACGAGCGAGCGAGCGAGCTTTACACGCTTACAGTGCTTTTAAAACTGTTGACTTTCGAACTTGTTGCTCAAAATGAGTGGCGACAATCCGACGGTGCGACGATGCGACGGTGGGTCAGCGGTGGTGGCTGGGTGGTTTGGGTGGTCGCCCACTCAAAAGTGCTCTCAAGGTCTATTAACTTCAACTTTTATTTCGTGTGCGTGTTTGAGTGTGTTTGTGTGCGTTTACCCAAGCTTGAGTAGTCAGAACGCAAACATTCAAATCACAGGCAGCTCGTAAATCCTGACCAGATAAAATATTCCAAATTTTTAGCCAACATGGCTCATCGAATCAAGCTTCGGGCCGACGACTATGATGTTGTCGGCGCTGTTCCACGTGATCTTTCGGTAATAAAAAATTTTTTAAAGCGAGACTGCGCCGTCAAGCGCTTAATTGAGATTGAGGAAGACTTTCTCAATAAATGCTTGCAAAAGAGGGCCGAAGAGGAGGCCGAAGAGGCGAAACAGAAAGCCAAGAAGTCACAAATAGGAGCCATCACTCAAGAAGAAGAGGTGACAGTTCCGGATCCATGTACGAGTACATCGCCGCCTTCTGTCAATGCAGCCGACTACTGTGATCCATGTCGGCGACTTCAGACTTCTGTCGTCCTGGAAGAGGTGCGTACAAACTAAAGATTGATTTCATTCCGACAGTCAATGACTGAAGACGATTTCCCATTCGAATAGCTAACAAAACCGGCCAATAACAATCCTGCTTTCGGCTTTGCGCCGTACTTCGATGAGGAAACTGTGTTGGATAAGTCGCAGCCGATCAAGTTTCGGTTTCGCAGAAAGCGAAGCAGCTGCGACACTGAGAATCGATCGTCGCTGCCCTGCGTGCCGACCGAGAATACAAACGTTATGGTCCTCACCAACATCAATGACATAATGGTCTGGCCCAGCCAAAAGGTGGCTCAGATGAATCGTGTCCCAGTTACCCTATTATCGGGCGTGGGCGATCTGACTGAGTACATGCTGGAGGAGGAGACAATCATGTAGAAATTTTGGAATAAATAAAATGTTTTTGACTTAAAATTTTAAATCAGATCAAGAGTAAAACAAAACCAGTCCTAGACAAAGCCGAAGTGAATAAAGAGAAGAGAGAGAAGAGAAGAGACATCAGAGAAAATATCGTGAAATATTGATACTATGGGTAGAGAGAGGGAGAGAGAGAGGCGGAAAGAGCGGGAGTACAAGGAAGAGAGAGACGGAGAGAGGCAGGGAGAGAGACGGATAAGCAGAGGGAGAGAGCGCGAGATAGAGAGAGAGAGAGGCGGAAAGAGCGTGAGTACAAAGAAGAGAGAGAGAGAGGCAGGGAGAGAGACGGATAAGCAGAGGGAGAGAGAGGCAGGGAGAGAGACGGATAAGCAGAGGGAGAGAGAGCGAGATAGAGAGAGAGAGAGGGGGAAAGAGCGTGAGTACAAGGAAGAGAGAGAGAGAGGCAGGGAGAGAGACGGATAAGCAGAGGGAGAGAGAGGCAGGGAGAGAGACGGATAAGCAGAGGGAGAGAGAGCGAGATAGAGAGAGAGAGAGGGGGAAAGAGCGTGAGTACAAGGAAGAGAGAGAGAGAGAGAGAGGCAGGGAGAGAGAGACGGATAAGCAGAGGGAGAGGGATAAAGGCAATAGAGGGAGAGGAGCGAGAGAGAGGAAGAGAGACTATAAAACTAAATTTAGAGAGGTAGACTGGGAAGTAAAGAGAGAGCATTATGTTTTAGTGAAAACACAAAAACCAGAAAAGTATATTCCCAAATTGATATTATAGAGAGAAAATGAAAGAGGGCGATATATTTAAGAAATATCAGAAATTTTTTCTTTCAAGAGAGAGAGAACTTCCAGAAACGTAAATATGGAAATACAGAGGTACACAAAGATGTCAGTTTCTTTTATTATAGCAATGGAAGATACCAAAAAAGTTGATGCTCCTATTTGAGAAGCCCTCAAAACGTAAATGGTTGATAACTTATATGGCTTATATAAGAGCTGGCATAATTGTGCATATAACAAAGTCACATATATGGCGACATATATATATATATATATATTACATATCATATATATATATATATATATGTTACAAATTTGTCTTTTATATGTAGAAAGTGTCCCCGAGAATAAGTCAATGAACGCAACTGGCAAAAGGAATTTATGCATTCCGAATGTCTGAGATTGAATTGGAATTTGAATTCGATTTTGATTTTGAATCGATTAGAGTTCACTCGGGATCGTTGCATAGAGTACTACAACTGTGAAATAGCTTCGATTGTGTTATTTAACATATATGTATAGATATATATGTAACTGTATATCATTCAGATAAGTTGAATGCACAGTAAAAACTTTGAGATGAATTTCCTTATGTGACTTTTCGATAAACGTATATTACATAATAGTTCTATATGTGTATATAGAATATATGTATATTTGTATATATCACATTCAGATACGTAATACTATAAAGAATTATTGGGATTAACCTATATTGTGAATAATTATAAAAAAAACTATTTAGGGAATGTTTCTATATGGTATATATGATGTATACACATCATATATGCTATATTTGTTATATAAAGTACGATATATATGGCATATCTAGTCTATATTTCATATAGATAAATAGAGTTTCGTTTAGCTTTTTATGCAACATCTCTCTATTTTAATTAGATAATAGTTTTATAGACATTCGTTTCAGATCAATAAAGTACAGTAAACTGCTGGATAATAAACTCGTTACAAATTGAGAATGAATTATAGATAGAATTGAGATTCATATAAGCTGAGTAGAGTTAATGTGATATAGAGTTCGTTGTGAGTCCCCCAATTATGTGAATATCTCATATATAGTATACTATATGGCAGTTGTTTCTCTATTCATTCAGGTCAGACGTGTGAAATGGATTTTTATATGAAATAAAACTGATTTCGCATAGACTCAAGCAGGGGGATGCCAGCTTAATAGATCCAACATTAGCGAATGGTTGTGAGTAGTTGGAATACTACGAATCAAGCTCGCTAATGCATCTATCTAGTCACAGAGACTGGTGTGAGACATGTGTTCGGGCAACCTGTTGGCTAATATCGTAAGCATGCAATACAATGTAATTAAAAGTAAGGTAAGTCATCATTAACATTTTCCATAGGGCAGGTGTTTTTTCTCTTTCGTTTTTGTCATAGTTCACAAATTACGCATTCCAGAATTCTAAGAAGAACATATAGGCTTGTCTGCGGACTACTATGAATATATATATATATATAAATATATATATATATATTTAGATATATGTAGTTATTGATTCATATAGGATTTTTTCTGTGTTTAACAATTGCAAGTGAAAAACCGTGCGAATAGCTTTTGTTTTATTGACCGCGATCGCTCAAATGTGAAGCACGGCGACTTATTGCTCATGCAATATGAAAGAAACAGAAAAAAAACCAAAAGATAAAAAAATATATATATATATATATATATATATATATAGCCGACAAATCTAAACCGTTTTAAACGGCAGCTTGTGCTGTGTGGTACTCGCGTCCAATTAAATGCTTTTAACCTTCAAAAAGTAGTACAGGTCTAGCCTCGAGCCCCACTCCCGGCGGCTTGCCCCTGGCTTTTGGCTAAATACCGGATTACGATGAGGAGTTTATGCTTATGTAGTGCTACGCTAGCAGAGCCAACAGCAGCTCATAGCCCATAACGCTCTCATTGAATCTTCCGATCTGCAGCGAAACTTTCAATGTCAATGTCAACAAAATCTATTACGATCATTGACAGTTGCTATACACATATATCTATAAGTAGTATGTCTATTTTTTAATGCTCTTTGATCTGTCATTGTGTGGTTTTCATATATATGTATATGTATAAGTACATAGTATATAGATCTCTGTGTGCTCTATGAATTTTGACTTGAGTTTCCCACTTGCGGCTTATGTGCAGTTGGTTTTATGTTAATAGCATCGCCGGAAATCAGAGATATGTATAGAGGGTCAGTGTGCGAATCTGAGCTGCATCTTAACTGATCGAACCTGATCTAAGAAGACAAATTGTGTGATGAAATGTTGCTGCTCTATTACTAAGCCTTATGTTACCTTCTAATCCCAACGGCACTTGTCACGTATGGAAAACATCAACGTTGACTTGAAAGCTATGCGAGAGAACTATGAAAGACTTACATAAAACTCAACCTGGAAGCGGAAAAATGCAAGCTAATAATACAGTTTTACATTTTCTTTCAATCTACACAAAAATGAACTGCAAAAGTTAACTGAAAACAACAAAAGACTGCATTCTGAACGACCCAGACAAGCATTCACATAACTGTAAAACAACGGGAATCCTTCACAGTCGCAGGCACTCACCATTTCCGTTGCCTATGTTGAGCAATTCCAGTTTCAGCTGTTGACTACTTTTGGCAGGAACAACGGCGCCCGCGCTGACTGCAGTTGCTGTTGCTGCGACGGCTCCGGCGACTGCGGCTGCAGTTGCTGCTGCTGGTACGATCGCGGCAGCGTCCATGGCGACGCTGGCAGCATCTATAGCAATGTCGCCATTTTGAGTGCTACCATTTTGTTCGTTAACTTGAGGTTTCATTTTGTTAAATATGATTTTATATTGAAATTTATTAAATAAAAAGGATATGCGTAGGCTCTAGGTTGTTGGTTTTGGTTTACTAGCGCGTAGAATCGTTGCTTAACTAAAAAACACTAAAAAACGCGTCGCCTTCAGTTGTGTCCGTTATGGATTTTTGTTAAATTTAACTGTTTCTTAATTTATTTAATTTTTTATTGGTTGATGTTAATGCGCGCGCGCTCCGCTTTTATTTGCTACACCCGACTAAACGGCCAGAGATTTAGTTGTAACCTTTTTATTATGAAAAATCGAAAGTTCTTGTTCAACGAGAGATACAACTGACGACGACGACTCTGCCAGCGTCGCTTTTGCGGTCGCTTGCCTTTTGTTGCCGTTGTTGTTGCTAATACAGTACGCACCCGATAAGTGGATAAAACAACTATTCGCAACAATTGCTTACAATTATATTTGATCCAAATAAATATGTATAAGTCTCTTTAATTATCTACCAATTGATTACGATATAAAAAATACAAGAAATAAGTCTTCATAAAAGTGAAAAAGCTTTATTTTGCCTGCTTTCCTTTTAGCGTAGGTGCACTGTAATTGTATTCGGTTACTTTTCGCTTACTTGTTGCTCTCTGAGTGCTGGCCGTGGCCGTTAGTTATGTGCATATATGCGTATGTAATTGTATATGTATTATTGCAAAGCTTTTGCGCTACACATAAACACACACACTCTCTCTCTCTCTCTGTCTCTCTGTTTCTCGGGCTTAGCACACTCTCAAGCTCACACGAGGACTTCAGGAAATGTGTTGCGCCGTTATTAAGAAATAAGACAAAAAGTTGTAAACAAAATCGAATGTGAGTAATTATTGATGTGGTTTGTTTAAAAGTATAGGTAATAATTGCTACTGATAGCATAAGCTAAATAGGTAAAATTGCAAAAAGTCAGTACTAGTCGTATTCGTAGTCATCCACTGGACATACGAACATAATTGGTTTTTATTGTCTTGATAACCTGCCGGCGCATCATTAAAAAAGTCATTGGCAAATATGCACTGATAGCGTTAAATATTAATTCGGTTCGGGATCAATAAAAACATGTTCGGTCAGCACGGATCATCTCACATTTAAATTATTGTCATGTGCCTTATCAGAAACCATTTCAAAAGGCGTCTTGAGGCGATATCAATTAAGATTTCGATTTGTCTAGACCAATTTATCGGCGTCGATTGGTCATCGGTAACTATAACAGTGATTTGGATGCCTTGAGTGGCCCCACAGTTAAAGCATTGAGTCATTCAGCTGGGGCAATGAGCCACCGCTAAATTATAAATAATATTAATTAACAGTTAATAAGCCATTTGCGTCAATTTTGCCTGGCAAAATCGAACGCTTAAAACAAAAACCAGCCCCAACCAAACAAAACTTTTTTGACTTTTCATTTTTGTGTTTTGCTGCTCCGTTTAATGGCATTCAATGCCATTAGCTGACAACAAATTCACTTTTTATTATAATTATTCTCATTCAGACACAAACATGGCCAGTGGTAAAGAAAATACATTGCGGAAGGAAGCCGGCGCCAGCTGGAGAGCCGGTTTTTTAAGCGCCACGCGACACTCTAATTACAACTCCTGCACCTCACCACCTACACCTTGTTTTCCCTGCGCCTGCCGTTCCAGTTTCTCCTGCTCCATTGTCTCCAGCTGTGCCAACGTCAGCAGCGAAATACCCAACTGATCTTCCCTCGAAAATGGCTGAGCCATGCGCCTTAGCCAGCGGCGCGCCAGTTGCACCGCTTCCTCTGTGGACAAATTGCAAAAACTGTCCACCAAATGCTCCTGTATCCACTTGGGCAGACGTGACCGCTTATCCTGACGTGAAAACCGTTTGTCTGCAAATATCATGATACCATAATCCGTTTTTCCACGCAACGCTCGACCCACGCATTGTGCGGCATGTCGCATAGCATCAAAGGTCAGAAAATCATTTTCTCGAATCTGAAACTGATCCCGCAGATAGTCGAGACGCGCCTTGAGAATGCGGGACTGCGTATAAACGTAGGGTATGCCGAACATGAGCACCGCGCGACCATAATGATGATCGAAATCCACACCCTCGGAGACCTTGCCACGCGCCACAGCCAACAGAACAGCGCCTCGACCGCAATCGCATGCCTAAAACAAAGATACACAGAGCATAGATCGAGATGAATGTGTGTCAAGTCCATAATCAATGGAAGCCATACCAATTGGAGGCTGCGAGTCTATTGCGGGCAGATATGTATATGAGGGCGCTCACCTTAACATAGTTCATGAGCGCATAGCTTGTCTCGGCATTGTCCTGGGTCTCGATGAAGAGCAGCTTATAACGAAGTAGAGTATCAACAATGCCCTGGTCATACCATGAGGCCACAACCGATTCCAAATACAAATATGATGTAAAAAAGCAAACAATGCCATCGGGCACGGTTTTGGCTACCTCCACCAGTAGCTGTCCGTAGTTCCTTATGACAGCAGTGTCCTCGCGTGTCTCAAACTTCGATGAGATGGACACCTGATCATTGCCCTTTGATACAATCTACAGAAAAACAGCTGTATAAAAAATCGAAAAATCTCTTAAATAAACGCCTACCATTGGCAGCAGACAGGGCCGCGCCAGAGTCATTGTAAAACTGCTCATAACTACTGGATCAAAGTCCAGAATCTTGGGATACATGTCCATGGGCGAGAGCGTGCCCGAGGTGATGACAACCGTTTGAAAGCGCGTAAAAACTGGCGCCATGGCAATGGATGAATCCAAACAACTGAAATGCATTATAGGATTCGAAACAGTCGGCGTCTTGTCATCAAAAGGCTCTATAATGATGGTAAAGCCTTTCGTGTACGTTGAGACCAAGGTGGCAAAATGCGTTATCTGTGAACAATCATAACTAATCATCATCATCATCATTATCAATAACAGACACCGCCACATACCAGCGTCAGGGCACCAAATTCAGTCATATCGCTGATTTCCAGCGTACGCAACAAGCTGGATAAACGCTCCGCACAGAAGCGTAGAGGCTTGCGTTCTATGCATATTTTAGACGAAACATCTTTGAGGAATCCCGCTGGCGATTCTTGAACCACATGATGTACCCGCAGTCGAGTTTTTATATATTCTATAAAGCGTCGCAAAAAACTAAGAAAGTGATCCGCATTACGTATGTTGCCAGGGACGACCTCAGTGAGCACATCGTTGGGCAGCACGGGATTTGCCAGAATCATATCTGTATCGCGCTGTACACTGGCATCCTTAAGACCCTGCACCATACGTTGATATTCCTCATTCAAACGGTTTGTATCCTCATCCCGCATGCTACAATGGGCAGTAAATTAGTTATGGCTAGTTATTGAAGTAAATATAGAAACACCTACTCCTGGACCAATTTCGTGAGCTGATTCAGGGCGTTGGTGCTGCGCTCCACAGTTCGTCGATTGATTTTCACACTCATTGAGTCGATGCACACATTGTCTATATTATGAGCCTCATCGAAAACCACACAAGACTCGCGTGTCATCTCCTTTGATACGACCTGCGCGATTTTTGGATCCAATAGATAATGATAACTGTAGACAACAATGTGGGCGTGTGCAATCTGCCAGGGAGAGGGATACAGAAAGAGAGGAAGGCGTAAGTAATATGGATACATATCAAAACATTAATATTAATAACGCACAGCGTAGCGTGCCACAAAATACGGACACCAATTTCTTGAGCGCCCATATTCTTTAAGATCATCGATGCTATAGACGCCCACAGGCAACGTCGATTCCTTGCCTTCCAATGTAAAACCCTCAAAATACTGACCTATAAGAACAATTGACAAGTATGAATATATGTTAAATTGAATTTTAAAAAAGGTAACTACTTACAAATTGGCACTTCAGCATCCAATTCATGGCGTTCACGTATGTAGCTAGCAGTTAGCCCATAGCACTTGCCATCGACAGCCTTGCCCTCGCGCTCCTTACTAACTTCTGGGTGTATGCACATGTTTTTACGTGAGCTGAGCACCAGACCGGTAAAACCCGGTGGCACAGGCGCATTGCGCTCATAGTAGACCATTAGGTTCTGCAATTCCGCAATAACTTTCTCAATCTCTGGCACCGTTCGCGAACAGTAAATCAGCTTGCGCACTGTCTCCGGATGTTCGATCATATATGCCACTACCAGTGAGAGTAACGTTGCTGTTTTTCCGGTTCCCGAGGGCATTTCAAGTAGGCAATGCCCCTTGGCGTCCAGACTTCTCTTAAGCTCCAGCATGTATGCATATTGCTCAGGATAAATATACTCGTAAGGAAAATAGACGAGCAGCCCGTCAACGCTGAGCCTAAGAGCAAAAATATTCGAGCAATAATTAAATGTAATGTATATTATATTACTCCATTCATTACTTCATTGTGCTCTTGTACGCTTGAAGCCTTTTATAGTTGTGTTCAGTTTATTAGATTTTTCAAAATTACGTTAATTTGTTTAATTTTGCAGTTGTTTAGTTTTGGCTACTGCTCGACGAACATGCCGGCAACTATCGATTACTATCGATATGAGCGCTTATTGCAAGACTCAAATTCTTCGTGCTTTACTGTAACAAGTACGCTGTTAATTTTAAGGAATGGTAACCCATAAAATAAAATTATGGTCAAGCCAAAAATTAAATTGATGTATTTATAGAAAGTCTCAGTTTTAACTACACTAATAAAGCATAATAACCGTAATTTTTTCTATGCAACTTAAAAAAACTTAATATTAAATTGATTATCAAAAGAACAAGCGAAATACCAGTTGCTGAACTAAGCAAAATTTGTGCTGCCATCAGCGTACCAGGCGCAAAGAAGTTTTCAGTAGTTCTATTGCATTTAAGCTAAAATAGATGTGTTTTTAAAGGCTAATCTCTTATTTATTGTACTGTAAACGTATTTTATACTAACATTTCATAAAACTAATCAAACTTACACCATATGGATGACCTCAATCCCTTGGCTGGAACAGCGCATCTGCTGGAAGAAGTTGATAGTACGTATTTCCTGCGTTACCGGCATAATGTATCCAAAATCATAATAAAATGGAAACTTGTAGAAAAACTAATGGTTCTGCTTCGAGACGGCCGTACATTAATTGGCTACTTGCGATCCGTAGATCAGTTTGCCAACCTAGTTTTGCAGAGGACAATTGAACGGATACACGTCGGCAACGAGTATGGAGATATCCCGCGAGGCGTTTTCATAATACGAGGCGAGAACGTGGTGCTCCTTGGTGAAATTGTGAGTAAAAAAGTCAATGTTCACCAGGTGAACTCATAGAAAGTATTCCCCACCATTTCAGGATCGCGAAAAGGAACAAAAACTTCCTCTGAAAGAGATTTCTGTTGACGAGATACTGGACGCACAGCGACGTGAGCAGGAGCAGCGACAAGAGAAGCATCGACTCGTCTCAAAGGCACTCAAAGAGCGTGGCCTAGCGGTCAATGCGGATATAATCAATGAAGACTTTTGCTGAGCGCTGTGTCTGTGTCTGCATTATAACAAATATTTAGAGTAAGCTTAAGAAGATAATTGATTTTTGTCAGTTGTATATTTGTACTCCATAAAAATCTATTTAAAAACTATATGTACATATGTGTCGCTATGTAATCCTGCTCAACCATTGTGACTCGTCCCTGGCGTCGTCGCGGACTCCTCCAGCAATATGTACTTCTCCAAGATCTGGTACATTTCCACTTTTGCTTTTATCTTGTGTCGACGCGACAATTGTCGCAGATAGGCTGCTACGGATTTACAGAAGAAATCGTCTTCAGTTTCATTGGACGCAGTGGTGGCAGCTGGCGCAGTAACTGCCTCAAAGCCTGGAGATGCTTCTGGCTTAATTGGTGGCAAATGCTCCTGTTCAACTCTCATATTCGGCATACAGACCATAAAGCCAATGTCCGTCTGAGAATGGCCAGCATCAGACGGGGACGCACCAGTCGTGGACACATTGCCCGCTGTCGTTGAATCGTTGTGGACTGTGACCATGGATGGCGATTGTTGCAACGGGGGCAAGACTTTTTGATCAGCTGATTCGGAATCGCCCATATACTCCTCATATGAATCATGTCCGTCTCCATCGTCCGCTTCCACGAGCACCGAATAACTTTCCGATTGCGTCGTTTGCACTTCCAGCTTGGCATCAGCGTCATAGTTATGATCACAATCGTCGTACACCTGCGACTCATCCAAGTCCTGCTCAATAAGTGTATCCGGCTCTGGACGTGATTTTGATTTCACTGTTCGCACCTCAGTTTTGAGCCAATTTGTTGGCGTATCATCGCGACGGCTTCTCTCACGACGCTTACGCACAAACTCCCGCAAAAAGTCCATTTGCCTAAAGAATTCATTTCGACCAAATTCCGAGGACGGATGCAAGCGCATTTGTTTCAGCTCTCGCGAATAGCGGTCTCGTAGACACGTCCATCTGCGTCGTGCATCGGGCGACGAAATGTTTAGGGTTTCAGCCACTTTAGCCCAATCCTCTTCTTTTCTTTGCGATAGGCGAAAGTCGCCATGTCTGTGGTCGTAGAGTGATGGTGTTGAACGTATCGTGCGTATTAACACTACATCTGACTCGTCCAGTGGCCTATGATGGGCGCTCATAATTTGTTAATTACTATTCAGCATTAATTTTGTTCAATTTGTAGCAGCTTATGTTTTCGTTTTGCTTTCTTTCCAGTGTGACCATTGCGTGTATTAGAAAAACGCATTAATACCCTAACTAATGTGTGGTATCGCCGTCATTTTGCTGCATTTTTAGCGGTCTGGCAACGCCAAATGCTTGTGATTGCTAATACAATATTGTAATAATAATATCGGGCTATTTCGAATTGAGTTTGTGTTCATAATATCATTACATAGTAACTGTTTTTAGTTATTTTTATGTATTCGATAAGCAATCTAAAAAAAATATTCGATAGCTTTGCTTGACGATTCAATTTACCAAAATATGTATGTTTTGTATCGATGTAGCCGATGAGCTGATATACGAAATAAGCACCCCTACTATCGGCAGCCATTTTTTCACGCTTTCATGCGAAAAAATTGTGAAAATTCAAGTAAAAAGTTGTTAAACAAGCAAGAAAATAATTTATAAAGATCACATATAATAAAATAGTATGCGAATTTGAATTTTGTGCGTGCGTGTAGTGTGTGAGCATTGAAATGAACATGGAGACGGTCGTCGCTTTCAATAATGAGGTAAGATGAGGCCGCCGCCACACACATGTACATATAAATGTACATACATATCTATATTTGCTCATACATAGCACGGTATTTACATACATGTCTACATACGCCATATGTAGTTGTGTAATTTGTATCGTATACAATTATAATCACGACACTTGCATATGCAAATGCAATATTGTTGGCAACAAAAACAGCTTCACGTCCTGCTTCTGCCCATGCCAATAAAAACCCTTTTTTGCTTGATGCTTGATCAGCTCTATGTGTATGTTTTATTTCAGCTCTCCGGACTCTATGATAGCCGGCCGCCCATATCGAAGGCTAAAATGGCCGCCATCACAAAGTCGGCAATGCGTGCAATTAAATTCTATAAGCATGTCGTGCAGAGTGTTGAAAAGTTTATACTCAAATGCAAGCCAGAGTACAAAGTGCCGGGCTTGTATGTCATAGACTCAATTGTGCGGCAATCGCGTCATCAATATGGCACCGATAAGGATGTCTTCGCGCCCCGCTTCCAGCGCAATCTCACCGAAACGTTTGCCAATCTGTTTCGATGCGCACCCGAAGATAAGAGTCGCATCATTCGCGTGCTTAATCTATGGCAGAAGAACAATGTCTTTAAATCGGATGTCATACAGCCAATATTTGATTTGGCTGATCCAAATCATCCTATTTACCACCAAATGCCACCAATCGGAGCCGGCAACATCAACTCGAGCTCAGGACCAAGTGGCAGCAGTGGTGTTCTAAATCTCTCGGACATTTCAAGTGGCAATGCTGCCAATGGTCTTAATGCCTCCGGAATGAGCAACATGGATCTAAGTGGCGCTGTTGACGACAAAATGGGTGGTGCAATGCCAGATCTATCGGTGAGTGGGCAATGGCTGATTCTCATATACAACAGCGAACAATAACTGGCAATGTATACGTTAATCAACCCATTAGGGTCTGCTACAATCATTGCCAGGCAATGATACAGTGATGTAACTATATAAGTGGTTTCTCTTTCGATTCTAATCCAATTGGTATTGTTTTTGTCACTATTACCATTGATCTATTCACTCTCTGATACATGTCTTGCTTGACTAATATACGCGAATGTACAGCTAAGCCATGAGAAGTGCTCAAGTTCTAGCCGTCGTCACATGGAGCAGCATTATATGAAGCGTCAGCAACATCAGCATAACATGACCTCCAGCAATTCAGCATCTGGGTCAAAAAGCCGTTTCGATAGTGGGGGACTCGGCAAATCTCATCATCACAAATATGGCAAAGGTAGCAGCTCACACGAGTTGGACTACGATCTGCGTGAGATAATTGACGACGAGGATGGGGACATGCTGATGGGCGACGATCATCATTGCATGGGCGATGACTCGCCACCCGGCTCATCGAACTTGCTAGATGTATGCACAGGCCTTTTCGTTATTTATATATTTCGTTTCTGTTTAGGATTTAGTTTTTTTAGGTTTCTTTTATTTACAATCATTTAAATGCATGCACCCCACTTATTGATGACATATCCTTTCGCAGAACAATAACTTGAAGCAGCTGCTCAATGATCCCAACGTGCTACGCCAATTGCAAACGCTGCAAAACTTTCAAAAGTTCAAGCAGCAAGAGGAAAATCAAAAGCATCGCTACCAGGACGATGCGCTGCAGCAGCATTTGCAGAATGTTCTTAAGGTACGTATGCTCATTTATTGTTTTCCTTTCATATATACTAGAAGAGGTCTATTTTCTCATTTTAGGGAACAGGTGGCTTGAAACCGGGCGTTGGCATGGGCATGGGCATGGGTCATAATGATGTGACGGACATGAACAAGGATGTCGAATTCATATCGGAACAACAACCCATTGAGGTATACACACGCATTACTTTAGCAATGTAGAGTTCATCAAGCAGGCAATTTGTGCATTTTTAATTGATCTGCCAAACTGATGGCGATTAAAAGTGCATAACATAACTGCAAATTTGTAGCTCATTATAATTATATTACTATATATAGCATATAGTTGAAAACTCACACATGAAATTGGAACTAGAGTTGACAAGCGTTGTTCAAACTATATCCAACTATATATAGTTCCACTTTCATAGTGCCAAGTGCTGCTGACGTGCCCAAAATGTTGTTATACCAGGGCGGAGAATTAAGAGTTCCGATTAATCAAAATGCATAAGCGAAGAATGGGGAATACTTATTGATAATGATTATCATACGAAAAACGACTTGATATATGCCTTACTTTTAAGTGCAATAAGAGTAGTCGAATTATTGTTTTTGGCCAAAACTAAAATAACTATCGATAGGGCCATACTTAAATTTAAACTTGAAATTTTGCATATACGTTTATTGAAAACTATATTAAAAAATAAATACAAAAATAAAAAATGGTAAATGAATGCCCAAAGGTAAGGTTTAAATATACATATTGACGGATGCGATACCCGATGCTAGAAGCGCCCCCTCGTATAACAACGTTTGGTAAGTTCCTTAATATGTAAACCACAAATTCAAGTCGATTCAATTCAATTACCCATCAATGAACACAAAAACTTGCTCGAAAACGCATCGATAAGAAAATGCCAATGAAATGAAATGAAATAGTAAAGAACCGTCGACCAGTTTAAAAAGGCCAAAACCACACGTCAACACGCCAAGAATGCAGTTATAAAAAAATATGTATTTTGTATAATTTGTAGTTAAACAACAAACCAACCCAACCCACCCAACCACTACCATCTACTCCCATCCTATCCCATCCCAGAAATAAATAAAACTAACCACAACCTCTCCCACTCCTCCACTCCTGTCACATCCGCCATTATTTGTTTTATGCTTAAAATGTTAACGTTTATATCACAATCACTTTCTCTCAAATTTTTTGCAAAACTTCAAACGCTCAGGTTATCAATCTGGATGGTGCCGATTCTCGTAGTCCGACGCCCGATCGTGACCGTTACAAGCGCAGTCGACGCAGCAGCCGCAGTAGATCACCCCGTAGTCGCGGTGGCGGTGGTGGTGGTGGTGGTGGCAATGGAAACGATCGTGATCGGGGAAGTCGCCGTCGCAGCTCACGTTCGCGCAGCCGCTCGCCACGTTCCAGCCGAAGGCGCGGATCGCGCGATCGTGATCGTATGGAGCGCAGCACGCGCGACAAGGAGCGGGATCGCGAACATGAACGTGAGCGCCGCAAGAAGGGCCTGCCCGACATTAAAAAGGAACATCTAAGTGGTAATTATCCATGCACAACCCTAGCGTAGCAAGAAACGCATCACGTAAGCAATTCGTAATTGTCGCATGCAAAAGGTCCATCAAGAAGTAGTAGAAGAAGAAGACTTGTGCTTCTTGGCAGAACCTTTTTATGCAACATTTACATGATTCACACTTTGGTTCACTCTCGTTTGGTCTTTTCAATTGATGCTAATACATAAATATTTCTTTATTCTGCAGCTCCTTGGCTCTGTTGACGTGTGTGTGTGTGTTTGTGTGTCTGTGTGTGTTTTAGCTTTAGTGGTTCTAAATCTTATTATCTGGCATTATTTAACCCACATAATATCCTCAAATGTCCCTGACGCGTTTTTGAGCAAGGTTTTTTGGCAACTAAATTAATTGAATAAGCATATAAATGTACCCCCATTTTTTATCAGTGTATCTCTCAGCTAAGCACTTGGTACGCACAACAAATTTACTACATTTAAGGCTCGTTATGGAGCAATCTTTCTATTCAAATAATTTGCTTGATAATTTATTGCTTACATCAATGTTAAACTAAAGTGATAACTCCACGCCGAGAGCCTATATTTTACATACATGCTCATATATATATATATTATAAACAGTGAAAAGTTGATGAGCTTATCAACAACTTGCAAGTTATTAAAAAATAATCGATAGCTTGATTGAAATCGATAGAAAGTAGAATGTGACAAAAGTGAGAACCCCGTATTTTAACAGATTTGAAACGTTGGCAAATAAGCGACATATAAATTTGGGTTAATAGGAAGTCGCTTTGTTTCTAAAATTATTAAAAATTTTTAAATTAAAGTAGTCTGTCCGTTGCATGAATACATTCATTCATTTCATGCAATTTAATGAGCTAACACTAAATTTATATTTGCTAAGATTAATACTTGTTTTCCGTTCAAATATTGAGCAATACTTTTCATAGATATATAAAGCTATTATTCTGCTATGATAGCTCTTATATAATATGTTGGGATTTTAGGGCTCTTATAGAGTGACCTTTATATAAAACTATAATTTTATTTTATGTAAACTTATGAAAAGATTTTAAATCTGGTATAATTTATTAGGATTTCAAATATAGCTAGTAAATATTGTATATTATTAACGTCAAATACTCTTAGCAGATGTCCCATAAAACAAGTTAATTAAATATGAAGCCTGCATTTTTTGATATATCCAACTAGTTCGCGCTTAAACAGACTAAGATATCTTAGATTGTAAAAACTGAAAGTGATATAGATATATCTTTGCTTCTATGAATGATATGTTATATAAATAGTTCAATGATCGTATATTCGACAACCGATATCAATGCGCATCACAAGAATTTCTATGCCTAATTCTTCACTTAGCGTAACATTTATTCGATAAGATAAAACAATTTAGCCCATTGCAGGCCTTAGAGAACGACTTGAAATTGAACGTTGCGAGCTTTAGGTTTTGTGTTTAGTATTATTGAAAAGCAATGACAAATAGTGAAATCCAAACGAGTTGTGTTTATATTCTAGCATTCTTAATTAATTAAATTTCAAACATTGTAAATATGAATTAATTTTTATTAACAATTTCATGTCACGTTTACCTTTGCAGTGTGCAGCACCACGCTGTGGGTGGGCCATCTCTCCAAGCTGGTATATCAGGAGGAGCTGTCGGATACATTCGGCGAATATGGCGATATCGTAAGCATCGATCAGATTGTGCCGAGAGGTTGCGCTTTCATCGTGATGAATCGTCGCCAAGACGCGCACAAGGCCATGCAGGCGCTTAAGAATCACAAGCTACAAGGTCGTGCCATTACCATTTCCTGGGCAGCCGGCAAAGGTGTGAAGAGCAAGGAGTGGAAGGACTTTTGGGATCTTGACCTCGGTGTCACATATGTGCCGTGGAACAAACTGAGTACCGAAACGGATTTTGACAGTCTGGAGGAAGGCGGCATGTTCGATGAGGACACCATGCCCAGCTGGATGAAGCAGAAAATCAGTCAGGCGAAAAATGTTAAAGATATCAAACCGACAGGCCTAACCGGCGAATTGCCGACTGTGCCGTCAGTGGCGCCTCCAAACTTGCTCTTCGGCATTGACACAACACAGCCACCGCCAGTGGCGCCGCCACAGCACGGCGGACCTGGTGCACCTCCTCCAACAATGATGGGCATGGTGCCCGGTCAGTTCCAGATGGCGCCGCCTATGGGCGGACCGCCACCACAACGCTTGTTGGGACCCATGGGACCACTAAATCATCCTTTGGGCGGTATGGCTATGCCCCCAAATATGGTGCCCGGTATGCCGCCGCCAATGATGATGCCGCCTAACATGATGCCACCAGGTTTTCCGACCATGGGCGGTCCTCCTCCACATACTATGGGACTGCCGCCTGGCGCACAGTTCCCCCCACCAGGGTCAGTGCCTCCACCCATGACCACAATTCCAGCACCTGCGGGTTCTGGCACTGGCAACGTGAGCGACGATCAAATGGACATAGAAATGGAGCTTGAGGATGCACCGCAATCTGCACCATCACAGCAGCAACAGCCACCTAACTTTAGCCAGCCGCCACCGATCTTTGCCGGTGGTGCCACGCAGCCTAACAGTGTTGATGTGACCGGAGCGGCTGCTGCAAATGATCTGTTTCAGAGGGATCGAACACGTGGTCCTGGTGGCGCCGGCTCTCGCTGGGGCGGCCGTGAAGACATTGCTGAGGCTTCAGAACGCTGGAGGAATGAGAATGGAGGAGGTGGACCGCAGCCGCTAAGCGGAGCCTTTAATGAGGCACGAGCGCGTCTCAATCTAAATAGCATGGAACATGGTGGAATGCAACGTCCAGAATTCTTGGGAGGCTTAGGTAAGTTACATGCAAATTAATGCTGAATTCTTGATTTATGTCATGTATTATTTCGCTTAGAATTTGATAATCGTTCTGGCGGTGGACCACGTGGCATGGGACCGGGCCCAAGAGGTAGCAATCATAATGGAGGCAATGGCGGAGGTGACTTCTTCCAGCCCAATATCAATCAGAATCGCTTCAGTCAGCCAACAAGTCTGATGCAGATGCGCATACCGCCACCGGTGGCGTTCAATCAGCGCATGGGTGGACCGGGTGCAGGCAATGGCGTGGGCCCCATGTTCATGAGAAACCAAGGTGGTGGACCAGGTGGTAGACAACAAGGACCAGGTGAGAACAATGATGCCCCCAAACATTGCACCAAAATTTATATGCTTTATATTTAAAGGGTTCTTCAATCCACGCAATCCGTTTAACGATAACCAACGCGGTCGCGGCGGTGGTGGCGGCGGCGGTAGCGGTGGTCGTGGAATGGGAGGCGGTGGAGGTCGCGGTGGCCGGTGGAGTGATGATGAGGAAGATGGAGGAAACAATAGCAACAATTTCAAACGCCGTGGAGGCGGTGGCCCAGGTGGCCCTGGCAGCCGATTCCGTGGCGAACGTGATGGCGATGAAAGGCGCGGAGGCAACGGACGTGGTGGACGTGGCAGTCAGCGCAGCGAAGAGCGTGAACGCGGACCTAACAATAATAACAGACGTGGCTCACGCGATGACAATAATCGTCACTCGATAAGCTCCACTGATGAAAACGCAATGCAGGGAAAACGGTCATCGTCGGAGCCGGATGATATGAAAAATAAACCGGTGGCAGCGCCATCCGTGGACAATGTAGAAAAGTCAACAACAGTAGATACCGAGGAGGACTGGGATAGAGAACTGCAGGAGTATGATGCTAGAATGGAAGCGCAACAAGCTGCTGAAACTGCTGCAGCCGCTGCGGCGGCTGAAGCCGCTGCCGCTGGAGCTTCTACTCCCACAGATACCTTTGATATTCAAAACCAGAAAACGAAACCACTGGACAAGGCAGCACCCACGTCAGAAGCAGAGACATTTGCCACACCAGCTGTGGAGGAGAATAGCGAGATGTCGAAGACGAAGGTCCCGTCACCTGTCTGCACGCCCCTCTATGACGAGTTGCCGCCACCATCTTCAGCTGCTGCAACAACGGCGCCGCCTCAGCAAGTTGAGCAGGTTGAAGAGCCAAATCCAAAGATCGAACAGCGTGTGACTGAAGACTTTGTGCCTGAGCCTGAGCATACGTTTGCGCCTGCAACAACACACCAACTTGATTCACCACCCATTGCAAAGCAGTCACCCACAACAACAACAGAACCAACGAAAGACATAGCGGAAGATACTGAGCCAGTTGAAAGTGCCCAGCCAGCAGTAGAGGCAGACTCATAGAATGCCGAGGATAATTAATAAAGGAAAGGACAACAAAAGAGAAGAGAAACTTTCGATGGGATATGAATGTGTTAGTCGAAAAATGTGTATTTTATGATTTCCTTACATATGATTCATGTATGTATGTATGTATCTGTGTATGTATCAAAACATACATACAAACTTATTATATTACAATTTTAGCTTTTGAGATTACGCATTTGTTGAGACGCGATAAGAGTCTGCACCATTCTTGCTAGGCTAAGGCACTTTATGTTTATAATTATTAAACGATTCACATATTATTTAAGGCTTGGGTGCCGCCAAAATACAACCAACAAGTAGGGTGATGTCCCTAATGTCGGACGCTATTAATTCTCCTTTTAAATATGAACATTGTAAAACAAAGAACAACAACCAATCGAACCCTGACTCTACAAACAGTTAAATGCGCAAAGGAACAAACTGTAGCAAATAATTAGAGAATAATAAAATGTATGGACGAAATTGATAGACAGAGAAAACAGCCACGCTTGAGAAATGTTTATTATTTTGTTATGTATATAATTTTAAGATGGTATTTAACACAAACTGTTTCTTATGCGCAGATTATAAGTACACGTATAATAATGTACAATTTAAATATGAAAATATTATCAATACTATTAATAATAAACAAAAACAGACAGTTGACTTATAATAAATGTGTTTTATTTTCCAATAGGTAAAATTGAATATGCAGTGAAGAAGATAGGATATGCTGTGCTTATGCATAAGTCAAGTTTTTTATATAAGTAAATTTAATACTCAACTGAAGAATAATGCCTTGCCGCATATATTTTCCTAATTTATTTCACATATTTATATCGAGATATAAATGATAAGTCACTAAATATAGATGGAATGTTTAATCAGTTTCTTTCAGTTAAATTTGTTGCTTTAAAAATGTCGATAAATTTGTGATTTCCAACACTTAACCATTTCATGATTATCCTATCTGTTATAGCTTTCAGTTAATTTTTAAGCTTTTGTTGAGTGTCCTGCACATATCGATAGTTATGCTGATTTCACTTACTAAGAAACGATAGTTGAAATAAAATGCATAAGTTAAAGCTGAATGGATCTTATACAAGTATAGACTTTTAATAATTTGATTTTGACAATTTTTTAACATCACTATTTTGCGGTAAATTTGATTAAAATAATAAGCATTGATCTAGTTCGTATATTACAAATATCGTTCACTGTTAATAGAAACAGTTCACGAAATGTAAATGTTATTGGCACTGTAAAGCAACATTTCTGTTTGGTATTTTTCATAAATAAAAAGTCTTTGCACCTATATGTGTGTGTGCGCGTCATTTTAGAGCGTGAATTTTCGATTCGGTAAAAAAAACGTAAAAAAGCTAATCAATAATATTTATGAATGTTTAAAAAATTGATGCATTTTAAAAGGGACTGCAATATATGATCAAATTCGGTAACTAATTGTATTAAACTCCAAGCAACGCCGAACGACGTGCAAAAGAAAAATTTTGGTTTCTCTGTGCCAAAGAATTTACACACATGAGTATACGCATACATATACATACGTACGTGTGCATACACAAGTATATGTATGTACATGTGAGGCTGTTGTAAGAAATGTGCAAAATTTTATAAAACATCCATATACAAATGTGTTTAAACTCATGGCGGAACACGTTAGCCACTCTGTTTAATTGTCGATAATACAGTGGAAGCTGCAAAAGTGAGAGAGCTGAGCAGAGCCAATACACAATCTTGTGAAACTGTATGCTAAATTAAAAAAAAAAGATAGAAAAACAAAAAAAAAACATGTCTAAGCATGTACAAATATGCATGAATGTAGTTATTAAAATATAGACTTTCATACATATACACATGCATATATAAAAGAGCGCGCGTGTATATTCAGAGTGAAATATGTACATTAATATATCCGTGCATACATAGGGACCGCCGCCAACAAACCACACATACATGCGCAACACGCATACAGGCTGTTTCGTGTTTCTGTTTGTGCGTGTAGATATATATATATGTGTGTGTGCTTGAATGTAATGCGAAAAAGCAACGTAACCGCTGACGACGTCGGCAGCTGGCTTCAACATCTAGGAGCAGCATCCTTGTTTCTTTTCCTGTAAGCACGCTCTCTTGTTGCTTTCAGTCTGCAGATGTGGATGCTGTTCAACAGCAAACCCCCAACCCCAACCACCACCACTGCCATCACCACCCCAAAACAACAGTCGCAGACTCAGTTTTAACCGCAACAGTCACAATCCACACAGTCCCCGTTGTGTATTTTGATCAACTTTTCACTTTTTGCTTAGCAGTTGTTATTGTTGCTTCTACTGCTTACCCAGAGTTTTTAGTGCTGTGTATATTTAATGCTAACTATAAACTGATATTTTGTTTGGATTATTATCAAATCGGCACCGGTGTTAATAAAATAATATTGAGTACTCTATAACAATATAGAATGTTGCACTCAAATAAAAATTCTATTTTAGCATTTTTTTGTATATTTACAAAAATAACATAATCAAAATATTTAATCACATACAAATGCATGCTTATTCACGTATCAAAGTTCCTTAACTAATTGTTTGGCTTAGATTGTGATATGGAAATGCCTTTTTGTTGTTCTTCGGTCTCTCAAACAGCTGTACATTTGTAAACGTGACAATTTGATCGCAACAGTTTCTTATATGCCTCTGCGTGCGTGTGTCCCATTCTGATTTAGTGTTTAAAAGTGCAGACAGATTTAACATTCGTCTGTTAGAACACAGGACTTAACAGTGCAATAACAGTATGTTAGGCAGGTCCTCACCAAAGTTATTTATTTACTATATTAATACTTTTATGAATATAGCTAATGCCAAATATATCGAATATTGCGAAAAGGAAATATTCTATGTGAATCGATATAGAAATGTATACATAAGTAAATCACTTAAATAATTCTATAAGCTCATTTTCAAATCAACCAAACTTATTTATTCTCAATGACATTCTTATATGTAATTGCTTTGCTGTCCTCAGTAGAATTACCATCTTAATACATGAACACATACATATATAGGTTCATTTATACACACATACACATTCTTATGCAGGTATGAATTTTAATGTGAAGCCAGACGTCATCAGTAAGCTTAGCTTCCGTTACCGTTGCTTGTTGTGTCAGTTTCATGCTCTCGTATGATGCGCTCCACTTTTGGATGCTATTTATAAACGTTTTTATATGTATGCATGTATTCAACCCACACACACAGGCAAAACACATGCGCAAGAATGGTTTCTCTGCTGGGAAACAGCTTCCTTAAAATCTGCATACATAGTTCCGCTTCCGTCCAAGCTCTATACTGGTGTGTGTGTGTGTTTCAGCGCAGTCGCACTCTGTCCAGAATATAAAACGGATTGATGATGCCTGTGTGTTAGTGTAATTACGTCTGTGTATGGGTCACACAATCATTCAACTTACCGGGCAGCATCCACATGTTGAGGCGCGTGCAATTGCCGCTTCATTCCTGTTCTCTCCATACATATATACATACATACATACATAATATCCTGCGGCGGAACTGTGGTTTGCACTTATATTAACCCGAATAAAATACAATTAGACATATTTACTAAATTGGAAATGAAGCTGCATCGGTAATGAACTGATACGCATATCAGCATGAAAGTTCTTTTCCATAATCTTATCTGGAGAAATATTTTTTGGCTGCCGCCTAAGTGAACCCACTTGAAATTATGAACAGGAAGTTTTTTAATTATTTTTGACTTCACGATACTCAGACAAAAAACCTTTTAAAATGAAAACTAAACTGATAAAACTAGTCAAAAATTCAGTTGTTTTCAAAATGATTAAAAAGATAATTTTATAAGCAATTTTACAGTTATGAAGGTTTACTTAGCGACACATAAAAATTCCAATGTTAAAATATTAGGGTGAACCAAAAAAGTCTTCAAAAAAGAAAAAGACTTGGAGATATATTTATTACTGTGCTTATACATAACTTATTTAAAATAATCGATTGCTTTTCAGAAATGTATAAAAGAGCAAGATTTTTATTTACTTATAGACTGTTAAAAAGGGTCACCCGAACAATAATTTGCTGACGTCCTAGTGTCAATGTGTGTATCTGGTGATTTAATGCTGTTATTGTTTTGCTTGGCAGCCTGTTACGCGAATACACATGTATTGTTTATAAATTTGCATAAGCATCAGCAGCAGCAGCACATAATGACTTTTAATTTTCTTTTTGATTTACTTTTATGATCGGTTGTTTCGCCCGTTGCGCTTTCAAGTTGAATGTCACCTGTTCTGTTAAATTGGGAGGAGCAGTGTTTAAGGGTGAGGAGCAGTTTTTGCTGAAAACATACAAAGCAATAAAAATCGATATACGATTGCGAGCTTTTTACGGTTAACTTTTTATACGCTCTCTTTCATACATAGGCGCTGCAGCTGATCTCCATTAGAAAAGTTTGCTATAGTTGCCCCTTTTCCTTATGATTATCCTTTTCTGTTTTTTTTTTTTTTGGCTTTTTTGGTTGTTTAACGGCGAAACTAAATGCTAAATGTTGTAATTCGGGTATAGATAAATGTGAATTTGTTGTATACTAAATAGGCTGACCGCATTTCAACACCAAATGCACGCCCACGCTTGCACTTAGGCAGCATCAATAACAATAACAACAATAATAACAATAGTATAAGCAGAAGCGGTAAACGCACAACAAAACGAAAGTGTTCTCAACAAAATAGCTTAAAAATAGTTTTCGAATAAATAAATAAAAGCGTCTCATGCCATCGTCGTTGACAGTTTTGTAGCCTAAAATGCAATGATACTATAAATGAATTTAATCGTATAGCATAGACATACATATTATGTATGTGCACGCACACATGTACATGTACATGTACATGTACGTGTACATACATTTGTATGCATAAATGAAAAGAATAACATTTTCAAGTTTTTTTATCTTCACTCTCTTGCTTTTGTGTGTTTGCATGTGTTTGTGTGCGTGTGTATATGCGTGTATTTGCAGTTAAGAACTGAAAGCCGGCTCAGCGGGAGGTAAATTTTGCGTACGCGTGAGATGTGAGGAAATGCCGCGCCGGCAGCTGCCATATCGATGTCGACAACTTCAACGCCAACAGCAGCAGCAGCAGAAGCAACTAAAAGTATCGCAAACCCCAGCAACATAATTAAATAATTGCCAACAGATCGATCTCCATCTGATAAATTAAGTGTAAAGTGAGTGAGTGATTGAGTGAACGCAGTGTAGAGCTTCGGAGCGTTCGAAAAATTAAATAATAACATTGGCAGGCAAATCCATAAAAGGAATACACACAATTAACAAAAAGTTCTTTAATCGAAATATTGCAACCAATCGAATAAATTAAATTTCAACGTGCTGCAAAAATGAAGCGGCGCAATGCGGATTGTGGCAAATTACGTCGCCCAATGAAGCGGAACAAAATCACAGAGGGCATGTATGGCAGGTAAGTGCTTAAATACCACCAACAAGATCTTCTCTATTTACGTCTGTTACGTATAACGTATTAGAGATGGGCGCATTTAACGATACATTGAAAATGACACAAACCAAAGCAAAAACTAGAAAATGAACGACTAAGCAAGAAAGTTACTTCAATATGTTATTTAATTTTATTTTTTATTTAACTTTATTTTTATATTTAAATGAATATTAGAAAACATAAATATTGAAGCATACATTCTGATATTTGAACACATTGTGTTCGTGTCACGCAAACAAAACACGTAGCGCGCCCTATTGTATGTGTATATGAACACATACATATCTATCCAGTTTATCGCACTGATTCGCATACTGCACTGATCGCGTAATACATAATTCTAGATATGGTTGGTTCATAACAAAACTTGTATTAAGCTGCTCAACGTCAAATTTATTTTGGTTTATCAAAATCAGAAACAAAAATCAAATTCGTTACGATTTAGTTTTGACAGAAAATATATTACTAAATCAATTACCAATTAATTATTAATTAGAGTTCAAATAAAATGTTATTTTATGCATTTCAGGTAGTTATATTAAAGCAAGCCGCAGACAATTCCCAAAAATTTATTTAACATAGCTATAAAAATATATATATGAGGGTCGGTCAGCAGGCCGAAAAGTCAGCTTGACCAATTATGAGAATCAGTTCTTTACATTTCTTCTACTTCTTGTTTAATGTTGTCAGCATTCAGAGATTGTCACATTGTTTTTAGTTTTATTACGCATTTATTTGTTTGTTTACATTTTGATTTTGCATATATTATATATATATATTTATATATATATATATATATATCTAGATGTCTGTATGTGCGTTACAAACTAATTGAGTTAGATAATTTGTTTAGAGAATATTTTTGTTATTTAATTGCATTTGAAATTGGTCTTAATCAAATTAATGACGAATCGATCAATCAAATATGTGTTAAGTATCATCTATGAAGATCATTGTATAATCTCTGCATTTCTCTATTTGGACTCTTTCAGCACAACTGTTTTATACATGAAATTTCTAATACTTTGGGCCATTGTGATGGTGGCCGACTTCATGTTTATGTTCCGATTTGAATTCCTATGGCCTTTCTGGCTGCTGCTACGCTCCGTGCATGACTCCTTTAAGTATAAGGGCTTGGTAAATAAATAAATAAATAAATTTTGCTTATCGAATTGAATTATTTATAAATTCTCATGACTTTCGCCATAGGCATTTTCTGTGCTATTCGTGTGCATTGCAATAACATCGGACCTGGTGTGCTTGTTCTTCATACCCGTACATTGGCTGCTCTTTGCGGCCAGTACGTACGTCTGGGTGCAGTACGTCTGGCATACAGGTGAGTCTACATCATCATGTCATTTATAATAATAATATTTATTTATATGCATGTTTTCCTTGCGATATCTTGCAGATAAGGGCATCTGTTTGCCAACTATCATATTATGGATGTTGTTTGTCTACCTGGAGGTGGGCATACGATGGAAAGACAGTCGTCATATGCCACATTTGGATCTATGCCGACCGTTTGCCGCGCACTGGTGAGTGGTCGATCGCTTGTCCAATGTATGATACTTTGTCTATATCTTGTTATCTTTAGCATTGGCTATCCAGTGGTTACGCTCGGCTTTGGCTTCAAAAGCTATGTTGGCTATCGTATGCGCCAGCGCAAGCAGCGCGAGGTTGCAAAAGAGAATGAGTTTTATATGCAGCTGTTGCAGCAGGCGCTGCCAGCTGAGGAGGCTACCGATGAGGCACAAATAGCAGGCGCGACAGCGGTGACCGTTGCAACCAACGGTGCAGTGGTTGTGCCCAATGGCACTGGCGGCGCGCCGGCAGCGCTCACCACATCGTCCACATCCCAGGCGAATGGTATTTTGGCAACTGCAACGCAAGCACAAAATCATCACGAGCATCATCACAGCGGCAGCGGAGGCGGCGGCGGTGGCACCAGCAGCAGTGCCAGCAATAGCAATCATCATCATCATCACCATCACAACAACAATAATAATAACAACAATAACAACAGTAGCAGCAGCAACAGCATCAGCAATCATCACACCAAGGATAACACAACTAGCGACAGCAGCACATCGACTGCGACAACGGCAGCAGCAGTATCGGCTGCTGCAGCAGCCACATCATCGCCAGCATCATCGTCATCGTCCACAAACACATCAGCCTCTGCGACAGCTAGGCAATCAAATTCAACAACATTAGCAGCAGCGACAACAACAGGTGCAGCACCAACTACTCGCATTATATTATTCCCATAACTTTCCCGACTTTCATAGCTTATCTATGTGGCTAGAATTTTATGTACGAATGTAGTATATGTAATCAGTAACTAACGAGTTCCATAATCTCCTGGCAACCACACAAATTTGTATATGTTCTCTACACCACACACATACTGTATGTATGTATGTGTGTGTGTGTAACCATAAGCGATAAAAATCAATGATTGTTTATATATTTAAATGTAAAACTAAATATTTGTGTATCTATATTTGCAGCAACCTCAAATGGTCATGTTGGCGGTGGCTCAAGAAATCATCGGCGTAGCATGGACAAGGACAAGCATCGCAATAAAAGCGATGCAGGCGACACTGAGCACAATAATGGCACGCGTGGTGGTAAAAATAGTAACAGTAACAGCAACAGCAACAGCTATCACCAAGTGGATGGCAATGCAGCTACAACAAGTAGTAACAGTAAGGAGAAGTCAGACTGGGATAGTGGCAATAGCAACTATCAACAACAACAACAACAACAACAACAACAACAACAACAGCAGCAACAGCAACAACAACAACAGCAGCAGCAGCAGCAACAACAGCAACAAGGGGCAAAGGACAAACAGGGTGCATTGAACAAAAAGAAAACGCTTAATTCGAAGCAAATTGATATCGCCCCCTTGCTTGCAGACAAAAAGACGCACAATGCTGTCAGCAATGGTAACGTCCTGCAGTTCGAAACAGATGAGGCACCGGTCGTGGAATCAGTGCCTCAGGTAGAGAAGGCGCCGAAAGGTAAGTGCTAAGCTGACAAAGAATATTCAATTTTGGACATTGTAATCTGAAAATCGTTTCGTCCCACAGGCCGTCGGAATCGCGGTAAGAAGGATAATTCAGCCAAAGACAATCATAGCCAGCAGCAGGCGCAACATAAGGAGGCTGCAGCCACAGCTGCACCTGCTGCCGCGGCAACTGCCACCAACAGCAGCAACAATAACAACAACAACAACAACAACAACAACAATGATGCAAGCTCCGTTTCGTCGTCAACCAGCTCATCGTCGAGCAATGCCGCCGCTGCCGCCATCTCGCACATAGCCAGCAAAGTTGTATCCAAGATATGCGAAACATGTCTAAAGCTAGAGGCAGATGTCAAGAAATATCGTGCCGAGATTAGCCACATGAAGCAAATCGAGAACGAACTTCGCCAGAAGCTGGACGTCAATCTAACCAGCAAATCCAGTTTGCAGGCCAAACAGAAGGAGTGCGATGAGCTTGAGAAGCGCATACAGGAGCTTAACAATGCACGCCATGCAGACATGCTCAGTTTACAGACCGTGGAACGTCGTCTGAACGAGGAACGCCGCCAAAAGCAATCTCTTGACGCTCAGCTGGCCAACGAAAAGAAGGCACGTAAAACTGCCGAGGAGAAAGCGGCACGTCCTGAGTGTAGCGCCCAATGCAAGCAGCGTCGCCAGCAAATCGACGAAGAGTTGAAGCGCGTGCGCAATGAACTCAAACAGACCGACGATGCTTGGAAGCTGGCCGTGGATCATGGTCGCAAATTCGAGCAGGAGGTGAGTTCAACAACAAACTTTGTCAATTAAATATAATAAATTAATATCTATTCTCTTGACAGTATCATATGCTGGAACTTAAGGTGCAAAATCGCGAGTCCACGCAGGCGGATGCTGAAATGCTTATGAATGCACTGGCTACTATGCAGGAGAAGAACACAACGTTGGAGAAGAATCTATCCGCAGAGACGAGAGTTAAGCTGGACTTATTCTCGGCTCTGGGCGTGGCAAAGCGCCGGCTAGAAATAGCTGACAGTATGTACAACTGGGCTGCTGGCAGAAGAGCACACGTAATGAACAAATTGTTTGCTTGCAGGTCAACGTCGGTCCAAGGAGGATGAGGTCATTGATCTCAAGGCCAAGATAGCACAGCTGCTGGCTGTTATGCCGGATACGCTATGCCTGAATACGGGGCCGCATGGTAGTGGAAGCATGCTGCGCATGAACGATACACCTCCGCTACAATCGGGCGGACCGGGCCCGTCCTCGCCCATGCTCAGTTTGGGTGTTGCGCAAGATTATCAACAGCACCAACATCAACAACATCAACAGCACCAGCAGCACCAGCAACATCAACAGCTTCAGCAGCACCAGCACCAGCAACAGCAACAGCAGCATCAACAGCAGCATCAACAGCACCAACAGCAGCAGCACCAACAGCAGCAGCACCAACACCAGCAGCAGCAGCAACAGGTTGTGCCCGTATCTCAGCAGCAGCAACAGCAAATGGTGCCTGTGAGTGTGGCTGCAGCGCTTCATGTAGTAGCCGGCAATGTGGTTAACGGAGGTGGAGGCGGCGGCCTCTCGACGCTGGATCCAAATGCTAGCGTCTATACGCCCAAGACAGGCAACATGATGGTGGTGCCGCCGGTGAAAATGAATCCCAATGGTGCGGATGCCTGACGCCAGCAGCACCAACAGCAGTCATCGGCGTTATCGTCAGCGACTGTGTCATCCTCGCATCAGCTATTGAGACGACAAGTATGAGATTATTATAATTTATATGAAACGTAACAGCAAACAGCATCAGCATAAGCATCAGCAACGGCAACCGAACGATTTAGACTACAGTAGTCAACAGAAGACAAATGGGAGCAGTTTGCATATGATATAAAGAATGTCCGAACTAAGCATAAGAAGTTTCCTTTAACAAATCCACACAACTACAACAGTATCACATCGATGTACACCCATTTTCAATTTCCATAACACACAATCGAAGCAGAGATACATTTCACAACAGAAGTTAGTTGATTGTTTTCCAAATTCCACACAGTATGAATGCCCCCAGTTATATGCTTTTATTTTTGACTTATCTCAAAATGACTCGAAATGTCATTAAACTTAATTAAACTAAAATCCAAACATTTTAAGCATGTTTGAAGCAAAAAAAAAATGGAAATTGTTTTCCAAATTCCCAACTGAGAATTTAGTTATCTGTAAATGAAATGTTCGCATCCAGTTGTCAACTACTATTTAATCCACCCAGGATCCGCTCATTTTAATACATTAACACACACACTCTCAACCACACATTTGGCAGACTCGTTGCGCGAGTTTTTGATTAATTTGAAACATTTCAAAAATAATAAGATGAGAAAAACGCAAAAAAAAAAACAAAACTAAAAATGATAATATCGATTTTTAATTGAAAATGCGAACGATTAGATAGAATTAGAAAAGATCTGTTTACTACTTACTTTACAAAACGCTGTGAGAGTTGACCAACTTTTAGTGATGGCTTTTGAATTTGGCGTGATTTATGCTTTTAGCCAAATTGTCTGCCCTCTTTCAATGGAATTTTTGAAGTCTGCGCCCTTGATTTATTATCTCATTAAATTATTTTTGTTATAAACTTTAATTGTACGCCTATTATGTAGAATTTAACTATTTTGAAAAAAAAAACCAACAAATTTATTTTTAAGTTTTAATTTATTTGTTGCTCTTCCTAAACGAAAAAGATAAAAAACACAACAAAAACAAACAAATATAAAAGCAAGTTGAAAATGCTTGAATTTAAATGCGAAGAAAACGAAAAACGAGAACTATTTTGTTTAATAATAATAATAAAAAACAACAAACAAAAACAAAAAAATAACATTCACTGCGTGAAGCTAGTAAATATTTGTTTTTAATTTATATTGCCTTTTCAAACTTTACTTTTTATTTTAGTTTATAATTTCGAAACTCGTATTCCTGTCAACAAAGTAGCTCGCCCACACACATGTCCGTTAGATTCAAGTCAGTGTCAAACCAAAACAAGTTCAGTCTAAAATCAGACTCAAGAATCTAGTTTCCATTTTCAAAATGATCTATTATTTGCTGCAGGCGGTTTCGACTGCCATTTTTGGCACAGTTGCCACCGTGTGGCTGATCGAAGGTAAGGACCACCGCCTGCGCCCTGTTGCCACTTTGATAATCCATCCCGCAGAAACTCTAATCAACCTAATGATGACCAGCTTTTTGATGGTATTGCGCGTCGCCTGCCATCCGCTGATGGTGTTGCCAACCACCTTCGGGGTCTATTTTCTGATACGCAAGGTGTGGCTTCGACGTCGACAAGTTGATGGTGAGACAAGTGTTATCATGGGGCAGCGCTCAACAATACGTTCTCCAAGAATTGGGTCTTTTCGCAGCATTGGTAGCATTTCATCGCGTAGTAATGATAGCTGCGATTACGAAGACGACGAGATTCGCGGCTCGCTCAGATCGTAATTCAATCAGAGGCTTGATTTTTTTTGTTTTAAATTAATGAAGTATTTGTAGAGTATTTGGCTTGATTCACTAGATTTACTCTTAAAGCTGCATTTACAAACATACTTATGTATAAAATTGTACTTAATCTAATACAGAGAGAGGCATTTCCTCCGGTATGAGTCCCGCCCCATTTGATGTGGTTTTACTATTCACGGTTTCTGTAAGGATGAGGTATCCATTTTGCCCAGTAGCTCCGCCACCTTTAGCAGCATGGCATTGTTCTGTTGGTCACCGGCAGTCGCGCTGCTGCTGATCATTTCGGCCAAGTGATGCATGTACTTGTCCACACTGTCCACGTTGAGTCCGCTGGGATGTACTGGCGGCAGCGTTATGCCACCCAAAGCGGAGACGATTTTCTGTCGCAGATTCTTCGTGTATGCCACTAAGCGTGCATTCTCCTCCTTCAGCTCAGACACTTCGCCCATAATTTTCGCATGACCGGCCTTTGTGTTATCCACATGCTGCTCCAGCACCGCGTTCTGTTGTTCCAGATCCGTTTTCGTCTTGCGCAAAGTGCGTAGCTCATTCTCTGTGCTTCGATTGTGCTCAATGAACTCGTTGGTATAGATGGGTATTTCACCTGCTAAGCTGGGACGCGGTGCTGGTGCGCAGGAGCTGAACGCGGGCGGCGTCGGTGTACGTTTCACTTGGGCGAGTGGTATATCATCCGGATCGGGTGTCGGGGTGCTCTGCTGTTTGTTCACACCACTCGGCTTCACAATTGCTTTCTTAGCGGCAGTAGCTGCGGCGGCGGCGGCGGCGGCGGCGGCTGTGTCAATACTGCTGCTGTTGCTGTTGCTGTGATTAGTTGCCTTCTCCTTGGGTGTGCTGGCGTTTTTGTTATCAAACACCTTTTTCGCCTTAGCCAATTCGGTTGCCACTATTTCCGGATGCTCCTTCAGGAACTTGTGCATCTGTTCCTGGTATCTGAAATTTTGAAAACATTTTGTGAGTGTTGGATGATATACATATATGTACATGTATATAAAATTAATTTCTCGTATTCAATTTACAATGCCTTGTCCTTGGCTGCCGCCTCTAGATACGGCGCCTTGCGTTCATCTGTCAGCTGGTGCCACTCCTCTCCAATCATTTTGGTATGCTCCAATGCGGTGCGATTTGGATGCTCCCGACGCAGTTGCTCCCTTCGATCGTTCATGAATCTCACGTATGAGTTCAGTGGCATTTTCGGTGCTCCAGCTACATTGATTCGTCGCTGGGTGAGCTTCTTCAGTTCAGTATCCAGATCGTTGCCAGTCACAGCATTTCGTCCTTTTGCTTTATTCTTTTTTTTTGTTACTTTGCCACTGGCGACGCCGGCGCTGCTGCCGTTGCCGCCACTGGGTGGAAGAGTCCCATTATTTTCTTCTTCCGCATTTAATGATTTGGCTGACACAGATGCCGCTTGCTCTTCAACTGTTGCATCTAAGTTCTCTGTTGCGTCCTGGTTTATTGCACTTTTGTTTTCTTGTTTGTTATCCATAATTTTACAATTCACACTTTTTTAGACAACTTGTTTATGTTTTATCGATAGCTTGCCAATTGCAACTTTGCGTTTATTTCACTAATGAGTTCACTGTTACATATTTCACATTATAAACATATATTTATCAAAAGTTTCTATGATAATTGTTTAACATTTATTTATTGTATAAAAATGTACACAAAGCACTGCAACATAACCTCTGTACTCTTTACTCTCTCAGAATGCTTAATTATTGTGTTGTTATACAAATATCTGTTATACAAAATCAGCTGTTAACATAAGAACATGGCTGTATTTTTATAAACACTTATTATGTGTATGAACCAAGAAACAATTAACTTTAAAGATGACATCATTTACTATAAAATTTAATTTTTTACAAGTTTTCACTGTTTTGTTTTATTTAAGAACTTTACTGTCATAATTACATCACTTGTTTTAAACTTTGCGTCATTACGAACAGATGACAGCTCTGCTCTGACACATTTCTACATTTACGTAGTGACGTCATCAAAATGTGGCGCGATTTTGATTATCAGCAATCTCATAACTGCGCACTTTAAACAATAAACAAAGTAAAACGTAACAAAATTTTTGTACAGATTTGAACGCTTAAATACCGGCAGATAATATATTATGTAATAATAAATCCGCTTCCCAGATAATTGTTGTACGACAACAAATCAAAGTCTTCCGCTGTGGTCTTTTCTATATTTTGAATATTTCATATACATTTGTGGTTTGCATGGTCTTGGGTAATTGTTTGAGCACAATAATTAAAAGGTTATAATTACAAAGAGTTTAATTAGCCTATGTGAATGACAGGTGTCAAATATAAATAGAAACTTACAAATTAGCCTAGCATTTTATCAATATCAATGTAAAGCCATTTCTCGATGATAAATTCTGTACATTTTAAGCAGCTACGACTGCAAGTATATGTAAATTACGTACTAAAACACTTAAAACTGAAGGCGGCCAGCCAAAAAACTAAACATAAATTAACAATGTTAAGAGAGAGATAAAAAGAGAGAGTTGGCTGATCCTATAGGTTTTTCAATTTGAAAAATTAACAATTAAGCCTCTCTGTCGAGTTCAGATTAAACTGGGAAATAGTTCATCAAAATTGCTTTCCCAGGGAAATTCCTCGTCCTCTGCGGCCATCGCAATGTCATTGTCCAAATGCGACAGAGTCGTCGATGACGGGGAGCCAATCACCGACTCATAGCCATGATCCGATGTGGCTGAATGCATAGATAATGCAGGTGATTTGGCTAGCGGCGAAATGGCTTTAATGCGTGGACACAGGAATTTCTCGATGGGCTCGAAATTTAAATGGCTGGTCGCTTCATCGTCCGAGTCATCGGTGGCGTTGATCACGTTGAGGTAAACCTGTGAGGGCGACGTTGCTGGCAACGGGCACTTCATGATTGCATCTGTCGTGTTGTCATCGCCAGCACTGACGCCTTCACCGTAGATGACCTCAACGGCCTCATTCACAGGCACTGCATCGCCGTCCATGACAATGGTAATGGAGTTGGTTTTAGCATCGTACGTGCCATACACCGTATCCGGTGTGGCACTCTGCAGGAATGCAGCTGCTGAAAGTGTCTTCGTTGATGTTGGTGTTGTTGTGGCCGTAGCTTTTTTTTGTATGTTTCCATTTATCGTTGACACCTGTATAGGCGGTCTGTTTTTGTTGTTGTCCGTGCTGTTGGTGTTCGTGGATGCCGTTGTGCATATCGTAACGGGCTGAGCTTTGATATGATCATTTATGCCATCAGCTCTATGCCCGCTGGATTCCATGCACTCTGCTGGGGTCCCCACCACTGATCCAGGCAGTCGCTCTGGGTCGCTTGCATCTTTGGCAGCAGCTTGGCGGCATGTGCCACTGCTTGCTTCCAGGTCTGCTGTGATATCTGCGAGGAGACTCTCGGCCAGCTCTTCAAGTCGTCGCGCATCGAACTCTTCATCGTCGACGAGCAGCATGTCTTGTATAGAAGGCAGAGTGCCACAATTCTCCAAAGTGAGGCTGTTGTGTTGCTCTGCTTCAGCTGCTGTTGTAACATTCGAGATGTCATCAATGCACGCGCTGACGACTGTGTGTCCACTTGTGTACCCTGCTGCAGAGGGTCAGCATTGGATGCTGCAGATCCAGTGAGTGTGGACACACAGCCCTCAGCGCCTGCATTGATGTCAGCTGTGTTGCTGTTGCTGCTGCTGTTGTTGTTGTTGTTTTTGTAATTTTTGGCATGCTGCTTCATTTCGGCAAGCTCTTGACGCATTTCTTCCATTTCCGAGTCGAGCTTTTGATTCTTTGCCATTAGCGATTCGTTGATGCTCTGTAGGCTTTCGCACTTGTTTTGTAATATTTCCGTTTTCTCTGTCAATTCCTTGATTTCATACTCCATTTCCTCCATGCGCGCCTTCTTCCTGTCACGACTGGTTTGTGCGGCCACACGATTCTTTAGTTTTCTATTGGGTAGACAAGGTTTAAGTACAGGTTGCTTGCTTCTGCTTAATTAAAACTTACTTTCTCTGTACCTTCTCCTCCCATGACAAATGATCCAGACGACGCTTTTTGGCCTTTGCGGGCCCCGCCGCGTTTGAAGCCATTGATACGGTTTCCTCATCGACTACACTGTTCGACGAGGATGAATAACCCGAACTAGAAGGCGACGACCCGCCCTTCAGCAGCACCGCAGTGGCTGATAAGGGAGCGGGTCGCAGCTTGGGCAATGTGTTTAAATTCAAATTGGAGCCAAGTGGCATACATTTGGAGAAGAGCACTGGTGCCATATTTTGTTGTTGTTGTTGATGTTATATGTTGTTATTGCAATTATTAATTGATAGCAGTGCAATACGAATTGCAAATTAAATTTTCATTTTTGATTGGAGCTCTCAATTGGCGTGTTCGACGCGCGAGCACTGAATTTTATCTGATTTTCTACACCGGACTTAATTCATTGGCAGCGATGCCTTTACGTTTGCTGCTTCTGCTGCGCCTTTCATGTAATTGACCAGTCTGGATTTCTTCATTGCCTCTGTGCTGCTTGCTCAGGTTTAGTCAGCCCAATCTCACGAAATTTCCTCAATCTGCTTGCAATTCTGCGCACCGTTAAGATGTCGTGGACTTTTCTGAATGGGTTGTCGTAAAAAGCTGACGTGGCTCTTCCTCACTGGCTCGATGAAAAAATCGAGTTGAAAGAAGCAGACAATGACAAACAAGATGTTATTTAACATAACGGCGTTAACACTAACATACTATGTTGTTAACAGAATTCTTGCTCAAATTTGCGCACAACGTATTTTCAAATATAAACAATTATATTTTTAAATGCCTAAATTTATATAAAAAATATATATATAACAAATTTTAAACTCTAATTTCATTCTGAATATTTTGTAATTTGAAACACATAATTTGTATCCATGCAGCAGCAGTTAGTTACAGTTAAATCTGCATGGTATTTGCATATTCTAGAGACCAAGCATTTGGGGCATTGGCGAGCGTTCCTTTTTCTTTTCTTTCTCGTTGGCAGCAAGCTCCTCCCTGATCGCGTCGGCGACATCATAAATTGTGGTTTTGTGCTAGTAAAATAGTAAAATATATTATGCACTTTATCTATATTGACTTATTTACCCTTAATTGATTTATGTAGAATAAATATGGTATATTCCCTGTGATCGGATCTATTGCCACTGGCCACATATTCTCCAATTCAGCTTTTGAAAATTTTTCGGCTTCTTCCTCCATTAACTTTCCAAAGTATTCCTTTGTAAGAAATCGTTTATTTTCAGGATCCAATATTTCAAAAGCTGATAGAAGTTTTTCCGGGGTTGCGGGTTCCATTCTGTAATAAATTGCAATAGAAAGTTAATATATAATTAAGTTTTAAATTAGAAATCAGATTTACTTTCGATTCATAAGCAATGTAGAAACATGCGCCATAAATTTTGGCAAATGCGTTTCACCAGGATTTTCCGGTGATTCAGTTGCTGCAATAATTTCGTTTATCTCATTTTCTGATGGTACACAGCCTAAAAATCGTAGCACGTTGCCAATATTTCGAGTGTCAATGAATTTATCACCATGATGATCGAAAATGCAGAACGCTTCTGAGATGCGAACTTCAAGTTCATTTACAAGTTGGACTGTCAATGGGTGTTAATTATTTGGACAGCATAACAAGCTGAATCTGCAACTTACTGCCGATCTCCATATTTTGCGATAAAAATGTAATTTATCAAAGAAAATATTAATAGGAATTTGTTTTATTACACGGTTAATTTTGCATTAAAAAGATGAATGTAAAAGATTGATTGGAAAGTAATTGCATACCTACATCATATTCTATGTACAAATAGAATATTTAACATTTCTTGCCTGCTTGCTGTGTTTTCCGTTATTTCTTTTTTGAAAAAAAAGGTATGGCCTCCATTTAAATTAACTTCAGAAACTGTCATCGACAATTCCAATTTCCTGTGAATGGACACCGATAAGTGTATATGTATCGATATTTTTAATATGACAGCTGGATTTGTATGTGAATGTTTGTTAAATTACTGATGCCGCAGTAGTAGTTTTAAATTTACAAAAATAAATTTGAAAATTTAAAATAAATGGATGAAGAACTACTATGGTGTCGATTTCACTATTTTGTCATGTTTTTATTCAGTGTATATTCCCTTAATTTTTTTCAAGCTATTTATTTAGTGATTTTATGTGTTAGGGCGCGAGCGTTTTATTGAGCAACAGGTATACGGGCAACGAGTATCGATAGCAAATGAAGCAAAATATCGTTTAGTCGTAGTTGAGATTTCGTTTGATTCGGTTGAGTCGCGCGTGTTTACACTTACTAGATTTTCCAGCGGGAAAAAATAAATCGTAGTGTGATACAAAATACTCATTGCCCTTTTGAATTTGTTTAACAATTATATACAAAGTGTGTGCGAATTGGATGAAGTGAAAACAACTCGCGACTAGATATTACCAAAACAACTATCTTCGGCGCAGGTGCAACGCGTTTCTTCAGCGTGTTTTCTTAGAGGTACCAAAGCAATAACAAGTTCAAGCATATCCATAATATCGTCTTACAAAAAGTCTAGTGTGTGTGAGTGAGTGTTTGTGTGTATGATGCCGTGATAGTGTGCGTGTTGCGCAGTTTTGAAAACGCGTTTGCGGTTTTTCTCGCTCCGAAATGGAAAGTGCCAGCCTCTCACTGCTCCTGCGTTTGTTGTGATACAGCCGATCACATTGATCGATTGTCGATCAATCTAAACACAAATCGAAGCGCAAACAAAGAGGTGCGAAAAATGAAAGTGTTTGTTGATATTGTTGCTGGATAACTACAAATATTGGAAATTGTTTACCTTACGGCAACTCGGGCACATTCCTCATATAAGAGCGGCTTCTCATAGAAAGTAGATTAGATATGTGATCGAAAAACTGGTATTACGCTGCTTTTACCTTGAACTTGAGCAAACGAACAAGATTGCGGAAAATTTCAAATGCGCACAATTAGCAAAAGAAAGAAAGAAAAAGAGCTGAAAATGTGCAAACTTTTTGACTTGTCAACATTAAAACACCTAACGTGATTTAAACAAAGAAAAAGTAAAAGACAATTATAATTAAAAAACGTTAATGGTGAAATTTAGCCGTGAAGTGAAATTATTGCCGCTTAAAAGTAACTGCAACTGCAGCTCTTCCCTCCCCTTCCCACTCTCTGTCTCTCTCTTTCCCTTTCTCTCTGTCCCTCTTTGTGGTCGCTACGTGCGCTTTTCGCCTTTCTGTGGTTGTTGTTTATATTTTTTTTCGACAGGTGGCAGCGCAACGTGCAACGCCAGCGATCCAAATAGAGAGCGTGCCGACTCTTGACCGCAGGCTATGCCACAACGCTGCGCGTCTCGCGGCATAAACGACTCGTTTTCCCAGTGCATTGTTGTCGCTAGCCTATCCTGCGCGTCTGCGTCCCGTGGCAAGTGCAGATGCCAGCAACACACACACACACACACACTCGCGCGCCGTGGCATATGCAGTGCATATGTGTGCGTGTGTGTGTGTATGTGTATGCTTAGCATGTTTATGTGGGGGTTACCTTTGCCTTTGCTCCGCTTGTTTTTTTTTTTGTTGTTGTTTGTGGCATCAAGTCTGACTGGTCGATCTGGTGGCATGGTCTCAAAACTTGTTTCTCCATCTTTGTTGTTGTTGTTCTCTTTGCTTTTGTTGCTGCTGCTGCTGCTGGCATTCTTAGCTGGTGATTGTTGCCGCAGCTCCCTATATAGAGGACCGTCTTAGCTCTGTGTGTATATGTGTGTGTGTATGTGTGCTGGTTTTTTTTTTATTATTGGAGTAAATTTTTCGCTTGAGGAATTTAATGTTATTGCCGTGCTTGTTGCCCCTTTTTTCGCACAGTTAATTTTCTTTTTATTCATGCCCGCATCCGAACTCATAATTTTTTTATATTCTTTTTTTTTTACGATGAGTCAACATCTTTTTAGGGAAATAAGTTTGAATTTGTATGCAAATGATTTTTATAGATAATAATATATAAACTTGTATTAAAATTTACTTAAAATTTTAATATTGAATAAGGAAGAAAAATTAAAATCTTTAACAATAAATAGAGAAGGTTGAATAAAAACTGAGAATTAGATTTATATAAAGTGCTTCAATTTAAACATTAAAAACATGAATGTTCCTTAGCTGTTAAATTATTTGTGGTTATAGAAGTTAAACCTGAATCGATTTCACTTATATCTTAAATACTTTCTATAACGTATATTTCAAATCAACTAAATTAGCTAATCAATCTAGCTAACTCATCTTTTATTATAGCATATAGTTCAGGTTCCAGTTCATCAATCTACTTAGTTCATTTGACTTATCAGTCTATTATATAGCATTTAGTTCCAGTTCATTTCATTTACCAAGTTCATTTTCATTTTCTAGTTCATTTTTCGGCTCATGCATTTAATAGTAAAAGTCTCAGTTCAAGCTGAAATTTATTATCAGTAAATAAATGTTTCATATAAATATTTTATTTATTTTTGAAAATAAAGATTTGGCTTATGGTCCCATAAATAGGATACAGGATATGCATTAAGCTAGGTATAGCTTTGTTTCACTTCAAGATTTTATTATATTAATAAAATCTCTGTTTCTCTTTGATTTATTTATTTTTATGTCTTCTATGCATATACTTAATGTTGCAAGGATCATTCAATGTATTCCCTAAAATGTTTACCCTTAATGTTGTATAATATTCAATATATATTCAAATCACGTAACACACTCTAGAAGGGTCTGTGGGCATTGATTACTGAGCGTTTTCTAGGCTCTCTCTCACATATCTAGTCTTACTTATCTGATTTTTCTTCGGTTTTAGGCAACGCTTGCTCAATGCACGTTAGATAATGCGACGATGATGCTGCCAAATGTACTCAATGAATGCCCAATGACACAGAGAACACGTGATACTAATTAGCAAACTGCTGGACGAAACACTTCATAAATTATATACGAATCAAATAAATATAAAAATATTAAACTCGCAATGGCAAATAGATAGTCGAGGCCGTGGGGAAAACAAGTTTATTATCGACGACAGCAACGTGAGAAGAAGATGCCAATAATAACAGCGACAGCGACAACGACGACGACGTCGACGGCGGCGGCAGCGGCAGCGGGTGGTGGTGGTGCAGGGCCAGGCGCAGAGGCTAAAAGTGCTGCTTTGTTGGCTAAGGCAATGCCAGTTAGCTCGACGGCGGCGCCAGCTTCGAGTGATTACCTAATGCACCAACACCAACATCAACAACAGCAACAACAGCAGCAGCAGCAGCAGCAGCATCAGTTCTACAGGCATTACCATCAACAGCAGCAACAGTTGGCGCCGGCGTCGGTTGTGCTAAATGCTTCCCACCAGCATTCACATCTACATTCACATCCACATCCTGTTGGCAGCTCAGCGGCGACGGCAGCGACAACGGTGGCAGCTGCTGCGGCAATTGCGTCCAGCGTTGCATCAACCAGTTTTGCAACATTTAACGGAAACTCAAGTCTAAATTCTAACCTTGCCAACGGAAGTAGTGGCCGGGCTAACCATGCCAAGAAATTCAATTGCACCGATTCCAGCGCCTCGGATCTAGCTGCTATTGTTGCTGCTGGCAACGGTGACAGCAACAGTTATGCAATGGCTGCCATGCCCCAGCCGACAGCAGCAGCAGCAGCAGCAGCAGCAGCAACTGGCACAGCACTTGCTGGTCCACCTTTGGGTTTGCCGCCACCTGCTATTAAGAAGTCTACGTCCGCATCGCTGCATGCTTCGAGGGAAGATGTCACGTCGCTAGGTGGCACCTCCTCGCTGAACAGCCAAGTGTCTGGCCATCATCAGCAGTTCATCGGCAATGGCGCAGTCAATGGCAACTCCACGAGCGGCCGCCCAGTCGGTCATCCCAGCAGCATACTGAAAGGCAGCAAAGGTAAATATCAAGAAAGTTTCCAATGATTTAATTGCCATCTGATATGGGAGTTTTTTAATGCAGAGAAACCTAATTAGATTGAAGGGAAACCAACTAAATTTAATTAATTTGTTTACAACAAAGAACGAACTTAACTTTAACAAAGCTAAACTTTGCTGAAGAACGAATATTTAAATCACTTTAAATTGAAAGTTTTAATTGCAATTGAAACTTTTTTCTAATATAAATAATAGATATATATATGTGGCACAGAGATACTATAAGGGAAAAAACTTTCAAATTTCTAGTCTAATCAAACTTGTCTGAAACATTAATGAAATTGTTTATGATAGAGTGTGACTTGATCCAGTTAATTCAAATATATATATATATATAATAAATAAATATATATATATTAATAGACAAAAGTGTGCAGCGTTGCATAATGAAAGCTGTGAGATAAATTGGCATAGCAAGAGACAAAGACATGGCTACATAGAGTCGACTGTTCAAGTTGATTAATCAGCATGTATATATCTATATATATGCTCAATATATATACAGTTTATATATATGTAATTTATACTTTTTCAAACGTTTCTCGTTCCTACATTTCGTGACAAATTATCTACTGCAAGCTTCAATAAACACTATGCTTCAGGCGTAAGTGCCCAGCTAGGAAATACCCTCACTATATTCTGTGTTTGGTCAACAAGTATACTTGATACATATTTTATATCGCTTAAATATTTGAATTGTATTTATATTTTATATAATTTCTTAAACAATTTCATATATAATTAGCAAAAGCTATTGATGACTGCAGATAAGTTTGAGCTCAGACTAGTTTCTAGTTCTTATGGCTTTCCATACGTCTAGACATATAGGTCTAGCTGAACTAAATTGTTGAGCTTTATTTAAATAGTATATATTATATAGTTTCATTCACAGCTAATTCTTGTTCTTATAAACATTTAAAAAATTTAATGCTCACTTTGCAAGGCAACGCAGCAGCAGTCAGAGGAGAATTTCTAAAGAGCAGGCAGCTGGCTATTTGATTTAGCAATTAATAGTTAAGCTAAAAAACGACTTGATTAGCAGTCAATAAACTCCCTTCCTAATTACTTTGCAGCATATTTTGTGCTAAAAAGAAATTCTGTTTTGTTGGCTAATGTAGAATTCACTGTGCAGACAGTTTTTAAAAACATGTCAATGCTGCTCCCATTTGAAAGCAAGATTAGTTGACTTACGATCTGGAACTGGAGGCTTTGAATTAATGATTAGTGTGTGTCTGTGTGTATGCTGTTTCAGGCCAAAGAGTTCTAAGAGAAAATTGAGGTCAGTTTGCTGTTTGCAGCTACTCGAAGTTGTTAAAAAAAAAGCCACATGCTGCCCAGGCAATCAGGCTGCGGCGTGGCATGGCAATCCCGCCCACATGGCCAACATGAGTTCACCCACACTTCAGTTTTTGTGCTTCACTTTGTTTATTTATCAGTCTCAGTTTCGGTTTCGGTTTCGGTTTCGGGTGCACTTGCAATTGCCTTAAGAGGGCAAAGAGGGAAAATTAGCTGCCTTTCATAATACAGACAAAATATGTATAAGACTTCAGTGCACAGCGGGGCTAAAGAGTTCAATTGATTTGCCTTGTGCTTTATGCCTTTTGTTGTCTAAACAGACACGTGCCAATTGTTTACACCTTATGCTTATGCTCAACTGTGGAAACTTCAGACAATGGATTCAGTTGTAAGACGAGCCCGATTCTCACTTCTGCTTGTGGGTCTTCTGGCTCTACCCTGACTCAAGCTGGTGACTTTCGATAGTTTTCGTTCTTTAAACTCGTGAAAAGTGTATTTTGGCTTGGCTAGAAACTTGTCTTGAAAGAGCTTAGAAATTTTTGAAAGGCTCAACTGGAAGCGTGGTAACTAGGTAACTTCTATATCTTTGGTAAGTAGTCGGCTTAGTGGTGATAAGTAGCACAGCTGTGTTACTACTGAGCTGCTTTACAGCTAGACAAGTATCGATAATAATGGAAATATCGATCGTTGCCCAAATTTAGTAATTTGAAACAAGCGAACGAATATTACGTAGTCGATTCACTGCTTTATGCATAGTTGAAGACTGGATTCATTAGAAGTTTACTTTGTTATCACATATATATGATAAATGATTGAATATATTAACAGCATGCCAATGGCATACTCACACCTGCACACCTAACCGTTTCTAATGTGAACTCGAAGAATATTAGAGCTAAACAAATTAGATGCGTACACAAGAGTACTTCTATAACTCATGCAAATTTTGTATAGATCGGCAAGCTTTTACAAAAACGATAAATATCGATTTTTGATAGGATTTTGTTGAGCACAAGTTGAAGTATAAAAGACTTTAAGGCATCTAATATTGTATGTACACACTTAACCTGAGTTCTTCTGCTTTTTGATACATTAAATTCTAGAAGAGCTTAAGCTTAGGGCTTAAACTTGAAGAATAACATATCTAAGATCTAAGAGCACTAACAGCTAATAATAAATTCTTAATAAATTGCAAATTTCTAAGCACTGCATGCAATCATCATTACAGGGTATCTCTACTCAGGCACTCTCATTTGTCAAGCGTTAAATGAAATATAAATATAAATAAATAACAAAAAAAAGAAAATGAAATATAAATAAAACAACTTCATGTGCAGGGTATCTTTGAGTCAGTCACTCTCTCGATCTCTTGATTTGGTAATTGAATACAGAGTAACTCTTGGTCAGGCAATCTGATACTCAATAACATTCTCACTTTTGTGTCCCTGCATTTGAGACTTCGGCGTGGCATTTGATGCACTGTGAAATGTGAGCGCAAATGCCGCTTAAACCACTTGCAACCGCCTACCCAAACACTTGTCAGCCATTTAATGTGTGTGGCTCTTGCTGTTTTCGTAGTAAGTTGTAGTATAGCCTAACCACATTCATTCATGAGACCTGCGCCGCCAAATCGACCCACATGCGAGCAGTGCGGGGGCTGCCACAAGTTTGATTGAGTTCAAAGTTGTTTTCCTCTATGTTTGCGGGCGTGTGGGCGTGGCTGGCATTAGTCCGCTTATGCATATGAAGTGGAAAATTGATATTTATAGTTTAAATAGACTCGTTTAACATGACAGGGTGAGCAATCGGACCCGACCCAGACCCTAAATAGGCCATCTAAAAACTGTTTCGTCTAACAACAAACAAAAATCGCTTTCGGAAGTTGGCCAAGCGACATTTCTTGAACGGAACATCAATTGTGAATTTTAAATGCTGCGCTCGGCTTAGTTTTTACGTCTCAAGCAGGTGTTTTACGACCTGGGCCAGCATTGTTATGTGGTCTCCAAATTAGGTAACATTAGACGGAATTTATGAAACTTATGAAACGTTTTTAACTTATTTATTAGCGCGTTTGGTTCAAGCAGTTAACTGTGTGAACTGTGTGTTGGTCCCCCCCGACAACTGAAATGGCAATGAACCCACTCCATGGTCACCCACGAGGAAACACCTCAATGTGTGCGCGCTTACCTTATCATTTACGCGTCATGTCTTTGGCAATTAGCTGAGCCGACGCCGCTTCGTTGCTATTGCCATTCGCGTCATATGATGCGATTATTAATTTCTTGATTACGACAGCATTGTGACATGCACAAGGAACCCAGCTGAGAGGCGAGTCTGTGGCGTGCCGTGTGTAAGCCAAGTTAACGAACCAGCAAAGCCAATTAGATGCCATCATTATGCTAGCCTCTCGAGCAGCGCAAGGAGCCACAATACCACACTTGCCCGACAATGCATGCCACATCCAAGCCCTTAATGCTGCAGCCACAAAGAGTCTGGCTTGACTGTGCCAGTCCTGAAGTGTTGCACATTGCTCCATGCCTCAATGACATTAATTATTTATGTGCAGTGAGAGTTCACGACTTCATGCAAACGTCTCCAGCAATTCAATCGTCTGACCACAGGCCCAGCCTAGACATTTCTACATAGAAAGCGCGCTTAGCATGGCTTGAATTCTTAATTGATTTGTAGGCCATTGGGCAATTTATTTGAGCAATTTGAATAAGAAATAAATGTCTAGCGTTTATTGATAGTAAATACACTTGGCATAGATGGGAATTGTTACTAAAGTTATTTAGTTAGAGAAGCAATAATGTTAGCAATTTTTAAGATTATTTTTTAAGATTGGGAGTTATAGAAGAAGTTTATATTGTATAAGATATAGTGAGGATATTTTGAATTATATTATATATAGGTTAGATTATTATATCACTACTTAACTTGACGTTCTATATAGATATGAAACTATGCCAACTTCTTTATCAATAGATTGAAACTTTGCAACAGACAGACAAATGGTCAGATGGATAGATGAATGAGTTTGGCTGTAATGAAACGACTGTGGGTACTAAATAATTTTATATATATATATATATATATTTATTTATTTATCTGAAATGATTATTAGCCGAACACAGCAGTCTGAAATGATTAAACTAGACGCTTCTTGAAATGGCTCTACAGAGTGCCAACATTTGAATTGTTTGCTATGAGTTATTATTGAAAGATATTTGAAGGCAGTCTGCTCAAGTATATATATATATATATATATATATATATATATGTAGTATATATATATATTCATATATACAGTAGGGAGCAAAAGTGTTTCCATAGTTGACACTTTCAACTTTGTGAGTCGATAATTTCTAAACGAATGAAGCAAATCAAAAAAACTTTTTTTTCCAATAATATGTATTTAATTCTTAACAAATTGCCGTATATAACAAAAACAAAAAATAATCAGTAAAATATTCAAACAAAGAAAACTGAAACAACACGCATGTGTACAATTTTGCACCTTCCGATATTCTTACTTTGGTTTGATTTCTTAATTCTCTTATCGGCAATACACATGCAGTTTTACCCTTATATGTTTTATTTATGCATTCTACACTTTTATGATCCAGAAATCCACGTGTTTCTTATTATTTGAAGTAGATTTGTTAA